TTGATTTTTATCCTTCAGCAAATTTCTCGTTAACTCAAAATTACCAACGATAGCACAAACTATTTTGTACAAATGCCTTCCACGAATCTGGAATTTAAATTTTAAAGAAAAATTTTCATTTTTTATTTTGTTAACAAATTTAATCATAACAAATTCAACCTCTAATGAGTAAACTGTATCATCATCATCCCAAGGTTGTTCCGGTTTATTCTTCGCTGAAACGGAAACAACTTCTGCAACTGCCGGATAATGTTTGGCAGCCGGACGTTTGTTACCTAAAGATAATAAAAAATCTATAATCATTTACTTAATCAATCACTGAACATCATCTACTATAGCTACTTCAACTTCAGCTATTGTACTTCTATTTAATTTCAACTTCTATTTCAATTACTGCATCCCTAAACGAATGGAAAATTAAATTGACAACTAAATTTTCTTTTTTTTAAAAAAACATAAAATATCATACTAAAAAATAAAAATTTATAATCTAACAAATTTTGAATTGCTTTATGAATATTGTAAAATTTGCTTTATTCTTTCTTTTAAAATATGAAATGCCATACTAAAGTGTAAACAAACGCTTTAAATCATTATCCCTATAGTTTTACAAATTTTTGGGTTGCTTAACGTAAGTCTACACAAACAACCTATCACCGATAATTCAAATTTGGAGCTATTATTAATTTAATCTTAAATAAACAATTTCTCGAAATATTTCTTCAACCTAGTACACAAAAATTTTATTTTTTCTCAATTTACCCAGAATTTTAATTCCTAATTCAAGCAAAATCATAAATTTTAATGTAAAATATCAACAAATTTATGATTTATAGTATTATTCAAATAACAAAAGATTTTTTTTCTTTGATCATAATGCTATATAAATATCAGAGTTAAAGTCAGCTGATTTCTAAAATGCATATTTTTATCAGCACATAAGACCACTATTACAAATATGCATGTGTCCACCAAGCCAATCAACCAATTGCTAACACATGTCAAAAAAAAGAAAAAACTATTTCAGCCATAAACTATACTAATCAAAGTTAATATTTTACTTCAGATATTATAGTTAAAGATTGAAATATATGCTATACATGAGTATATTTTTGTTCTCATTTGTTATTTCTTCTCTAATTAAAAACAAAAGTTTTTTCTTTTTTCAATATTAAAAATGAAAGCATACGTGGCATATTATTAACGTCCAAATTTGCATCTCGACTTGGAAGTGAACATACTTTTAGATGCATTTTACTGTCCCCAAGTAGGTTACCACTAAAATCTAAGTTTATATTAATTGAAATTTTATTTCACGCATGCAAAAAAGTAAAATGTCAAAAAAATGCACGAAAAAAATTTTTTGATGTTATTCCTACGGAACAAATTATTTAGTATATTTAAAATTAAAACAAAAAATTTACCCATTTTCCAAAGAAAAACATAAAACCACTTGTCGTCGATTGATACCACCAGCACAAGATGAATAGCATCGAAATTGCAGCATTAAGCATCTATTTGCATGAATTGCATCGAAAGGTACAATTGCAAATGATCGAAAACCTTCTTCACCTTCTACTTTTTCTGTCAAATGTTGTGCTTTAGAATTATTGGTTACAATTAAGAAGTGTTCTTCATAATTTCCTGTAAAAATTTCATAAAATAATTCTTGGAGTGATGATATATATTATTGCAGTTATGATAAAAGATATTTGCTTTTTGTTTCAAAAAACGAATAAGGAAAAAACTCCGCACTAATTAGGATTATTTGTGAGTTTACAGAGTTCATCTGAATTTAAATTTATACTTTACTACTAGGAATATTTCTGAGTTTATAAAATTAACCCAGATAAATTTAATTTGTACTTTTCTAGTTCAATTGAACATTTCCAACGAAAATTACTCACTATCTCGTAAACGATGATAATCACATCGACGAACCGGAACATTAGCATAAATATTATCCGAATAGATAGCACAAATCCGGACAAATGATTTTGGTGGAGGAGGAACAGGACAATTCACTACAAATATGACATTGGTATTCATCTTCGCAAAAAGTGAGCGACCTTTAAACTAAAAAAAGTATTTTTTAAGAGGAAATGAAAAAGAAATTATGAATTATGTTCATTTAGATATTCAAAATTCTCAATTTTTCTTATATTCCAAAATAAATAAAAATGCAAGTTTCTAATAATCAAATAAATAGTTCATCATTTTTTTAATTTCGAAACTACAAAAATAATTAAGTTACCTATTTTTGACAACTTAATCAAATGAACAAATTAAAATGAATTATGCAATAAACCTTTTTCCACAGCCAAATACAAAACACATGAAGCATGCATTTGCAATACTATTAAGCAGATATGTTTTACTGAGCAAAAAATAATATTAACTTAAGAATGATGGAAGTATTTCAAATAAATGATTTCAAATAGTGGAGAAAGAATAAAAGTTTAAAAGCTTACGATATAAGCACTTTGACGACCTCCTTCCACTGTCACATCAAATTCTAATTGAAGTGCAGTAGCTTCCGACCTGAATAAACTATAATTTCCTTTTATTGCGTATTATAAATAACTTATAGCTTTGTTTAGAAGTTTAATTTCATTTATTTTTATTTTTTGTAATAAATAGAAGGAAAAAAAAAAGAAATTTAAAAACCTGATAGCTGAAAGCGGAACTAAGTTCAATGGTTCAGTATTTATTTCATTTAATGCATCAGTATCATCAGGAAAATTCGCCTAAATTAAATATTCAAATAGTTGAATAGATATGTGAATATGTAACTGACAATTGACGTATGACATAGAGTTCATTGCATAACAGTTAAATTACTTACATTTTTGTTATCAAGTTGTGATAATATAATATCAGCAAAATTCTCACTTGTTGTTCGCTCAAAATTCACTGGTGGTACACTGAACTAAAATGTTTTCAATAATTAGTTATTTTTTTCAGTAGATACTTATTTCCAGCACATGTCTATTGCTATAAACGTATTGTAAAATTCTCCCTTTATAATTTCATATTCAACACAGCCAGTAAACAAAAGAAATTAATTATTCAATGCCGAAAAATTTTGGCATTAGTGAAGTATAAAATGAAAGTAAGGACTTATCATTTGTTATCATTATCAAATAGTAACGTAAAATAAAATTTTTTTTTAACTTTTGAAATAAGAGGAAATAAAAATAATATATTAAGCTGTCTTTCATAGAAGAAATAAAATTATAATGTTGGAGGAAACAAGAAGAAAAACAGTTCCTTTGATAAATACGTACCGTTAATATATCATCACTCATGTCAATAAATGCATCCTCACCATTGTTGTCGTAATTGGTACTAAAATAGCAAATGACTATAAAATAATATTTGAAATAACCTTTAAATGATGACTATTTGTTTTTATAACAATGTCAAATCGAACTTATCCCGAGGATCATAATCAGTTGGTTGTTGAATGTCAGTCAATGACGGAGCTCCAAACAGTTGATTACGGCAAATTGATAATGACTCGATTGTTGCTGCCGCACGTTGTCCTTCATCATCCATTTTTACTATTCTAAAAATTTTGAATATTTTCATTTCAGAAATTGAAAACTTAGTTGGAATTTTATTAGTTATTACTAATATTTTTCCATTATTCAATGTTAACTTTCGCAAAGAATTTTATTTCATATAACTCCATTTGAGTAAATATAACTCAAAAATCTGATAAGCAAACAAATAAATATAACAAAATATTTATCCAGAAAAGATTAAGAAAAAAAAAAACATCTGTTTCATATAGATTAATCAGTCTATGATATTACAATGAACCATTAACAATTAACAGCAATTCGTGAACTTTAAATGTGTAAAAACGAACAAAACATCGAAATACATACATATATATCAGGAATCCTAATATTTTATATGAAATAAATAGTTGTGCACTTTACTTAACTAGTAAAACACTGAAGTACAGCAGATGTAACAGAACACAAATATATTTCATAAAAAATTGACGGTTAAAATGAGAACAGCACAAATTAATTTAGGGGAGAAATTTGAAATTATAAATTTCAAAAATTACATTAGCATGAAGCATAATTTAGTAATCGCATCTTATTTTATAACATAAAATAGATGTTAGAGATTTAAAAAAGTCCATAAAGTTCATTTTAATTAACTTACAGAAGGATACTGTGACAGTGTTCATAAAGTCATATGCACAATATCTAAAATTCAGTAGTTCAGGCTTACTTCCTTTATTATTTATAGCATTAATTTTATCTTATCATTTCACAAGCATTTCATCCAAATACTTTACTTAATTCATTTATCAAGTAAATTTGATATATTACAAAAAAGAGAATATTATATATATATATATATATTACTGCACTTATTGAGAATATATTTTCATAACTAATGTAAACTTACTATTTTAACTTGATTATCAATAAATTTACGCAATAAACTATCCAAGTAGAAAGCATTAAATGAAATAGTCTGATATAGGTAAGTTCAGCTATTTCAAAAAAAAGAGATACAATCCGAAGTGCTATCTTTAAAAGATTGAATGGTTAGTTATTCTTTCTGATGATGAAATCAATGGAGAAATGAATAAGCTAATCAGACAAGAATAAAAAAAGCATACACTTCATGGTTTGTTTAAAATTTCTGTAGTTTAATATTTCAGCTTTTGTACCTTCATGATATCCAGCACAACTAATTTTGTTTTTGTATGGCAAATACGTGAGCTGAATATGTAGAAGAGATACAGTTAATAAGAATTAATAATTTGTAAAAAAAAACTAAAGATCAAAATACTTTCATGAGGATTAGGATCAGATGCAATCTACGGACTTAAAGACAGGAATAATAGATGAAGAAAGAAAATGAGATGAATTCCAAATTTTGAGTTCAAAAAAAGAAAATCAAGCTGTTTAAACCAAATTTAAGATAAATTATCCGTAAACGGTAAAGAAATCATGAAACTGTTTAAAACTTCAATCCAAATAATCAAGTTCTGACGGTATTTCAAATTGCGCATTCAATACTTTTTCTTCTATATTAAACTTCTTTTTACACCATTTTTTTGCCGCAAATATGTTATCTAAAACAATGGCAAAAATTGCATCTTCAATTTTCTTTCTTTTTTAAATTACGGTTCTGCAAAAAAAAAAAAAGAAAAAACAATCAAAAATTCGACCGCTTTTCAAAAACTTCGCTGCAACTTTCATATGTTTTGCTAAATTAATTAATAACAAAAAATTTTGTTTCCTGAATTGAAAGAATTATTTTCCTGAATCCAAGAAGTAATCATCTGAAGAACTATGAAAATGAGGAAAATCTCACCAGTCCAACGATTTGCTTTATCACGAATTTTAGCTGTCTCATTTTCAAGTCGTGCAATAGCTTCAGGGCCTTCCTCACTTAGTTTTTCCAATTTTTTCATTAATGTTTCATGCTTCGTTTGCAATTCATTAATTTGCAACTGTAATTTTTCTCGCTCTGCAGTTGCCTGCAAAAAATTGTCCTCTTGAGGAATTGAAATAGAGAAATAATTTACAGAATTTTTTTTCATATTACTAACATAATAATCTAGTGTTACTAATTCTTATGATTTTTCAAAAATCGTCAAAATAACTCAATTAATACTACTTCTTGATGCTAAATTTATAATACTCTGGATAAAATTTATTCATTTCTATAAACTCATTTTGCTAGCTTATAAAGCAATCAATTAAAATCTGACCAATCATTATGCTGGGAGCCATATAACAAGAACATTCTGAAAACTAACTTCCTTTCCATTTTTTGCTACTGCAACATCAGTTTTCAATTCTTGCAATTTTGTCTCCAAATTATAAATCTTTTCATCTAATTCTTGCAATTGCTTTTTGCGCTAAAAATGAAAGCACAAAAAAATAACCATAATATTAACTTTCTTATTTGTTGAAAAAAATATTGAAAGTAACCTGGAATACTTTGTATATCCTTGATAATATATGGTTTATTATGCACATATAAACTTTTTACGTCATTAAAATAACCATCAACTACTAAATATTCCAAGCAATAATTTAGATATTATAGTAATTTGGTAATATACCAGTATATCTAATGGTATTTGTTTTTTATCACAAATTTGTTTAATCTATGTTATTTCTCTTATTTCACCTTTTATTATCGTAGATTTATTTCTGTGTAAATTTGTACAAATATATTCTATAACAACTTAAAATATACAGATATTGCTTGAAATATACAAGCTTCTCATTCTGATAATTAGACTTTTTCAATGAATTCAATTCAAAATCAAATCACCATTTGCTAATTACTAAATTCATATCGAACGTATTGCTTAAAACTTACAAGTTCCCAATTTTGTAATCAAGGTTTTTCAAATGGACTGAAGTCATCATTATTCAATTACTATATACTGCTAGAATTTATATGCTTATTGCTCTCATAATTAAAATTCTTCAATGAATTCAGTTCAAAATCAAGCAAAAAAAAACACATACACAAGAAAAATAAATTTTCTTTATATTTGAAGAACGAAGAAGAAAAAAAATTTTTTTACTGTAATCACTGCTTGTGATGGAAATGCCCAATAGCAAACAAAAGTACCAATCTTTTCGCACTCAACCAAACCTTCATCAACCAACAGTTGTGTTATCCCTTTCACCGATTGCGGAACAATTCCTTTCTTTTTTGGAGCAATTTTTTCAAGATCTTTCATCTAAACTTTTTTTTTTTTGAAAAAAAAAACAAATAAATAAATAATAAAGTTTTGTAAATCACTTTATCTGATAATGTTTTGTTTTTAAAAAAGCAATATGGTTGCTTGAATTTGTAACCCACAAAATTTTGAAACGCTTTACGTGTTTTTTATAAAATTCGTTTTTTTACTTCTTTAAAAACATAAAAGCGTCATACAAAAATTTAAATCATAGTTTTTTTTATATCCATAGTTTTTTTTCTTGACTTAAAAAAAGTCGATCAGAATAACGGATAATAACGAGTTTCAATACTTCTCATAATAAACCTATTTTATCAAAATAAGAAAATTACCTGAAAAAATTCGTTGCTTTCATAAAATAATTCCAACATTCGGGATCGTTTCTCATCAGCTGTTAAACCTTTCTTTCTCGATGCCTTAATATGAAATCTTTTAACACATGATAGTATTATTCATGTAAAAACTATTTCTAAATAAACTTATAATTTTACACCAATAAAATATGAAATTTCCAAATTTTAAAAGAAACTGCCAAAACAGTCCAACAAATAAGTGTTTTTGCGTATGCGTGTTGCTTAATTTCTAATTATTTTAGAAATTAAAAAAAAAAAAAATCGAAAAATCTAGAACAATATTTGAAAATTCTCTATTAGATATAGATTAATAATAAAAACATAAACTTCATACAAGCACTATTTAGAATTTGGAATTTTCTTTCTATTGTCATACGAAAATAATTATTTGACAATCAAATAAGTTGACAAAAAAGGACGGAGTACCATATAAAGATACTATTAATTAGAGATATTATTCAGAAATTTAAACGATTGATATTTCTCAACAATTACAAGTAAAACTTACCATACTGTGCAAAAATATTTGTTTTGATAGGAAATTTATGCAATTATTGCTATTGTAACAAAGGAGTTTTAGATTAATTCCTAGAAAAAGAAATATTTTTTTTTTTTAAATAAATTTTAAAATGTTTTAAAATGATGAAAAAAATTTTTTTTTAAAAAATGATTTTCACCTGATCTATATCTCACTTCATCTCACTTTCTTTCAAATTAGCACATATCGATAAGAATTTGTTTTATCCCAATTACCCAATTACAAACCAACAATAATTATTCATTGTGATAATTTTTACAATAATGCATATAATTATATTCATTACTATTTGTAATTTTCTAATTACTTGAAATAATTGAAATGAAAAAAAAAAAATGCCAAATAGATATGTTTAATACTATTAGCTAATTTTATAAATTTGTTTTTATCTTTTAAAACATGGACATCTATAATCATGGTAACAAATTTTCATCAAATAAAAAAATACAAAAATAAAAATATTTTGCAATATAAGAATTACATGCATATCAAATTAAAAAAAAAAAAACATTTCCTCAGTGGATAGACTCGTTCCCTTTTTTCCTCCTTCACTATAATAATATCTATTTATCATTCATTCATACGTCTCTCATTTTCAACACAATGAATACTAATTTCCCACGCATTATAACAATCATATATGTTCAACACTACAATGCAACAAATGAATAACGTACGTGTCACGTGAAAAGTTAAGATACAAGATATGTAATCTTATTAAAATCAGTGCTTTTCTCAATGATTTTGTTATATGTAAAAATAGATTGCTATGTATAACACATGTAATTTTTATTATAATTTTTTTAAAACATTAATTCATCAATATTGATTAGTTTCGCATTTTATTGAAATTATTAAATTCTTGCATGACCACTCCGAAATTTCTGTGTTTTCGAGCGATGCTATACTTTGACAGAAACGTTCAAATGTTAGCCGTAATTTTTTTTTTTAATTGAATAAACTATGAAGTTATGACATACTGCAATTGATATCAATTTTGGTATAAACTCAACAATTGTACCATCAAATAATCTTACGTGATCGTCTGACTACTGTTTTTGCTACATCGTTTATATTTTCATCACACTACTTCAGAAATGTCTCACCAAACAATTTACGTGATCATCTTTTTTTGCTACATCGTTTATATGTTTACCACGCGTGTTCATAAATGTTCCACCAAATCATTTACGTGATCCTCTATATGATTCACTACTTTTTGTGATAAATTCGTTTAAAACATCAATTCTTTAATACTGGAAAGCTTTCATTTAAACAATCATAATGGGCGATTGATCCGTTCAATCAGATTTCTGAAACCACAAAAACTTGACTGATTATAAATTTATTCTGCAGTAAATGAAATATCAATTAGAAAATTTAATAATGCAAAAAGTATTTAAATAGGCATAATGGACATTTGACGTGCATGTTACATTTCACTATCCTGGGATGTATCAAGACGTTAAATAACAGAAATAATTTTTAATGTCGAGAAAGAAATGAACATATAGAAGAAGAAATTAATAAACCGATGTGAATATTCATCGGTCTGCATTTAACACTTCTGCAATTCACGTAGAATAGTTAAATTTAAAATAAACTGAAAAATTTGTGATTTAGGACATTAATCAAACTAAACACGATACTTCAATATTCCAAGAAAGATCACTCATATTTTCCCGCAGTTCAAGCAATACATTCTGTAAATTCGTAAATCCCGTATTCCAAATTCTCTTTATACTGGGCAAATCAGAATAAAGGACAGTAATACAACGGAACAGCAAGTGAACATGAAAATAAAAAAATGAAGAATAAACAATTAAAAAACGAGTAGTTTTAAATTATGAAAATCCATAAGTGAATCAAATCAAACATAAAAAAAAAAATATGATAGATACAAATGAAATGCTGAAGATTATGAGATAAAAGATTGAAGTAATAAAGAAAAAGGAAGCAACACCTATTGATTTCGCCGGATATACTATTTATTTTGATATGCTATTTACGTATTTAAGCAAAGCACTAATTCATTATTTACGTAACAACGTCATCGATTCCTACATGAAATTAAGTAGTTACAGTTTTCGTTCAACGCTTCTTATTCGGCTCGGTCTCGGTGAATGATTCCAATATTCTCGATAAGAACCTTCGTCGGCTCGTCTATAATATGCCGATGACTTGACTGATTCCCTACGATACTCTTCAGAAGGACTTCGGTATTCGAATCGATTCCCAAGATTATTTATTGTTGTACGCTGACCTTTCTGGTCTGCCATTTGGCGATTTGACATAGATGTCATGTTTTTTTCAGCGTTTAATTTTGTATTCAGATGTGATACATGAGAATTATATGGCTTAGGAGAGCTAAAATATCGTCGTTGATCACGGTCAAGTGATCCATCTGGTGATGTATACGTTGACAGGATATGATGAAGCTGTTGTTCTTCGCATTTATTCGGTCCTGATCGTTTTTTTTCATGTGATCGCTTTTTTCGTTTACCATAAAAATCGTATGCAATGCTAGAACTGGTCCTCTCTTGTCCCTTTTCACCTTGCAATACATGATTTAACTTCTCATATTGCTTCGTAGAATGTTCTAGAATGAATTAATTTGTTCGTTCACTGAAAAGATCGCTAATCGTTCGTTTTTTTTTTTTTTTTTTTAAATTAAAAAAATCTGGACCAATGATTTCAAAAACAAAATTTGCGATCTGGATTTTGGAAAAATATTTTTGAACGACAACTCACTACTGAAATTGCTAGCAGCTCTAACTGTTTGAATATTCTGTCCTCTTTTCACTGGAAATATACTCTCTGGTTTCTGAGGAAGACTTGATGAGGTCGGCATGACTTTACTCGTATTTCGATGAATATCATGAATTCTGCCCTGCCAATGTCATTAAATATTTAAATTTAATAGAAAAATAACGAAATCATCATCTTAAATTTCAGAAAAGTAATACTGATTTTTCTCTATCACCATTCTCATTAGCATTATCATATATATTCATTCGAGGTAAAAAGAAAAAAAGAAACAAAATAACAAAAAACAAGTCAGTATCTTCTTATCAATTGTAGATGCAACAGTCTATTTTGAGAAACACACTGTTTCTAGAGCAAGAAGGCTGTTTGTAGAAGTAAGTGTCGATTTCTGTGGTAATTCCAATACTACTGGTAATCCATCTGAATTAATATCTAGATAATTCGCTGCAAGCCATTCCTCCATTTTTGCCAAATTATCAAACAACATTTCGATTGCGCAACGTCCTTTCAATACTTTGATATATTTTGGTTTCAATAAATTATTTCTTAAGCATATCTGATGCTTACATTTAGGACAATTCATTGTGCAATTTGCTTGTAATCTGAAAATTATTTTGACTAACATATTTTTTTTTTTCTTTCTGTATAAATTCACTCAATAAATTTTTAAAGACAACCAATCAACGCATACAGCAGCTTACCATGTAGAATGAAATGAGATAGTTAATGCACAATAAAAATATCACAATTATAGCATTGTTATCATTATATCTAATGTAACGAGTACTTTTTAGAAAAATAAAGATTCCACTTATATTTCATCCTAATAGCCTTATATAATTATCACTACAACATGCTTTTCCATTTCAAATAAATTTGATAATATTCATGTAAGATCGATATGAATTTAAGAAATTATTTGCAATATTTCCAGCATGCCTTTAAAAATAGTAGACAAGCGTGACTGATGAAAATTAGGAAGTTTTTATGCATAATGATGTCAATATAATGCAAATCAATAAAAGTGAAACTAATGGAAATCATCCTACCACTTAAGATCAGGAATTCAGGTGATTACAAATGAAACCTATTTCAAAAATGTATTAGTCTCAAAACAGAGTTCGATGGCGATCACAGCCAGCAATTAAGCCATAAAAAAAGCCACGAAAAATTGGCATATGATATGAAATTTAACTCTTCAAATAAAAAGCCGTTATTTTCAAAAATAGAAATGCTAATTCCGAAAATTTTCCAAATAACAGCTGGTTTAAAATTACTTAGCTCTAACTTCTTGTTTTAAAAAATTATAAAATTACTTCATTTTAAGCTTGTCATTTTCCTTTTTGAGAGCTGCAATTTGTGTACGCGCTGTTGTTAGTAGAGAATACATATTGCGCACATAATGTTCTTTCTCCTCAGAAAATTTTCTCTCTAATTCAACAATTTGTTTTGTATGGCTATTTGATTCTTCATGCAACATTTGCTTTTTATTCCTTGCAACATCCATTGTTTTACTGTCATCACCTGTAATTGTGAGAAATGAGATAGTGTAGGATTTTAGGAAATACTGAAGACGAGAAAAAGAGGAAGGAAGACAAAGAGGAAGAAGGAAATGAAACATCAAATCCAGTAGAAACTAAATGGACAAACGAATGAACCGACTTGGATGATGATATCATTTTCGAGAAAACCCACAATTTAGATATCCAGATACGGTTACATCAATCATAACTTCGAATTTGGAAAGATCCATTTCTGCTAGTTGCTCTTTTAAATTCCCCTCTGATTCTGATAGCATGTATGAATCCATTGGCTCATTACCCTGCATAACTATCCTTGGCGTTTCATCTAAATCGTGACATTCGTCACTATATTTTCAAACAGTCATGCGTACACATGGAACTGCCATTTGTAGAGAATCGTAGATAATTTCAGGTGCTAAATAATAACAAGTATAGAGATATCGAGAGCTCTCTTAAGTTGTTATCCTTAGCAAATCAGTGTGATTAATTGAAAATTTATCCAGCTACTTTCCTTTTTCTTCTCTTTACACTGTGATAACAAACCTAATGAATGGAAAATCCAGCTGTCGTCAACTGGCATCTCTTTTGCTAAATTTGTCCGCATTTCTTTTTCATCTCCTATTGCAATTTTGTTTGTTCTACTTTCCATATCCATAGCCAATGCCTTCATCTTCGTGTGAAATTTGTTTGCTGCTGTAATTCTTTCACTACAAACAATTTTGCCGGAAAAATCACTACTGTCCTTGTCATCATCATCGTCCAAGTCGTCGTCAGAATTGGAATGATACTCCACTAATTCGTCTGAAAATCATTTTTATCAAATGATAATAGGGTATACAAATATTTGCTAGAACAATATGATTTAGTAAAAGTTAAAAAAAAAAAAAAAAAAAAAAAAAAAAAACATTAGTAAGGAAATCTGACCATCTTGAATTGCAAACATCGCAATATCAATAAAATTAAAGCTTACGAAGCAAATAATGTACTTTGAACTATAATGAAGTATTGTGAAGTAAATAAGGCAAAAAGAGAAAACCGGAATAAGAAATGCTGTATCTTTTCTGCCTTTCTGCAAAATAGATAATGCAAAATTCATACAGGTTTTTGATATAATTTCAAATAATGTCTCTATCATATTAAAGGAATAGAGATATTTTTTAAATTATAAAATAATATCTTCAACAAAGTTGCCTTAACTTTTCCATCTCTTCACATCAAATATTTTTGTACAGCAACTCAGCAAAAAATTGCTTAACGCTCAGACGTGAATATTTATGATTATTTGAAATGCTATTCAGAAATAAAAATATTAAATTTGAAAAATTCAAAAAAAAAAAAAAAAAAATTAAGCTATAATCATTGAAGATGTAATTTAATACGGCATATATTAATTGGTACTGTTGTAATCCGTATATTCAATTAAATTTTATGTTTAATTCCTGAAATCATACCAAAAAAGTGGCAAAAAAAAAAAAAAAATTCCATCATACCTTGAAAATTAGCAACATTCAATTCATCTTCCAATTCATCCTCGTCTATCATCCAGTGATCCAGAAAACATTCCTCATCATTTAATTCATAATCATGAATATCTTCCAACATATTTTCTTCTTTCTCATCATTACATGCTTCCAAATTATCTTCATTTGATTCAGCACATATAGCTGACTGATCAGGAATTTTCAAATTGTTGTTTGAATGAAATGATCCATTATGGCCATAGTTTAAGGATTGGAAGCATTTCTTTTCCGTCAAATTTGTTCGTTCATTACTTCCATTGTTAGAATATTCATTAACATTAGATTGGTTAATAACAGTTTCCTCACTGTCAAATATTTCACCTTCTTCCAGGTCATCGCTTAAGCTTTTCGGCATTTTTCTGAAATTTGAACATATTACTCAGTAGAAGACGAGATATAAAATAATTAATGAACAGTTTTGAAAATTTGTTCTAATATTCCTAGAATAAGAAGAGAGCGCGAAAGAATAACGGAAATAATTTTAAATAAAGATCGGAAATAATTTTTGGACAATAAAATAGCAGATGATAAAAATAATTTCAGCATAGTCGAAATAAAAAAGGAAGAAGTGCCAAAAGTTAAATAAGATTAAATTAAATTCAAAAATCAGATGTAATCATTAATATACCATGTAACAATTATAATAAATAAATATTCTTTAAGGAATAGCTTAATGGTAGCCTAATTGTTCTGAAATATTAATTCATTCTAATCAGTTAGTATATCTGCGATATTTCAAGCTAGCATTTATATTTAATGCTATCATCAATGATAATTACTTTTAACAAGTCCACTCATCTTTCTTAAAAATTAGATTCTTTAAATTCATTCAGGAAAAAATTAAATTGTTCAGGAAAAGGGAAAAATCAAATTGTACTTCTTGCATCATCGATTCATAATGTGTAAGGAATTAAGAAGCATCTTGTATAATATGAATATAATGATAAATAATAAGATAAATAATTTAGTTTTTCTCCTAAATTTTTTTTGTCTTTTAATTATAGTGATAAGAGAAAAGTTAGGATTGTTTTTTTTAATTAGGAATAGTTTTTGGTATAATTCGAAAAAGATTAGGATGAGTCATCAATAGTTAGCGGAAATTAAGTACAACTGTAGCTGAATAAATAAACTTTAGATATTGAAGAAAAAATCTTTTTTTAAAATTTTAACAAAAAATGAAATTGAAAAGTTGGAATTTGAGATATTATAATAATAAATTGGTGGTGAATGATAAATTGCTGAAATAAGACGAATAGCAAACTAAATTATAATGCAACGGGGAACAATTAATATAACCTGAATATAATGAATTATTTACTAAATTATTAGTAAATAATAAAATATTTAGTAAATTATTAATTAATTGATAATAAACTATTGAATAAATTATACGTAAAATAATATTAATTAAAGTTAATAATAAACTAAGAAGCAAGATACCACTAAAAATAATTATTTATAAACATTTGAAAATAAAATAAATTGTTGATTAATAATAATAATAATAATAATAATAATAATAATAATAATAATAATAAACAATACTAATAATACTATGATAATAACAATAATAATAAGTTATATGTAAATCATTATTAAATAATATAAACAACTAGCATCACTTAACAATTATACCATAAACAACTGATTTAGATAAAAAATATATAAATATTAATTCTTTAAATGTTATTATCATACTTATCATTTGTATAATGCGCTACTTAAGCATCTAATCACCATCATAAAGATGACAAAGAAGATGACGGAATAAAATGATGATATTTTCTCGGCTGATATTTCATTTCTCATGTTTTCATCCATCATCTAGTAATTTGCATTATTATTGATCATGATCTCATACAGGTAAAATATGAGATGATAAGGTAGAGAGAGGGAGAAAGAAAAAGAAAGGGATAAGGAAAAAAGAAAAATATGGAGAAAATAGAAAGAAAAGGAAAGAAAAAAGAAAAGGAGAGAATTATTCTATAAAAATGCCATTATTATCTTTTCAGCCTTTATATTAATTAGTTTCATGAGCAGTTCGTTAATACCATTCCTTGACTTTATATAATAATTCGAAAGGTTTTTTTCTTTGCTTTTTTTTTCCGCTAAATCAATTAGATTTTTTCAAGAGAATAAATTTAAAATATTTTGCTACATTTAAATTAGAAGGATAATACAGATTAGAGGAGAATTTATACTGTTATAAAATAAATAAAAAAAAAAAAACCATTACTGTATATTAAATAGTTTTAATTAAAATTATCAAAATCATTCTTGGCTTGATTATAATTGATAGTTATGCAGAATAGTTTAGTTAATTTAGTTTGATCAAATTAGCACTTAGCTATTTTTTTCGAATTATTTATTGTTATCTCAATTTTCAAAAAAGAAATCATTGTTTTTTCTACTATTATTAATCAATTTCTAGCTAAATAATGATATGTTAAATTTAAATTATAATCAATTTCGGAAACGTTTCTATTTATACTATCAATTTTAAAAATATTATATTATTAAATTTGATTTGCTTTCCTCTTTTTCCTTTTTTTTACAACCATTTATTTATTGAAATTTTTTATATTTTCATTATTTAAAATTTGCAAGTATTTAAAATTGTTAAGCATTCTTATTTTATTTTTATGTTATTAAATCATTCAACATTGACGAATTAAATGAAAAAAGCGACTGGGAGAAAAATACAAATAAATATTAGCTAAAATCCTTCTTCGTTTCCACAAAATATTTAATATTAATAAAACCAAAATATTTTAAAAGAGAAAAAAAGTCCAAAAAATTCAAAGAACCCTCTCAAAATTGTAAAACCAAATACAATAAAGCTGCAAAATTTAACAAAGTCAGCAAAAAGAAAAAAAAATGCCGCGAAGTGCTATATTTAAAATTGTCCCCGATGTTTTACCTTTTGCTTCTGATTCTTTCCTTTTCAAATTTGAATTAAAATTTGATTTCGAATATAAGTTGATGTACTATTAAATTAACGAATCTGATTTTAAATATAAATTGCGTTATTATTCAAGTGATTAGTCTTATATAAATTGATATATTATTCAGTTAACAATGTGTGATGATGACAGTTTCAATATTGCAACAGTGCCTCGTCATGCTAAATTTGGGTCTAAAACTGACAGCGGTGATGGTGATGATGAGAGTACGTTGGGTGATCGATTTTTTGTATGTTTCTATTTTGATAAAGAGAAAGTTTTTTCATAAAAATTTTACTGGTGGTTTCAAAAATTTGATCTAAATTTGTTTTTTTTTTTTCTTTCAATTTAATATGTGCTGTCTAATGGATGCTTCATTGTATGCAATATGTGATTTGGAGCTTAGTAAGAAGGGGATTTAAAATTAAATCATTAGTTAATTAATATTCTGGCACCCGTATTGTGCATTAATATTCTGGGATCTGTATTGTGCTAAATAATGATATTTTCAGACGAAAAATATTTATCTCTTCTAAAAAAAAGGAAAAAGAAACTAATATATTCTATAAATCATTTTCAGTTCTTTACATTATTTATCTTTTTTTTTCTTTCCAGGACTTGTTATCTTTGCAAAGAGATACTATATCGAAAGCCGATTTGAGTCATTGTATACAGTTACGTGATGAATGTAAGCTTGCATCATCAAATATCGAAAAACAATTTGATCAATTACCAACAGCTGGAGCTGCAGTTACATCTGCAATAACTGACACTGTTAGAGTTACAGCAGTAAATACCCTTAACACATCAGCCGGAAATATTCATGGTAACTTTTTTTGTGTCGACATGAATATTTAAAAATCCACAATCAGTCAACAAATTTGTCATCCAAGCAATAATATGAAGCTTTGAAAGTGATGTAAATGATTCTTGACTTTTTATGCTCTTCTAAAAATTAAAAGGAATGTTAAATTAAATTTCAGATGATGCTTCATTTGGACTTAATCGTCTAGCAATGTTTCGTCATCCATCGCGTACACGTTCATCGGGATTTCGGTCGAATGTAATCCTTCGGGAAGGTATATTTTAAATATTTAGGTTACTGTAGACATACGCATGTATATAGTCGTGTAAATGGTATGTCGTTGCACTTTTTTTTTTTTTTTTCATAGCTTTTCATTTGTAAATTCTAGGCATGTACTTTAGTCCGGAATGAACATTGAAGAATTCTATTAAACATTTCAAATTTTATAGATAATAATACACCGCACTTATCAACATTTACTGTGGAATTAAGTTGCAATGAAAATTCTGGCCCAAACGGTTGTGCTGAGAAGAAGGAAGCGGTAAACCGTGCTTCCAAAATCTCTTCCAGTGGTCCAAGTAAGCCAATGAAGACGTTACGTTATAGTGCTTCTCATGCGACTCAGACACGTCAACAGTCGCTGGATAAAGGTGGAGGTCGTGTACAGCCTGCTGAAATGAAACAAAGAATGGGATCAGTGAAATGTCAACCGACAATCAAGATTCGAGCATCAAGCGCTGAACCCAGAACCCAGAGACTAGCAGTAGATTTCAAACGTGCAAGGAAAGCAACAGAAACGACTGTGCTAACTCAACCACGTGGACTATTACGTGTTCGTTCTTCCAGCAGTAGTGCTGCTAGGACCAGAAATGTTGCGACAAATGCTGCAAATGCCGTAAGGACAAACCAAATAACGATATCTCAACGTCAAAATGAGGCTAATTTAACCACCAGAACCGGTACGAATACAGAAAATACGGTTCCTAAGCTAGGAGCAACAAAAAAATTGCCATATGTCGGACCTGAAACTAGAGCACGAGCCAAAATAAAACAAAGGTATATTTTTGTTAATAGTTGAAAAAATTGTCATTTAATTGTTTATTAGCCTATCTGATCTGCTTTCACTGATTTAGCATGAATGATTTATTTCAGTTGAGATTTTATTACTAACCAAGATATCAACTAATGATTAAAGTAGGTCAGCTGATACGATCGTTACTTTGCTTTTAATTAGTTGAATTTTCATTGAAGATCAATTAGATTAAAGCTTCGTTAGTATTCAGAAGTTTTGGATGATTATGATGAGTGATTGTTCTGCCTAATCAAAATTTTTCACTGAAGTTGCATATGCTTTACAGTAATGATTTTTATACTACGAAGTCTATGAAGCCTTAAACGGTCCGAACAAACTAATTGAAGAAAAGAGTGCATATTTCAATAAATCACTAACTAAAGCAGGAATTTCATTTATTTTAGCAATGAAAACTTGAAAGTGATGAGAATCAGTTCAACCGTGAGCACACCAAAGCAATTGATGATCATAAAGCCGGAACATAATCGACCCTTATCACAGTTGAATTCAAATATTTCAAGAAACGCTTCTGGGAATGGTACTGCACTTGTATCTAATACTAAGGTTGGCAATAGTATTTTTCTTCCTATGGATCAATCTAGTTTATGACAATATTGTATAATCGATGAATAATGATGCGGTTTTAGTTGTGGGAGAGAGCTCTTAAGAAATAGGGATGTTTAGTGGAAAAGGAGATAGAGGTTTTTTCCTCATTATGAAGGGTATTTTGTATGGTTAGGCATAAGCCGCTATGACAGTAGAAATTACCATTACTACAGAGCAATCATTATTTGAAAATACGTGAATAGATGTTAAAGCGTCTTACAGATTTTTTTTTGAAAAAAGGAATTCCTGCGGTAAGAGGGTAAAGTGAGTAACTGGGTAGTGCTATTGACGATCTCTGAAAAGTAAAGATGCGAACGGAGGTAGGACATGGAATGTCAGTGAGGTCACAGATGCTTCTATGAAGATCCGTAGTTTATAGAAAAAGCTTTTTTTCGGGGCAAAACTTTGACTACTTTCTTAGATTCCTCATACTATACTTATATGTTTGTAATCTTCATCAGTTGCTAGAATGACAACATAGCAAAGAAAGTATAGCGTGATCGTAACTAATGGAATCTAATAAAGATCTTAAAACTTTTTGGGAAATTTTTTTTAGGGAAATGAAAGCACTGCGTTAGGCTCCTTTCTTCCTCTGTTATACTCATTTTCTCCAGAAAAAATCAGTTGTAAAATTCATCCGAATGGCAGAATTCAGACAGAATTATTTTGTCAGGTAGTGATGCAAAAGAATTTATAGAATATGTTAGATAAATATTATTGTAACATCCAAATCCTAATTAGTTTTAATAAAATTACCTATCTTCATAGACTTACCTAATAAATCTTATGTCATTACTTTTTCGATTGATGTTATCGCATCTTTAGAGCGCTGAAAGCGGTCACGTATCACGATCACGTACTCGTGAAGCTCATGAACCTGTTCGTGTTCGAAATACTCAAGGTCTTTTTTTCTTCCATTCTTTAATTAAAAAATGTTTATCGCACCACAAGAATTTAAGAGCTCTTTGGAATCCTGTATTTGAAGATGAACTATTGCTTGATGTAGGCTCTAAATACAATATTTTAACTTGGTAAGCATTACAATTATCTGCTTTAAAGTGTTGAAAAATTTAGATCTTTACATGTTGTTTAAATTAACTGACATTTGGTTGGTGGATTTGCACAAGTTTATGTAATTTAGGAAGAGTTAAAGGTGCGAATGGCCTTCCACCAATCGAAAGTGAAAGTCGTTTTCGGCAGTCATTGACTCGACGTCCAAAAGGAGGTGATTCGTTGGACCGAGATGTAACTAAAGCAGTAGGGAAGGAAAATGGTGAACTTTCTTTGATAGAAGTTTTCTGCATTTATCCATATTTTTGCGCATCACAGACAGCATGACACTTAAATTTAGAAAAGTTTGTTTCTTTGCTCTTCAGCAGAATCTTTCGCTATTCATAGTTGACTACAACTGATAAAATTTCTAGATGAAATTTGGACAGTTGTTACGAAGAAACCAGAACCTGTGCTCGAATTTGCATCCTGTTTACGAAGTCGTGTTGCAGCAAAAGTAAGGACTAATTTTATTTTTTTTTTCTTTTTTCGAAAACTGACGTAGTTCAGTAAGACGGTTATTGAAATGGGATTTTAACTTATTCAGATCTTTTTTATAACGAAACATTCATCTTTTTTTAAAATTCTGCGCTTTTTATGCAGTTTAAATGATCAGATGTTAGATTCAGATGATATGCATGCTCAAAACGATGGATAGAATAGTTATAAAGTGATGCAAGAACTTTCGTAAAAAAAGAATGTCATTTTTAGTAGCAAAAATTAAAAAGCAGCTGCCCAAAATAAATGCGTAATCAACTGTTTTTTCAATAAATTGATGGTACAAGTGCCAACAAACTTTTAGTATTTAAGAGCAATCAGAAGAATCTGTCATTGTAGACTTTTTCTCTTTATTCTTATCAAACTTACTTATATAGTGGCAAGCAACATGAGATTTTGATAGATGTTTCTAGTAAGCTATCATATGGTACTCTGGTTTATTATGTACCTAGCAATCAACTTGTTTTTATAGAAGACAATAGAAATAATTCTTTGGATAGTAGATTTTCTAAAATTGATTTTGTACAAATGGAAAACATAATCAGGTGTGTAAGCATTGTTTAAATTAGGGAAGGTCTATTGATTGCCTTTTTACTTCAGAATACCTATTGCCCTAAGATTAGGCAATATATTACACAAGGTTGCATGACTCTACTTGGTTGTTGATTCACATAACTCTAGAAAGGAGCTTTCCAGCTCAGTGATAGAATTATTAATTTCATTCAAATCCTTTCCTTGTAAGGCGTTTTTTGTGTTTGGTAACAGATTTTTCAAATTTTTATCAGTGGAAAGATTATCATTGCTTTCAACCAAATGTATGAGCTTATTCCCATTAATTTTAGCTTCTGCAAGGGAACGAGCTTTCATATCTTCATCAAAATTGTTTATTGACTGGTTAACCATTACTTGAATATCGGCTCACTTAAGCCAAAGCTTGAATTTATTTCAATTATCTCCTCGATGTCAGTAGTTTTTTCTCTTGCAGTAACAGCTAATATTTCGTCAACATTAATTATGAATTCTATTTCAAACGCAAAATTCTACAATCACCATAAAAATAAATAATAACATTAATATAATAATAATAACGAAACCGGTATCAATTGTGCAATATATACTGACAATAGATAATAAGTAACCTATATGGATCATTTCCGTATTATATTAAATAAGTTTGATTTGTTGTTTGTAAATGTTGGATTATCTCTCGAAGGCAGTTTTGTATAACCAACTTTAGTTATCTTTAAGGCAATAACAATTTACCGATTTTTAACTTTGTAATTGACTATCCGGCTGTTATTGTGGGATGTCTTCTTCCTTACTAATGTTTTATTCTTTTCAGAAAGTCCAGTCTACATCTACTCATTTCACAGGGCTTCCAAATACAGGGCAAACAAAACAGGATGCCCGTAAAGCTCCACGCCGACGAACTGAAGCGGAAAGAGAAGCATTCTACAGACGTCTGAGCACACCTAAAACAGTTGCTACGATCAAAAAATCCACCAAATGACGGATGGATGGTAAATGAAATGAAAAAACTGGCACAGTCCAGGGAGGAGAGAATGGGAATAAAATTTGAGCATTTTTTGATCTTTTTTTTTATAGTGGACAATTTGTATTGTGTTATTTCTGTTTTTCTTTCCTGTATATCACATCCTTTAACTTTATTCCCTCCTGTAGTAATTATATTTTTTAATTTAGGAAGAGTTAGCGATTTGTAGTATTCATACATGGTTTTATTTCCCCAAAATTTAAATAATTCTATTGATTTTTTGTTTCTTATCAATCCTGATGATAGCATTTTGTCCATTATTATTCTTTTTTTGATATTCATCCCAAATATCCATGTACGAAATACTAACATTTAGTTTTAACCGCATCCACTGACTGTATTTGCTGCATTCGTTTATTCATATGTACACCCCACTCGATATTATTATGATAGATTAGGAGTCGTTCGAATTATTCTTTTGAACATAATTAACACATGTTTACATGTTTACTTAAGAAAGATTCGTTTCCACCAGTTTTCAGTTGAGAAATCTTCAAAAGTTGCAGTGTTCTTGATTGTTCTTGAAGTCGTGCAATTCCTGCATATTAGGAAAAACTTCGTTATACTCCTTCTATTAGTCTTTAAAATTGGGCTGTTAAGTGTTTGAACGAAGAAACCGTGATTTAATGATCGGATTAGATTGTTTCTTGTTTCCGTTTCATATGTCGTTAATGTTAATTACGTTGCATTCAACAGGCTTTTATTTCTAATTTTTGGTGTTTATAATCAACAATGAATGGAACATACATTGTTTCATATAGCTTATTGTTTTAAATATATGAAAAAGAGTAAACATTATAATATTAGAAGTTTGAACTGTCATCAAGTTATCGTTTGGGAAACAAAATACCACTCGTAAAGTATTCCGACCTAAGTTCGCTAATTGTATAATTTGCATTAAATCAAATCGAATTTATTATCTAACACAAGAAAGCTTATATTACATCATACTATTGCTTTATGAAATCCCATACTTTTTTAATATTAATTCATGATAGCATGGAAAAAGTTTCAGCAGCAGATTTCTCATCAGTATGGTATGGAGGGGAAAAAAGAGGAAAAAAAAAGTATTTTTGTTGCTTTAAATACGATTACTTATGCATCGTCATCATTCTTTTCACTTTCCGATCAAAGATTATTCAGGCAAATTATTTCAAAAATTTCCCACACCAATTTCCCTCCAAATCCTGCATTTCTTACCTGCAGCAAGATGATGTTAGTGACTGCCTAGCAGTCTGCGTGCATATGCTACTAGCAGTCTGCATGCATATGCTATCACACCTATCTTTTGGTTAAATCGATGAATTGATTGGGTGTTGTGTTGTGTGTCGTCGCACATATGCTGTGCATTACAATTTAATCGTAATGTTAAATTGATTTTTTGTAGTTCTTATAAATTTAAGTCCTAATAAATAGAATTCAACTTTCCAAAAGAAAAAGAAAGGTATTATCCAATGATTCACTCAGTCCAGTGATTGAATAAGATTCAGTCCAGAGATTTATAGTTATTAATTAGGTGTATACACTAACAATTTCATCATATATTTCTTTTATTTTAATACTCATTCATATATTTATTTCATTGCATTTAGTTGATTAGATGTATCGCACGTAAAATGTTTGTTCATTAAAAAAAGGTACTGTTCTCTGTATCTAAAAAAAAATTGAAAGCGTAAGATTAAGCTTTTAAGAGAAAATAATTGAATAACTTTAGGACAGTATGTCACGACCTAAAGTATTCTTCGATATTACAATTGGTGGAAGTAATGCAGGACGAATTGTCATGGAGGTATATGTGTATTGTAAAATAAGAACTAAAACATAAATTTGTAAATATTTGCACTAAATTGTATAACATAAAATTGTAAACAAAGTTTGAAAAATTTTGAGAGAAAACAAAAAGAGAAAACTCCAAATTAATAATAAAAGATTTTTCCAATTATAATCATCTAATAAGAATTTTTCTTTCAGCTTTTTGCTGATATTGTACCTAAAACAGCTGAAAATTTTCGCTGTCTCTGTACCGGCGAAAGAGGTATGGGACGAAGTGGTAAAAAATTACACTATAAAGGATCGAAATTTCATCGTGTTATACCTAATTTTATGCTACAGGTTTATCATTTGTTGCTAATAAATATTTGTTACGTAGGGCTTTAAATAGAAAAAAGTAATAAGATATGTGTATCATGAGGTTCAGTTGATTGATTGTTATTTGAAAATTGTTAGAATATCATTTTTCATGAATAAATTTTTCCACTATTAATCTCCATAGAAATTATACTTTAACCTATAGGATAATAAAAAAAGCTTGTCGATTTTAAGCTTTTTGTACTATATTTTCAAAAAGACATTTTCAGGGTGGTGATTTTACACGTGGAAATGGCACAGGAGGTGAATCAATTTATGGTGAAAAATTCCCTGACGAAAATTTCCAGGTAATATATTTCTCGTCATTTTATTTCATCCATAATATGTAATTATCATGTGAGATGTTGTCTTAGCGTTGAAAGTTTACATATATAAAGATATATTATGTAACACTTTAATTTTAAGAAATGGAATAAAACACAAAGGTCAATGGTAGTTATATGAAATCCAAAATTATTAGGCATTATTGTAGCAAGAAGGATTGGGATGAAATTTTTGAGAATTTCAGGAGAAGCATACAGGTCCTGGTGTCTTATCAATGGCTAATGCGGGACCAAATACTAATGGTTCTCAATTCTTCATCTGTACTGCAAAAACAGAGTGGTAGGTTTTCAACTTCTTCTCTTCTGTAGTCAAGAATTCGATAATTGAATAATCTTTATAGCCTATTCAGTTACACATATATTCATATTGACATAATTTTTATGAGGAAAGGAGATTTTCTTCTTTTCCTTAAATGTTTTTCCTTTTTGGACAGTTTTTGACATGATCTTTTATTTTGTCTGAATTTTAAAAGCAAAAAAGGTTTCATCATTGATTTACCCGGTACCAAATTTATTTTTAATACTGATGCATATCAAAGAGGTGGTTTCTTTTCATGGGTCTTTTCCGTTTCTCTTTTTTTTTTTTTTTTTCACATTTTTTCTTAAATGTATATCTTGAAGTTATATCAAATAAATGGGAAGATTGTTCAGCTGTGGAATTTATGATTTAATCATTCTAGATTTTTATCTAGGATAACTTCTGTGTTTATAGGTTGGATGGAAAGCATGTGGTATTTGGTCGTGTTGTAGAAGGTATGAATGTCGTGAAGGCAGTCGAAAGTAAAGGATCTCAAAGTGGACGAACATCGGCAGATATAGTAATTTCAGATTGTGGACAATTGTAATAACACATATCGGAAGAAGCATTTCCATACTGTTGATCACATTAATGCAAAATTTTTGTTTACGATGCAATTTTGTTTATTTTATGCTATCAGATTTTAAAAATTGTTTTAATTCAATAAACATTTTAATTTTTTTTCTGCAAAATATCTACAACATCTTTATAATCAAAATAAATGAAAGAATTATTATTGTTCGGACATTAAAAAAAGTAAGACTATAATCTTTTTGCGCTAATTCGTATATGAATTATTCTGATCCTTGATTATAAATTGAAATATTTAATTTGGTCCAAATACCATGATGAATAAAGCAAACTATCATTGTATTGTTAAAGTAATATTTATGACCGAAGATGAGTTACATGAGAAAATCATTCAGTCATCTACAACATTGATTACAGTTAACGAACATGTTGCATTCAATTTAACAGTTACATTTTCCATTAAATTACAATAGCATTTCTTTTGATCTAATCAAAAAAAGTGAAAATGTCATATATGAAATTAGAATATGCAAAGGAGCATCTTTGTAAATAAAGCATTTAGTTTGTAGATTTCATTTCCTATTTTAACTTCAAATTTACACTAATTTCTTGCCTAATATACAGAATATTATGTATTATTATAGATTTGTATTATAACTTCTGCATACTGTTATAGATCATGCATCCAGTAGCAAACAGTAAATAGTAAGTATTACGTAGTAAGTAGTAGTTGTAGCAAAAATTTTTTCAGTTTTCGTAATTGATTAAGAATTTTCTATTACATATAAACTTTAGTATTTTTCTTTTAAATAATAAGCATATTTGTTGATTAGTGTACATAATATAATTGACAAACTTGATTACTTATTAATGATTGATTGTTATCCAATTGATGCAAATGAAAATTATATAAAAAGACAGTAATTATATCACATTTCTCAGTTATTCATTATGGAAGTACAACGAATCAATTCTTTGTAATGTTTCAATTTACATATTACATCTTTAATTTAAATCAAAATTAAAAAAATCCCACTGGTTTTCTTTGTTTACTTTTTTTCCTCTTGATGAAAAGTTTTAAAATAAGTTACTATTGCTGCTAATAAGTTCACACAGTATATTATTAAGTCAACTTTGTTCTAATACTGTATTGATAAAGTTCTGTTATAATAGGGAATATGTTTCAGAACAACGAAAAATTGCTTCACTCCTCGTTTTTTCTTTTTCTCAAAATTTGATAACAATGAAACATTTTTTTTCCACTCGATCATTATCACCTATCAATCTCCTTTGCATTAGTAGATTTCAATATTCAGTTGTTCAATTGAATACAATTACTAAATATCATTAGTAAATTCTTCTCATAGGAATCCCTATACTTCCCATATAGTATCATTTAGATCGTAGCACTGTGCTTTTATTAAAAATTAATTAGGTGAGAATTTGTTAATCACTGATTGTCATGCATAACACTCATTCTACAGACAATACTGTTCTTTAGAAAAGTACAAGTGCTTCTCACCCTAACATCTCTCTCATTTCTGTAATAACAATTAAACAACAGTACGCTTAAGTCTCATTCTTATTTAAATCATAAATCAATTCCTGATTTTAAATTATGCATTATTTCCTAACTAAAATTTCACCACGTCCATCACGATAAGACAGATTCACCGCTTTCTCATTAAAATTAAAAAACTACCACTCACTCTTGCCATCACATTGACCCATACTTACTGATTTATTCCCAATCATTTTCGTTGCAATATGACCTCACAAATTTACTAGTTATTTTTTTATTTGCTTGACTAATTCGAGCTTACCACCAGATCTTGCAATTTTGAATTCACAGCATAACAATGTAAACAGCAAGGAAACAATAAAAATTACAACACATTTTGAAACAGTGAAAAGGTACATCCATCCCAAATGCGATGGTAAAATGCGACGAATATCCGTTAATTTCCCTCGGAGATACATTCATACGGTGAATACATATTAGTATGCATATCATATGTTCAAGCATATCCCATCAAGTACGAAAAATGTCGTACTTTAATTCAGAATAAGCATAACATACTTTTCTTTATAAAATGGAAAACGGCATAAACGAATATGTTATCAATTTTAAGGGAAAATCTTCAGATGATGCAATAATGGTAAAGGCTTATCTAAGGTATTTATGAGATTCTTTGTATAAGATGCAACCATATAAACAAACAGAAACGAAAAAACTTCCAAAATATCGAAACAAATCTAAACCTGAAAGCTGAGCATATCCCGGATGAAATCGACGTATATAAACCAAATTTTACATATTAATGTTGCGATTTTAACTTGTTAAATTCAAGAAAATGATGATGACTTATGAAAACGTAACAATAACAACAACACAATAAGCAAATGAGGAAATATATCTGAAATTGCAATATGCAAAACAATTAAGCCAATATGGCTTACGTGAAGGTTGACCCAGCTTATCACTTTTGAGCTGGCGTTTCAATTCCCAGCGCTTTTATTCGCCCTTATACATGACCCACACACGTGGGCTATCGATATAACCTGAAAGGCTTAATTAGTGTCCAGAAATGAACAATTACTTGGGAGGAACAAGATAAAAAGGTAATATCAAGTGGAGCGCAAATGTGCCAATTACATACAAATAAACAAACCAAACATCATGATACCAATCTTTTATTTACTTTCATAGAAAGAATATATCACACTGTAAATTGATATGTGACGGGTGAAGTACACATTCAAGTAAATTTTTCCGTTTTCTGCAATCAACCATATAGGAAATCTTCGAAGAATTCACTCCGTGTGTATGAGTGTGCATGTATATATATATGTGTGAGTTTGTGTATGCATGTGTCTCTTTATAAGAAATTTCTTTTTTGAAATTCAACTTCAAACTTATCGAAATTTTACTGAAACTTGAACTTATAAGGAAATGGAAGCAATTCATCTTATTTTCATCTTATTTTTTAAGATTTTTTAACAAGCTCTTTTGTACATTAGCCAAGAAATACTTGGATAACCAGAATAACGCAAATCCATATGTTTTATTGTGTTCCATTTGCCAAGAACTTTTCTAGGACAATTAAAACACCGTTTTCACCTATCCATATCCGCAAAATATGTTTTAAATGTTAGAACAGCAACATCGTTAATTAAAGTGAAGCTATAATAATAATAAAAAAAAAAAAACGACAAATCTTTTGCTTTCCTTAGACTGCCACCAATTCTATCGCTTGAGCTGAATTGCAAAAATGCATAATAAGTATCAAAAGATGAGAAAACAAATGTCAAACCTGCATTCGACTCACTGGTCAAATAGCCACCATGCTCTTGCAAAGTGTGATCTTTAAGAGCACCCCATTCGGCACACTTATGCTGGCATACGGAGCAAATATAGCCATGTTCTTCCTTTTGATGTTCTTCCATCCAGACAAAACGATTACATTTGAAGTCACAGATTCGACATTCAAATTTGATTATACCCGTATGAATACGCTCATGTGTTGTCACCTTTAAGTGAATAAGGTAACAACACGAAATGAATATTAAAATTTATGTGAATATTAAAATTCAGTTGTAAAATTCAATATTAAAAATTTTAAAATACACGCACAATGAATGCGCTAGAGTGAGAAAGCGACTACCCTTTTATCTGAGTTTACATTGAATTTCAAACCTGAATCACCCCTTTGTCCAGAACTTTGGGTTAGAAATATGAAAAAGAAACTGACCGAACATTCGCTTGTGAACAGTTCGTCACAAAAGTGGCAAGGGAAAGTTTTTGTGAAAACGTGAGCCATTTTCTTGTGTTTCCTGAGTTTTCGCGGTGTAAGAAATTTCAATGTACACATGTTACATTTGAAACCCGAATTCGCACCACGATGAAACTTAGCCCGGTGGTTAAGCAATCTTTGTTGTGTGCAAAGATTTCTCAGAGGAGTACATTCAAAGCAGATAAATGTCTGAAAGTAAAGTTATGAAGTAGAATACGCATACAGCTCAATTTTTTTTTTTTTTTTAATTATTGAATCTTCGTACAACCACTTTGTTATTTTCTGTATATTGGACTACCCATTATCTTTTCTCACTACTTAGCTTACCAAAACTACTTCTACACATATCAATGCATGGTTAATTGGACGAAATTTTATACTTCCTTGATTAAAAAGCTGAAATAAGGCACAAGTTCCTGTAATTTATGAAAATTTGTATATTTTCTACTGGAATAACTGAAATTCTCATTATCCAAAAATGGAATCACCAAGTCACATTCATGCGCTGAGAGTTCGTTTTTCGTTTTCACTGCTTTGAAACAACGTAAACACTGAACAAAATCAACGGTTTCTGGATGCTTCTTCACAAAATGCTTCTTCAAGGAAACCTCATTCCTGAACCGTTTGTCACAAAACGGACATTGTGGAGAAACCTGACAAAAAAATTTGTAACTAATTTGAATTTTGGTTGCCTAAAATTAAACAGCTCTAGAAATGAAACACAGATATTCCTACCTTTTTCTTGTAAGAACGTTTTGGTTGACGTAAGAAACCATGTCGATCGAAACGTGCTGGGATACCACCACTTAATTCACCAGGCAACGGAATTCTAAAAGAGCCAAAATAATTCTAACTCAACAGATACAGATGATAAGAAAGATGAAAAGTTTGGTGGAGGGAAGATGGTTGAAACAAATCAATTGTCAAATTCTGGGAATACCACTTCAAAATAAGTGTTTTACTTGTCAACTTCAACTTCATAAGATTCCGCATCTATCTCGCGTTCCGGTGGGATGTAACCTCCTGTAGCAAGTTCTTCAATCCGATTTGCTTCAAGCTCGGCTTGCCTAAAGTTTTTAACAGAATTAAAACAAACAACTTCCTACAGTCTTGATTTACATTTTCAATTACCAAACACTTGATAAATAACATAATTAATCGGAAATCCTTGAAGTTCAAGAACCTTTGTTCAGCAATGTCCTCTTCTTGCTGTATCAAATATGCCAAATATTCGGTATAATGCCGGTCTCGTAGATGTCTTTCATATAAATTCTTTTCAATAAAACGGTTTTTACAAATTTTGCATCGTACCATTTTAGAACGTATGGCTTTCCGTATCTGAAGAATTACCTACAGTGCTGATCAAAGAAGCTGGCAACATAATTCCCAAATTTAACAAAATTAAATGCAAAATTAGTGGACCTCATCTGGAACCGTAGGATGGGGTGGAGGAGGTGGAAGTTCACTAAGAAGCACACCATCTTGAAGTCGTATTGGAAATGTTGTTGCATCTGATGAAGCTGAAATTAACACATTTGTACATTCACTAAATCACTGATCCATTTTAAAGCGTGAACTTGACTGAAACTGAAAGAATAACAATTACTTGACAAAACCAATTTAAAAGCACGAATTACCGTTTGGACGAACGATTTCTGGGTGATACACCCACTTCCTCGGTTGATTTTCTTTCCGGTTGGTATCCAATTTTCGTCCATACCGATCAAGTACGACTCTTTCCTTTTTTCCGCTTTCCGCTGATGTATTAATTGGAAATAATTTTGAAATTAACCAACCAACACCAGACATATGAGATCGTTTCTGAAATAGGATATTATTTGTCTAGCTGCAAAAAAAGATAAGTGAAAAAAATTTGTTTCTCGCAATTTATAACTAATCATAAGTTGTAATCATATTTAGAAGAATACAAAATCACTTGTAAGTTCGAAAGCGATCATATATCTTCAGTAAAAGCTAGAACAATAAAGATGATTCATAACAAGTAAAAGTTGGAATAAATGAACACAAATGCATTAATACCTTTCTAAGTTCCCGAACCTGCTTTTCCTGTCGTACAGCAACGGAAAGCATATTTCGCAACTCATCACAATCCGGTCCATTTGAATTGTACGGCCGACGTCGCACTTCACTTTCATCTCTACCGGTCAGTTGTTCAATCAAAGCATTAGCAATGATTTCTTCTAAACCATCATCGTCCACTTCTATTGCTTCTCCCATCACTCTTTCATTTCCTTCGATTTCCTGATATGTCAGCGAATCCGAATTAAATCTTAATTTCTATATTCAAACCCGACTTCTAAAAGTAACAAATCTCGACATATCAGTAAAGGCTTGTTGCACTTCCATAATTCAAAACGAAAATACCGTCGTTTGCAATGAAGCTTTGAAACTCGGTGAATCACTACGGGATGAAATATCATCTCCACCGTCGTCCAGATCGATAATAATACTCGATGACGAAAGTTTGCTTTCAGTTTTGCCATCCAGCTGTAATCCATGAGCATTAGATGATGTGGCAACAACGGAACTGTAATGTTGCACCGGTGATGGCGTATAAGTTGATGTGTCTATTTCGTCACCATGTTCCGAAGATTCAGGCGAGTATGGCTTATTGTAATCACAATCATATGAATTAACCGCCATAGTACAATCATCATATAAATCTGCAATTCATAAACCATAAAATACCATGAAAATGAAGCGCACAAAAGTGTATGTCATCAACAATATATTGTTTGAAAAACAAAAAGTTAAAAGACAAAAACTGTGCTAAGAGAATATAAATGGTGAAAATGGGATCTCAAGAACTCTTTTGCTTAAAAAAATTTTTTAACTGTCGTCAATAAGAAATTGATCAAATGCAAAATTCAACCAATTATCGCGAAATCCTCAATTAGCGGACAGATTAAATAACATATAACTGATTATTGAGATATATAGCAACTGTGCTTGGGATTGACTCCATTTGTATCAGAGGCAACGGTGTATTACATGAATCAACAATTTTGATGACTAAACCATTGAAAGAAACAATCGGATGACAACATATAAAACTCACTGGCATCACAAGTACTTAAAAAAGTACTCAAGGATACCAAATAAAACCTGTAAATATGTTTCCTCTCCTACCTTTAGTTGGATGTTTGGATAAAGTTACATGGTTTTTGAAACCGTCGTATGTTGACATCAGTATCCTTTTCCGTCCTTTTTACAGCACCTTCTTTACAATTTCTATTGTAATATCACTACTGATTTATCCCACCGATCATTACATTCACATCCATAAATCTACAATAAAATTCCATTGTTGATTTTCTCTTACACAAAATTCAAGATCAATCAGTGCACTGGGTATCAACATGAGAATTTCAATAGCAATCAATAACATATACAATTTAAATTAGTCTATCTTATATCATAAATTTTCAGGGAACAAACTATTTAATTTTAATTGTGAAAATACCAAATTTAATTCAAGTATAAGATAACACTGCTTCGTCCCACAACTAACCGTCTACCTTATTCCAAACATACCACAGCATACTTTATGCTAACGTAGTAGACTTCACTCTGACGTAAGCTACTCAACCCTACGTAAAAGAAGGGTAAAACTAAGCCTACCTCCACGTCAACCACCTAAGCTTATAACTCCCATATGACGCTAAAATGAAATTGGCAGCAAGCCAAAGCGCTAATGGATTTCGTTCCAAGAATTTGTTCGTGCATTGCAACGGAACGTCGCGAAAATTTAATTAGTTCGCTCCACTTGAAGGTGCCATTGTTTTGCTTTCATTTCTTTCGCTGTTTTTTCTTCTTAAATTTACTCGAAGTTCATCTTTCCAACTAAACTTTACTTAAAATTACATTAATTAAGCTTTTGCTGCGTTTATAATTGAAATCAATTTAATTGATACATTAAATTTAATTAATTGGTATAATACTGATTCAATTTTTTTCGATAATTCAAAATTTTTATAAAAGAGCTATAAAAGAGTTTGGTTAAAGTTTCATCCATCGATCACATGGATAATTTATTGGAAATATACAAATTATTCTATTGCAAACGAATCTTTACAGGAACTAAAAGTACATAATTCTTTTTAACTACAAAAAAATTTTAGCTTTATGGGAGAAAAAAATTCTCCTATAAAATTAGCTAAATTATTTTATGGGAGAAAAAAATTCTCCCATAAAATTTAGCTAAATTAAGTGTGCAAAAGAAGCGAGCAAACTTATTTTAATCTTTTCATAATTTCAAAAATAAAAAATAATTCAATTTCCAGTTAATCACAATATGACATTTTGTTCTTAGTTTGTGTTCACAGTGCTGCAGCTAAAGATGATAACTTAATAGATTCTATCGGATGGTTAGCTTCCTTTATGCTAAATTTTTGACATTTTTTTTCGATTACATTCTTCGAATTAATGAATAATTGATCTTCTTGATAATTTTATATAATAATTCAAGCATGGATCGTTATGAAAACCTTACGGTTAACATCATTTTTTTATAATTTGAAATAAATTTAAATCCAGTCCGATTCATGTTTTTTAAAGTTGGAAAATCAAAATTCAATAAAGGAATTTGTTTCGAACTTGGTTGGCACTTTTTTACATGTCTTTCCCATTAGATATGATCTGCTCACATCCTCACAATGAAGTTTTGATTTCCGAAACAAAAAAGAATTTTCAAACTTCACTTTAAACAGAAGATGAAGAATCTAAAAATAAGTGTAAATAGTTACTGCATTGAATTTAATTTTGAATTAATCTTATAAATTGATTACGAAAATCCTACAATCAGCATTTTTTTTGTAATTTGAACACGAAAAAAATTATAATCGGTTGGAAAACTAAAATGCTGACTCGATAGCTTTTCTCAGAAATCATGATTGTCCGTCATTGTTCTTTCAGAATTCCAAGACGGTATGTTATGTAAGAGATGACAATCGGAATAGACGAAATATATATCATACTGCATTAAATCAAAAAAGTTCAATGCTAACGATAAGACCTATCGAATTGCTATCAAATCACTGAATAAAATTGACGACATTAACCCTTGTAATTATATAAATCAAAGCGAGTAGGACATTTCAGCAGTTATCTTTTACTAAAAATTAAGCATTTATAAGCCAATCATAATCTTATAAGACATTATCTTCAATAAGTGCAAAGATAATGCAACGCAAACATTAAATATGAAAACATTTTACGCAAATTTTGAAGAGATATTACAGTGACGTCTTGTATAATTTGGATAAAAGTTCCCATTATATAAATTTTTAAAAAATTAAGTGGCCTATGGCGGTAAATTTCCTGTAGTTAAAACTAATAACATGATTAGAAATCCACTTCTTTTTACTGTATTTGTCGTTTGCGATGAAACTAAAAGTTATTTGTCCCATTCAGCTGCTCTATGACTCATTATTTGCAGATGCATTCCTTCAGTTTTGTTTCTGCTATTAGAATTGAGGTATGTTTGATATCAATCTCTGAGATATGTCTGATATCACTTTCTCAAGCGTTACAATAATTTTTATTTATTTTAAATTAAAATATTATAGGATCTTTATAATCGTGTGACTGCAACACATATCTCAATCAGGAAGAACCAGAAATGCTCATTATCAAACATCCTGTTCAAATCACCTAACTGTAGCAAGACTACCAAGACATCCAGCTTAGGTGGTCGAAACGTACTCAAACATGCATAATACAAGAACATCAAAAATTTTCTGTTATTGACACAGATAATTCGTTCAGTCCCAATTCCAATACCAGAATAACTCATTCGACACTATATTAATGTGATAGCAATCACAAGGCTGTCGGTGTATTATCTTAGTGTTCATTTTTCGAGAGACGAAAGCAATCACTTCTAATTGAGAATGACAAAAATAAATATATATTTTAGACGTCCCAAGCGATGTCTTTTTCTTTACTTAAAATAATTACAAATTCTGCGGATTCCTTCACTTAAGCTTATCATGTATTGATCGCATTGATATCACTAAACTTTTGCAGTTCCGATGGACGAATTAAGCATGGTGATCGAAATTGGATAGATAAAAAATTGTAACAGCATTGTGGAATGCATTTCCATAATTTTTTCTTTGAAAACACTTCAGCTTTTTTCCTTATAATGTTTCGAAAAAGAAATTTGCTTGTAGCTCATTTCTTGCAACAAATATTGAAATTAATAACTTTTTTGCCATAAATGAACACAAATGTAACAAACTGTTTCATACGGACATTCCCAGTTTTCGCTTCAATTTTTCGGCTGGATTTGAAACCGGAAGAGCAACTTGTGTTGCTGAATTCTTTGCTACTGATTGTACTTTTTCAGCTATATTCTCCTTAATCTCTTCCTAAAGAATTCCACTGTTCAAAGTTAAAAAAAAAGAACGTGGGAAAGATTTTGTTAAATAATTCAGAAGAATTTTACAAAGAAGCAGAGGCAGAAGTAATTTTAGAAAATGGGGAAAGAAAGATTATTCAACAGAAAAAATATAATTCGAGTAACTGACCTGTTTCAGCTCTCTTTCTTTAGTTTTAATATAACTTCGGGTAATAACAAATGAAATACTGCAAATCATAATAATCATTCCAACCGCAATCATAGCAAAGAAAATTGAGTAACGATTTTTTTCAAACTCGGCCGATAGTAACAGATTTGACGGTCTCTAAAAACGCTTTCGAAGTTGAACAAAAAATAACGTGCATATGATGCAATTAATGAATTCTAGAAGGAAGCAACGAAACGAGTGAACAAATGAGTTTTTGAGAAACAGAGAAAAAATGAAACAATCAACAAATCATTTTCTATATTTCAGGTCAAAAAGAGCTTTAGCATAGTTAATTGCCATATTGAAGTCACATCAAATTTCATTATAATAAATAACACTACTTAAGATATGATGGTTTTTCAATTATCATCTATTATAGCGTAACACTAACACTTTGCAAATAATATAACACCAAAGAATTTCTTGAGCAAATGGTCTATGAAGTTTATCGAAATAATTAACAAGATGTAGAAATTTAAAAATGAATTAAATTATTAATAACATACGGAATCATAATATGCTGATGGCCCCCACTCATATTTGCTAAAAGCCTTTACGGCGATCGCATCTATTAGCCTCGTATTGTAGTTTGGTTTCGTATCCGCAGTTACCATTCTAGTGCGATCTGCAAAACTCAGAGACGACATCATATCTACAATATGAAAATGGTATAAACTAGGATACAGCTGAGATGAAAGGCATGTATAAATCAGGACAAACTTACGAGGAGAAATTGTTGTACCCTGATAGCTGCTTCCAATACATTCAGGGAAGCAACGTGCCACGTAGTATTTCGAATGAACCTTAAATATGTTATAATATCTTCCACAGGAAAATATCATTAGAACTTGAATAACTTTAAGTAAAAAATATTATGAAATATTCGAGTAGAAAAATATAGCAATCCATTCTTTAGCACACAAAAAAAAAATAGTCTTCCAACTTTTTTTCCTCAATAATCTTCAATAATATAATCTAATCTGTTAGAATATTTATTATCCTTATCCATATTTATTTTATCCCTATTTTATCGATTATTCAATTAGCACTTCAGAAATTAGAATCTATCAAATTTACGTGTGCTCAGTACTAAAGTATATAGCCGATGTTTTAAGAAATCTCCGGAACGAATCTACACATTAGCATATTAATTTGTTCAAAAGCCAGCATCATTAATTTTAGTTCTGAATTCAACTAAATTTTATTATTATTAAGTACACCATGACGTTTCGTTTAGTGACCTTATTTTTGACTACAGTTATAAATAGTGAATTTTCTCTGAAGATCGGAGGAGATAAAAGATTGAATTAAAACAGATATCGCTGATCAAGGATAATGAAAGACTGCCGTGATATCTATTTTCGCGCTTTATTTTTCTTATAGGGGTAATTAAATGAATGAAAAATGATAAAAGTTTTGTTTTATGCTGAAAAATGAAACAAACAGGATCGTAAGCATAGCACCATGGGCCTATGGCCGACGCATTGGGCTCGATTATCTTCATGTGTGTAGCCAAGTGACGATTGTTATCATTATTCGTTAGTGTTAAATCAAAATTTCGACAATTATTGTGAATCATGAACTCGTCTGGGTATACCCTAAACTTAAAAAACCAAAATGAATAAAATGTAAAACTGCAAAAGTTTATATTAAAGTGAATTTAGCACTAGAACGAATAGAATGGAAGTAGTTTAGCTCTAAATGTGGATTTCTTCTAATTTATTTGACCTTCTAAATGATATCTTATCTGAAATCAAATAATCGCTCATTTTCAGAATGTGAATATATGGACATAAACGGGCTATATTTTAGCAACATCTTACAAAGTTCTTAGAGGTAATGTCTTAGCGAAGACGGAAATACCGACAGAATCAAATGTCACAACTATTTTCCATGTTCTCGTGCAGTATGAAAATTATCAAACATGCTAGTTTTCGGTTTATTTTAAAAGTACTTAAAATTCTTACCAATAATCCTTAACACCATTATCCACTGCCCACTTAGTCATAGCGCTAATCACATTTTTCCAAACTTCACATCGACCTGACAATGGAGTAGTGACCGTTAGTAATGATCCACGAATATAGGTTGATACATTGCCGTAGTACAAATAATCTTTTAAATGAGCAGTAGGAATACATTCCACATCTCAAATGGAGATCGATATTCACAACTAAGATAATGTGACTTTTAACGAAAGTCGTATTCACTTGCAAATAAATAAAATTGTGATTGAATAATGAGACACTATAAAACCACTTAAAAACTTTGTTACTCATATGAGAGGTCGATGAAAACTTACAAAACATATCATCGAATTGAAAATATGGAGTTGGTTTCGATCTTACGAACAACATAGGAAGCATAATCCAGTCATATAATCTCATTATAACAAATTATTTTAGTGCGTTTGAGAATTTGATTTTTCAAAAAATGAATTTTAAGAATAAACAAATAAATTTGCATACTTAAAAGATATTTCTGTATATAATAGGGTATGAAATTACTTTTAGATAGTTCAAAGCAGCAATGTCCTCTTATTGCATTACAAATTTTCTTTTGATTTTAATTTATTCAGAAACTCATCAAACAATTGAAGGTGCAATACGTATCTATTATTTTTCTTAATACTAACTATATTGTTATGAAAAATTCATTGCAGCTTAATTAATGTTCAAACGATTACTCTGATGCTTTTATTGTTAAAATATAATTGTTAAACCCATTTTATGCTAAAATTTTCTTCAATAATTAATCGTAAAAGTAATTACATCATACATCACTACAATTATGTGATAGCCGATCCTATCTAGTGAGTCTCTATTATGGATGCAACCATTAATGTGTATCAAAAATAGACGATAACTATGTTTCCTGCCTAAAAGGAGCTCTCTCGGTACTCTGTTCAGGTCAAATCAGAAAAACAACCAGTTAATTAACTACTGAATGCTCAATGAAGGATGCTAAAGATTGCTCTTTCTCTAGTTTTCACAAGCAATCTTACATAATTGATAATGCATCACTAAGTAAAATGAAAAGTCTCGAACACCTTGAAGTGCTTTTCAGGTACGCATTCAAGAGCACCTTCAATCCTTATCACAAGCGCTATATTCACTGTTCTAACAAGCGTCACACCAACACCAGAAACTGATCTCTTAAAAGTCATTTCTGAAAATAGTCCAAGAACTCTTTATCATCACTCCCTCACTCAAAAACAAAAAAATGAAAGAACGCTTACTGCAAAAAATTTTTTCACAATTCACAGCAAAGCTGGTGAGTCACTCAGTAGTTCAAACTTTTTGTACAAAACTTCCAAAAAAGTTTAATTCTGCTCAGAAAACTCTAATTCAAATTTCGTAGTTAAAATGATAGTTTTTTAAATTAATTTCAAAGTTTTTCAAGTTAATTTGCTAGACATATTATACAAGACAATGATATTCAGCTGTGTATAAAAAAATTCAAATAAATGTGGAAGAATCAAATCAATGTAAGAAGTCAATTCTTAATAAATTCACCAGAAGTAATTTAATTGTAGATAAAATTGCAATATATTCTATCATTGGAGCAATGTTTCTCACTGCAGTAGCAAATCTAGGCTTATTTTTGGCCACATTATTCCATTATTTCTTCTCAGAAGATAAAGAAGAAAAAAGTGAAAAGAAATAAAATTTCAAATGTCTACAAAATTTATGGGTAAATCATCTAATTCGTTAATAAACTATTCGTCCATTACTGATATTTTATGTTTATTTCTTCTCAATTAGAAAATAGTATGCTAACATTTCAATCATCTTCAATTAATCTTTCTTCCTGCATGAATTTTTTATTTACAAAAAGAAAAACAATAAAACATATTAGCAAATCATATGAGAAAAAGCAATCAAAATTGAACAGTGAGATTTTACACACTCTTACAAGAATAAATCAGCAGAAATGATGCGACCAAGGACATATGGGTGACAGAGCATATGCGCAATCATTTTGACGTTGTCCGAGTACTTCTCAATTATATGATGTCGGATGACTTCCGATTTTGAGTGTTAACATCGATTGAAGAAATATTTAGGACATTTCATAACTTTATGAGATTTAAACAACTAAAAAACGTTTGGACAATGGAAATCAATCCGATATAGAATTCCTGCAAACATTTATCATAGTCCTAAAATACATAATTTGAACATCTCATTGCGATGCTATGACAAGACGAAATATATTCATAACTCAAAAATATCCTATTAGGTGATGGTTAAGAATTAAAACTGTTCAAATTCAAATCATTCATAAGCGGTGAAAAAAAGGAACAGTAGTGAAGGATGTGTCGCTACTATTTACAACTATTGACAAGTTCATCTTATCGTCCCCACGAAATCAACAATTCAAAATTGATGAACAGAAAACAGACTTAAATCTCTGATTCCCTACTATTAAGACAAGAATTTGCATAGCATTCCTCGTGCACTGACCAAGTACCGTACTCATATGCTAAGGGTGCTTACAGTGCTTAGTCCACCGTTCCGGAAAGGTGTTGGTTTGCTTATGAGGGATGTCCCGTGGTGTCAGTGGTAATCGTGTGGGGTTAGAAATTCCGGTCTGTATTAAAAATAAGTTCATTCTACTAATTGCGTTCATTCATACTTTTCGGATTTACAAATCAAATTTATCATCGCCTCAAGTGAAATGCTGGCGTGAAAGCGACTCAGTGAGTTACTGAACAATTCAGTGAGTAAACAAGTCATTGTCCAGATGTTCAGGAGGGCATCACATTAATGGGACAGTTCAAATTCAGTATTTCAATAATTTGTGTAATTATTGGCGAAAGGTTGCTGTCAACACTGAATTAAATGTTTATTAATCGTTGCATATTTCGATCATCGGATAACACATATGTCCATAAGGTACTAATAATATCCATTCCACCTTGTCATTTGTAAGCTACTGAAAAATTTTCGGAAAGGTACTTAATTCATAATTGTTTAATTTAATTGGTAACATTCTTTCCATAAAAAAGACCTAGTTTTAATGCCTGAATGCATTAAAATGATATCTCTGATTTTTTCACCTGTAAATAAACTTTTTTCCAGGCCATCAAATTTCTATTATCCAATTTCTGGAGTGGATGCTGAAAGACTATTGAATACATGTGGTACTGAAGGATCATTTCTAGCTCGTCCCAGTGGATCCAGTCCATCCAACTACACATTGTCTGTTCAGTACGTTTATCCAACTTACATAGAATTCCAAAATAATTTCATGGAATTTCTTTCAAAAACAAGGGGGACTCAAAACAAGTATCTAATTAAACTCAAAATAATTATCGAATTCAGCAGAGGTGATCGTATCAAACACGTCAAAATACAGAATAATGGAGACTGCTTGGATTTATACGGCGGTGAAACGTTTGCATCACTTTCAGAGCTTGTTCAGTTTTACGTCGAAAATCCAGGCCAGCTGCGAGAAAGGGATGGTGAAATCATTGTTTTAAAGTATGGTTGTTGTTTTCATATATGCAGAAAAGCTTATGTAAAGATAATGAACTAAATATAGCTTGTTTTAAAAGAAAACGTTTCTTAGCCTGTAATTGGCATAATAGATATTGAAATTGCACTCCATTCAGATGTCCTTTGGTAATACCTCCAACGGAAGCCGTCGGATGGGCTTTTTCTCGTCCTTCCACAGAAAGGTGGTTTCATGCAGGTTTATCGGGACCTGAAGCAGAACGATTGCTTCTTGCTGAAGGCAAACATGGAACATACTTGGTGAGAGAAAGTCACAGCTCACCAGGACAATTCGCTATTTCAGTGAAAGCTGCAGATGACAAAGTGATACACGTAATGATTTACAGTAAGGTAATTTTTCTTTTTTCGGTTTCTGTCATAAAAAACGTAACTGACTTATAAGAATCACTATGAAAAAAAAAAAAAAAAAAAAAAACCTGCAATAAGTTACTATTAATTGAATATTGAAAAATAAATTTGATCCTTTTTTTTCATTCTCTTCGGTTTTCAAATATTATATAGAACGAGATATTCTAACCTACCAAAAGTTGTTGTGTAGAGTGATAAATTTGACATTGGTGGCGGAGCTACATTTTCTACAATCAGCGAACTTTTGGAACATTACACGAGGAATCCAATGGTAGATCAAGCAGGAACAGTTGTTAATCTTAAACAGGTGCCTATTTTTCGGACAAAATTAAGATGATCTAATGAGATCATGATATAAACATAAATGTTAAATTTACTCGCGCTTTTATTGGATTAAAGCTACGTCTTCACATAAAATTTCTAGCTCCTTCCGTCAACTCGTGTTCCAGCAACAAGTATTGATATACGTTACCAGCGACTTGAGCAAATTAATCGTGCCACAGGAAAAGATGGATTTGCAGACGAGTTTGAGGTTGGTCATCTTGATCAGAAATCTCGATGGGAAATGTTTTGTATTTTTGGTCATCTTAATAAAAAATGTGCAGAAATTTGTTTGAGGAATTATTATTGCGTAATTATTCTGACATCGGACAGGAATGGAAAATAATCTTAGGGATTTTTGAAAAAGGATGTTTTGCTGATTATGTTAATACGAAATCGTTAAAGAAAGTTTTTCTAGAGGTTACAACATCAAGAACCCACTCAGTTCGTGAGCCGACGTGAAGGGAAAAAGATAGATAATGTGTGTAAGAATCGCTATAAGAATATCATACCATATGATCATACTCGAATTGTTTTAAACATCAATGATGCAGATTCTAGTGATTATATCAATGCAAATCACATCGAGGTTTTATTTTATATTTTATCATTAATAATTGTTTGATAATACTTTATTAACAGGCGGATTAACTGATTGAATTCATTTCGATTTTTTGTACTGTCTTTCGAAAACGACTGTCTTCTCTCGGTTTGCAATCTTCGGTAAGATATGAACTTCTGGAATAATTACTTTTTGTTTTAATAGTTTAGGTTCTTGGCGATGAATATCAGGATTTTGCTGGTTTGCATCGAAGCTACATATCAACACAAGGTTGCTTACCGAACACTATTGATGATTTCTGGAATATGGTTTGGCAGCAAAATTCACGAATTATCGTTATGACAACAAAAGAAATAGAGAGAGGAAGGGTTAGTTTTTTTTTTTTCTTTTGGAGTGGGCTATTGAGCTTAACATTTGGTTGGGGAAATTTTTTTTGAAAAATTAAGATGTTGAATCTTATATTATTGAAGTTTGAAATATTTGATTCTTCCTCCTACATTTTTTGAAAAATAAAGCAAATAGAACGGTGACCTTGAGCTGTCGGTAACAAAAAATCGGTAGAGTGAATTCTGCTTTAGCTTCACTTAATTCTTTTAAAAGAAAAGGTAATAGATATTGTTTTACTTTCCAAACTAATAATTCGTTTGTTCAGATCAAATGTTGCCGATATTGGCCTCTGAAAAACGAGGTAGAAAAGTTCGGAAAAAGTGGCGAGTTGATCCTTAAGTCGATACAGGTATCGTCTTCTTTTTATGACTAATTTATTAATGCCATTAGAGTTTGTCATTCTCTTACATTGGCATCTTTTTACGAAAAAATAACTGAAAATCGTGAAGTTCAGGTTTTGTTATTTCATAGGAAGTTGGAAATCCGGACTACACAATGCGTTTGATCCAGTTCATGAATTCAAGTTATGGTATGTTTTGTTCTTTGAACATTTTTTCTGTAAAGTATTGTCTAAACATTCGGTACGAAATAGAAAAAGATTCCGGATATATTTCTCTATAATTTTCTAGATAATGAGGTTCGATTGATATGGCATTTCCAGTTCCTTGGTTGGCCAGACCATGGCTGTCCCACAGATCCCAGAACTGTTTTGCATTTTCTTGAGAAAGTGAATGAGTGTGAGGAACACCAATGTGACGAAAATGCAGGTCCAATCATTGTACACTGCAGGTAAAATAAATGGATAAGTTTGAAATATACAATTAAAATTTTCTAACTTAAATTAAATATAAATGTGGGTAATTCTTGTCAACTGTGATTAGTATGAGGTCAGAGTTCTGTAAGGAATTCATTCTTATCTATTCCAATTATTACTCAAATCATTTCAGTGCTGGTATAGGTCGTACTGGAACGTTCATTGTAATTGACATTCTCCTTAGCCAAATTAAACGTTTAGGTAAGTTCATATTATATACAGGATTTCACTGCATCACCTTTGCTACTTGTCTTTTCGTGACGTTTACTTTATATGGCTTGTAAGGTTTGAAATTTCAAAATTTCACTACAAGATAGTCAGGATAGTAAAATTTAATACTTAGGGCCACATTGTCAAATAGACATTCCACGTACTGTGCAAATGGTTCGTGAGCAGCGGTCAGGTATGGTACAGACCGAACAACAGTATCGCTTTGTATATCAGGCTGTATCGCATTATATGGCTGTAATTAATCGAAAGCTTAATTCTGAAGTGAGTTACACGTGACAGTTAGTAGATTGTTTATGTACTTGTTATTAGAAGGTCAGGTGACATGGGAGTAGTGAATAGACTAAACTAATGTTAAAGGGTATGAGCCTATGGATAGTCTTTGGTGTCTGGATATTTATGATATTATTATTTCCTGTGTTTGTTTGGACCATATTGTTTTGAGAAAACTTGTTTCTGGATACTAAATGAAGCAACACAAAATAGGCGTTTATGAAGATATAAAGTTATCAGCTATTTAGTGAGCAGAAGAAAAGTTGAAAGCAAATTATGCATTACTTCCTACTTCACAGCAGTTAGGAAGAAATTTGGCTTTCATCGTGGCTAAACTAAATTGCTATTTAGCTATATAGTTTTTATATTATAAATAAATAAATGATATCTATACATGAACACTCATTCATATACTTGTATGTTCATTAGCATAGGTTTTCAGCGTAGGGAACGATGCAGTTCTCGCTTCTCGAGCGGATCAAATCCGGACACGCCACTTTTTGTTCATAGCCCACTAACTTTTATGGCACAAACAAGTCCCCTTTCCAAAAACTCCGGTGTATTAAATACTCCAACACCCGTAGTACGTTTTGTTCATTTTCTAAATTATTTCAAGCTTTGATGAAAGAAGGATAAGTAAAACTCGAAATTTTTTTTATAATTCATTTGAAGTAAAAAAGTAGATTTAAAAGAAGAAACTCCGAGAAGAGGAAAATAACAGAAGGGAGCAAAATCTAGGAAAAAAAAAAGATTATACAAAAAAGGAAGCTTATGCAGCGTAAAAACTTGGCAGGCATGAAATTTTTGTAATGGAGATTTGATTTTAAAACTCCTTATTATTTTTATTTTTTGGTAATTGCACCAAATTTATTTCAAAATTTTTTTTGCAGAATGATTGCGGACGCTACTATTCAAATACAGATTCCAGATCTGTGGTCCTATCGGCGAAACCACTGAAATTAGCACCGCCGCCTTTGTCTAAAAAACGTGCCAGTGTTGGAGAAGATGTGAAAAATTCTACTGTTGCAGTAATTAATGAAAATTTTTCGTAAGTGTTCACAATTTGAGTTAGCGAATCTTTTACTAGGCACATGAAAATCAAAGAAATTACTATAACCATATGTCCATATTTTGTGGAAATATTGAAGAATGTATTGTCTTGAATACTGAATTTATTTGTTTGGGTTTGTTTTTTTTTTGTTTTGTTTTTTCCTTTAAATCAGCCGATATATTGGCGAAAATATTAAGTTGCTAGGAAAGCTTTCACATGTTACTTTTTAAATTTTAAATTTGCCCACTTTTTCTGGCGATTTTTTGATTTTGTCATGTTCATATTCCATATTTTTGTATAATCCTGTTGCTTTCAAAAATTCTGTATATAGGAAGTTTTCTCGAATCCGACTCATGTAGATACTTACGGAATGTCTTTCTTCAACTACTCTTTAAGATTTCATACCGAGCAATATTACTTCAAGATTTGTTGGGATAAAAATGTATATAATATTGTGCTCGGAGAATACATATTTTACATACAGTACAGAGCTTCACAACTTCTCGTATCCCGTACGCTTTCATCTGTATGTCTTTATTAAACCTGATAAGAGCGCATGAATTTCTGCTCTGACTGGTGGATATATCCATCTGGAAGGTATTGTCGTGTTGTTGATTCATCACAGTTATCCTTTAAACTATGCTGCTCCCCGGATTCTGGAACAGCGACATCATCCAGATTGTCTATATCTTCGAAATTTCTGGGTGTATTAAATCCACTACACTTAAGCTTTAGAATATAACGTAATTTTCCAATCAGTACAGTAGTGTACGGTACAGTTGTATAAGCAGTTGCTTAGGAACGGTTATAAATTGTAAAAAAAAAATTCCCCTTTATTTTACGAACTGTGCTGTAAAGAAGATGAGGGTAGCAGTGGTGGTGATCTGTCCAAGCATGTTTCCTGAAGTGATGAGAAAAACAAATGCACGAATAACGGAAACATTGGTACACAGTACAGTTCTAAGGCCCGTCTAATTCTCAATGACCGATTATCCTTTGGGACGTTTAAAGAGGCTTTTATTTTTCGTCCATGCGTGACGGTTTAATTCTCTTTCTCTTACAAAACACAATTTCGAAAATGCCAGAATTAAGACTTCCCGGAATTGTAGAGCCGTTCCTTCCTAATATTGAAGATAAGTTTTTTAAAGTTAGTGATACACAAAATTATACTTCAAGCTTCATTTGGAAGTAATAACAGTAAGATAGATTTTGAGAACATAAAAAGATGCACGAATTTATTATAGTCTCCAAAAAGACTCATAGATTGGCTCTCTCGATCTTCGTAATTGCCTCATTGTCCCTTAAACACGCTGCAACATTTCTCAGTACTAGCTTGATTACTCCTGATTAACTTGAAACCTATAACACCTGTGGGCTTAGAAGTTCAAGCTGATAACTTGTTAAAATTATGGAAAATCCTTTGGGATTTGGTGATAATAAATGACTCGTTAAATGAAAGAAACGTAGGAAAACACGCTGTGACAATAAGAAAAAGTGGCTAGAGACAGCAATGCTTATTCCACATGTAGTCGAAATCAAGTAACCGAAAGACGATGTGTTTGCAAAATAGCATAAGGAGGTACAAAATATGACAAGCTCAAATTTTCTACAAAAGAAATAAGGACTTGCATTCTTGTATCGGAGCAAATAGATAAAATTCGACATAAAACTGAAACAAGTAAAAGCTATAGAATAAAAGCAGTTCGGTAAGCGTGATAAACTGTATTACATGTGTTACTTCATGATAAGAAACAAATTCGGACTAAAATATTAGAACAAGTCTAGCATACCTTACCTTTATGCAACACATTCAGAGAACTATTTCCATAAAGCAGCACTTTTCTCTTTCAAAATGTGCTTGATGATTTGTACAACTTAACTTTATCCTGGATCAAAAATAAATATTTCTGTGGTAGATACATTAAGGAAATAAGCATAATTCCAGACAGCTAATCTAAAATGGCAAAACAGAAAAAGCATACCTCTGGAAATTAACAATATGAATTACATCCATATATGCATAGAGCAATGTATACACAACAAATAATTAAGCTGATAAACTGCTCCTCACTGATCTTAAGAACAGAGAAGTTCCTTCAAATGAATAAATACTTTTTGAATAACTTGATCCACTCATAATAATCCTCACACCAAAACTTTAAACAACCATGGCGATTGGTGCGTAGATAGACGCGTGTTTGGAATGATTGCACTGAGGTGGAAACCAATGTTTCAGACACCATTCGATTAAATAAGCCAGTAGCATGTAAGCAACTGTCAAAATAGCTAAGATAGTGAGAAATTTGATTATATATGCCGGGAAAAGCACATTTCGTATAACTTGATCGCATAATGGAACCTAAATTATAATAAATTTAGGTGCAAAGAAATAACAAACAAGAAACTGAACTGTTACTTATAATTTATTATTTCTGCATGGATATTCAACAAAGCCACCTTTTATGTGACGGAGAAAAAGGAGTTTCTAGCAATAGAGATATCAAAGAATAAACTTCAGTACAGAGTAAATTAATGTTGTTCACCTCTTTGACAGGTATAAACGAGCAGTGAAGCGCGGCACTCAACTGCTTCGAATATTGTGTTAATTGAATTTCACGAATCACGATGGGTAACTGTTCAAAGATGCTGTTCAACAGTATCAGTCTAGCAACCAGGAAAAATGGTAAAGTACCAAAAGTCAGAAAATCGATTCCTCGTATCTGAAATTGGAAATGATCACGGTCAGTATAGATCTAAAAAAAGAAAAGTTGTTCCATCGAAAACGGAATTCTTTTCAATTATTGAACCATTTCTACCCATGAAATGACATTTACAAAAACTCTTTGTGGAAGAGGTTGAAGAAGAGTTTTACATAAGAAATTTTAATTGCAAGAAAGTGTAACTAAGAAATAAGAAAAAAATACAACAATGTCATAAGCAATCTTTCTCGACGAAGTATTCGGCATAAGGATGAAGCATGAAGTGGACAGCGCAACACACATACTACTCACAATTATCCACATGTTTTCGTTATACTGAAAAAAAGTACTGATAAGAAAAGGCAAGTAAATAGATTATCCGACTTATAAGTCCGTGATGTCACAAGAAATCACAACATTCAAATTCTCAACTTTCATAGCTTTAATTCATTCGAATTAAATTGCTCGCACACCTTAATTTCATGGTATGTTTAAGTTTTAGCATATTGCCGTTCATATAATAAAAGGTAATCTTCGATAATTTTAATCAAATTTGGTTTTGGACAAATTTTAAACAACACAAGTTACTCACATCGGTAAGAGTCTCAACAAAATGTCGGAAATGAAACGACTCAGTGTTAGAAGTCACATCAATATTAGAAGCCACAGCAGCAAAAATACTCAGGAATGGTACCATGTATATAACATGGATAACAGCAAATATAAACAACGTTATCAGTTTCACGTATTGAGCATATGCGGTCTGAAAGTTACTGAATGTTTTGAATATACAAATCCGTCATAGCATATGATCTATACACGGCATATTATTACATTAAATAAGCTGATGCTATGTGCTTAAACCTCAATACCTTTTCAGGTAATCAGATTCCCTGTTCAGCTATTTTCCGTAATCTTAAATGTGGAAACATATACTGATAACAAAGAGACATCAAAACTATCAAAGATTTAGACAAACCTGACTTTGCAAAAGTAAGCGGAAGAGGGACTCTGTAGATTGCTGTGCATCTATGTAACATGTGGAAGTAGAATGTCCATTGTCACAAAATTTCAAATCCTTATCGTCATTTTTCAAAGGACGAAATGATTTATAGTAATGAGGTGAGAGGGCAGATATTGATGGCATCGATTTCGCTAAACACAACGGAAAAAAGAACGAATCCTGAAATTAATAAACAATCGTTACTTTTGGTAAAATTAAGCAACAAAGTCTATGAAAAGTCGTCATACGGCGGTATTTGATCCTTGCCTTGCTATATTGCATACATGCATTATGCATTTCCTCACAAGGTAAATAGAGGTGTGCTAGACAGCTGACCAGTGATTAACGACATTCTGCTTCAATTGAAGTCCATCGTTTGCAAACATTTGTAAAAAGGGAAACTTTCTGAGAGGAGAAAGGAGACAGTAAAGAATTCAGAACAGGCAAAACAAAAAGAAAACATCGAAATATTCTTCAGAGTGACTACTCGCTATTGTGAACAGACATTGAAATTGCGAGTAGTGTGGGAGGGAAGATGAGTAAACCGGTACAGATACAAGCAACAAGGAACGGTAGTACGACAGGAAAGAATAAAACGTGGCGGAACACAACGGACTAGAGAATGGAATGGAACGGAACAACGTAAAGAGGGTGCTTGAGTGATTCATTGATTTGTTAACGAACGTGAACTCAATTAGACGACTGACACTTGTGAGATGTGTGACATGGGAAGGTGACGTCGAGGAAGGTGACAGGTGCCCCCACACTAAGTGACGGACACGCGTCCGAGTAGTGGGACAAGGGAGAATAAAGGTGAGCTTAAACATGGCTAACGAAGTTCTGCTTGTTCTCTGCGAACAGGGTCAGTAACCGCTAATTTCGTTGCACACATAACAGCATATGCAAAGACATGCATACACACGAACATAGAGAGAGACAGATACAGAGCACAGCAGCACATTATTCGTGGATTCCCGCAATTTGGGGTAGTAGATATGAGCAAGCCATCATCTGTCCCCAGAAAACTGTCTCCCTGAGCCAATAACTGTGACAATCATGTGGTACTCCATGGTACTGTGACTGTCATCTGCAGGAACAAGAGAAACTGAATGGTAAGAATCAATGCCATACTTCTTGACTGTATTAGGAGTGAGTGGACTAATGGTCATAGTAATGTACGTAAAATCACTATTGTCCTTTGCCTTATTGGATCACAGCAGCGTTTTTTTTCTAATTAAAAATCTCATATTTTCTAGTTAAAAATTGCTTCTAGCGGAATAAAGAAGAAAATAGATGAAGGAATGAGGAAAAGATTTTCAATAAGAGTAGTGAAGGAAGTATTTTGTTCAACTTAAAAGAACAAAAGAAGTGGCTGTGAAGAAAGTATGGAAGGAAGAAGATGTGATGACCTCAAGATATGATAGCGATGTGATGACCTCAAGATATGATAGCGATGTGATGACCTCCTTGTCTGCAAAGCTGCACGTACATGGCTGCAAATTATATTTCCTCTTATATGAATAAAATTAGCCAGCATTTTTCAAAAAGGCCGTAACGAGATGACGTTTAGAAGGTATAAGTATTAGGGTTGCATTTCAAGTGATAAGAAAAGATATAATGGTGTGTGAAGTGTAGAGGAAGTGCCTGTCGCACTACTTTTCAGTGCAGCCATGGAGAGCTTTCTATCCATACCACGTGCTGTTGTCAACTGGAGCACAACACAGTTGTGTGTCTGTCTGTGACTCCAGTGAAACAACTCACACCACCTCTCGCTTCAGTCAACTAACAAGGTTAACGATAACAACCAATGATCAGATTCAATGAACGAGCATCGATACATGATGACGTGAATGTACTATGTTAGATTGCCATACGTCATCGAGAAACAACAAATATAACAGTCCAATAAAACTAGAACTCATTTGCGTCATTGGTTATTCGTTATTTACTATTTCTTTGTGTTAGCAAGGAAAATATGCTAAAACATCTGCACTGTGCAATAAGTGAAGTACTTTAGTGAAGGATGTGATGAGATATAGTGTCAACTTTTTAGACAACCAATTTTGTCAACTTTTTATGGTAACGACAACACCAAAGTCTACAGCACAAGGAAGTAATTTCATCCACTCTTCCTGCAATTCAGTGAATCAATTAATTTATCATTATAAATGACTGAATAATCCATATATAGAGCCACTGAGCATTATCCATCATCACATTTAAAACCTGAAATGAATTGCCCTCTCTATTGTTGTTAGTGTAAGTCATTCTGGATGACATGCTTAATGACCTAACGAGACAAAGGATATGTACTCGTAACAATCGCAACTTGTTGAAGAGAAGTGTACAGATCAGATCAGTATTAGTACGACTCCGAACATAAACAATGGAAAGTTCAGTGTGACATGACTTGCTCGTGTCTGCCATCCGTTCATTTATGTTATCGTTTAAGTGAACTGACTGTTGACTGTCACGACCTCTTCTCACTCCACTGCTCTCTCTACTGCTAGTAGCATCTCATAATTGGTCATGTGTGTGTATGTGTATGTGTGTGTGAGTGTGAGTGTGTGTGTATTGTATTTCCAAACAACTATTCGTAACAGTCGGTGGTATCCCAACTTTCGCTCATATGATGCGTTCAGAGGGATCAAATGGCTAGCAACACTTCTCTTTTTCATAAAATTCTAAGCATCAGACATCTTACGATATTACCGAGATGATATTACTACTATTATCACCATTACTATCATTATTACTAGTACCATTATTACCACCATTATCATTATCACCATCACTATCGTTATCACTAGTACCATCATCACTCGCAATTACCTCTTCAGTTCACTAATACTATTACCCATCATCTATTTATTCATGGTTTTTCACTCTATTCCATGTCCTAAAAGCATGACAGAAACAGTGTTAAGATGAACATCTTGAATTTTTGCTCAACATTTTCCCATCTTGTAAGAATAGGCGAAGTAAAAAATGTCAGTATCCATTCTAACATCGATATAAATCAAATCAATATTAGTAGCTTCTGTAACAGTACAATTCGATAGTCAGGAACTTCGTTTTTCGCAACTGTAAAAGAAACCAACTGATCCTGCCAAATGATTTCATCTTGATTTCTTCATTAACATATTAGATCAGAAACAAAACCAAGATGAACGGAAATAATAAAGAATCCCTCTCCCTTTGTTATTTACTAATTTACTACATATACCATAAATTGCTCATGCAAATTCAAACTCTTTATTCCACTTTACTTACTTTCACAATTAATTCTTAGCTATAATCATGTTTTTCAACCAAGGAGAGGTAATAGGAAATAAAATAAACTGAACACAATATTTCTTCACAAAGAATCTTTACTTACTTGACTAGTGTAATGAAGAAATAAAGGTTGACCCTCCACCGCCCCTAGTCCACGCTATCATTTTAAAAGAAATGAAATTTTACAGTTTCATTTAAATAACAGACTGAATGTTCCCAACAACTTCTGCTACATTTACAAAAATAACACATCCCAGTAAGGTAGGTTAAACGATCGGAGCTCTCCCAACTGACTGCTCATCTCCACATCTTCCCATCACCAAGTTATGCCACCATCAAATGTTAGAGCTATAGCAAATGAAACTAAGCAACAAACGTCTCCTACGTGGCTTATTGATATATGTATGTCTAGAACAAGTCCTTGAGACAAATCTTCGACAAACGTCCAACGACGTGCTACCTCGTCTCCACAACGGTAAAAGCATCCATTTGCCTGATGCTTCATATGAGACTAGACAAGCGCTCAATTTCCTTCCTTCAGATAACCGAAAAACTACAAATACGCACTTCACGACATATCACTGTTTGTGTTCCTCTCATACATATACATGAATTATAAATTCAGTATTTTGATACGTATCGAAAGAAAATATAGAAAGTAACAATTATCAAGCAGCGCGCACTTATAGTTTTTCCAAACGCACTCATCTCACCGATACATTGTCAGCGTTGCCAATGAAGAAAGTTCCCATGAAGAGGCAAAAACACTATTTAAACGTATTGTTATCTTACTGAATTGTAAAACATGAAACAAACATAGAAAACTTCCTTACAAGAAAATCTTGATGGCTTAAAAGTAACTTGTTAAATCACATTCAAAATATTCAGTTCTTTTCGGCCAAATTAACCTAACCAAGCAATTAAGAAATTCAGCAAAAAAGATAATTGTAGAAAAGAATTAAGATCACTGATGGAGATACTTATCGAGCCAACGAACGATGTTGATTGCGCAATCTGCCTCTATATCGACTTCTTCCAAAGGATGGCAAGCTTCCGGATACGATAGAATTCTGAATTTCCACAGTAAATGGAACAGTGTTTTAACTATACTTTAAAGATTAAATATTACAATTTCTTTCTTAGAAAAAATACCGGCACAAAAAACTTAATAAAAATCAAGCATACGTCTTAACTTTATTCCTCTTGAAGACTAAAGGATAAAACATCGAAAATTCTACAAAAGAAGAAACTCATTTTTCAAACATTAAACAACTCACTTATTAGGAATTTTGCGCGCATTTAGATTGCGAATGAAAGGTCGATAATGATTTACAACACGTAAATCTTTCTCGCCATTCAAAAGCAGGTATGGTGTGACAACCTAAACCATTAATTCCTAAATAATAGCACTTTTCCTTCCGATAAAAAAAAAAAACTCTACAAAAATTTCGTAAAAGGAATTATCAGTATTATCCATATAGTATTATCTTATTGATAGGACTGGGCAACAATTCAGCTTGACTAGAGATGTTCCAGATACTTTTATTTTACTGGTCCCCACTTATCAACAATTTTTTATTTCGACTATTCATTAAGCGACTATAAGAAGTGCTACATTATTATCCACAGAATCTTCATAAACAAAAGATGAAAAAAATTAAAAACCTTTTCAACATGAACAATGGGTGAACTCCTATACATTTTCTCCCGATCTTTTGCTGTCAACATTTTCCGCCAATCAACTGTCTTCCAACCGAGAGCCTCCACTACTGACCTCAATATCAAAATGCAGTTTGCTATACTGCCAACAAATGCTCATTAATTACATTATCTTTTAAAATTATTAAGCCATTCACACGGCACTGTCTGGATTTCGACATGTTCGAGAAATTTAAACAATGAACACAAAAAAAGAAAAAAAAATCCCAGAAAGTTTTTTTTTGAGAGGATGTGTATTTCATTTCAAACAAAATAAAACAGTAATTGATAATTCTTTCTTTGATCAAGCATGGAGATCAATATAGCATCTGTGGAAAGAAGATATATGCATGATAACAAAAGTAATTTTTTACTTTGCTCTAAAAAAAAAAAAAACTTACCAGTCAGGAATGTCTGATAAATCGTACATCGCTGAAAATTTTAATAATTTAATGAACATTTGTTAATACAACGTATTTATATATTTATTTGCTATTCTAATATAATCTTTTTACACCTCTCAATCTTACACATGAAATAAAGGAATAATCAACATAAACAAGCAAAAATACCAATCAGAAATAAATCAACTATTACGCTGACCATTTTTCATTCTGAAACACTACACTTTTCACCACTATAGAATTCACTTTTTTGCGATATCATTGACTATTAAACTGATACCTGCAATATTTAAAACAGGATTCCGAGCAACGCATACTTTATAGAAGTCCTGAAATTCAAAAACTTAATAACTCTAGCGAGAAAAATAAAAACAATATTTCGACAACATAATCGTTACAGCTGAAAATAGAACAGGAAAGACCAAAACTGGACAGTGAAAATTACGGGAAATTGCCCAATCAGATGGCTGACAATGAAACCACCATGTGAACCACCGTATACTGCGACTCGGGAACGATCTAACCTTGATTCTATGTCCAACACTGTTTGAACAGCAAACTGAAATAGTCTAAAGTAAAAATGAACCAATAGAGGAGTGGAGAGAGGAAAAACTTAATATAAAACTTCGCAAGTGTCATATTAATGAAAATTTACAAAAAAGTAATAAGTCATTGACAAAAATCAAGACCTAAAAATTTGTAAGTCGCACTGAAGCGTTATATTAATGTTATTCTAGAAACAGCTTGACTTACATGAACATCCTTAACGTCCAAATCACCGCAATTACCAAGCAATGAATTCACAAAATCGTTACCAAATCCAAGTGATCCATGATAATTTACAAAAAGCAACGCATAACCGGAGTTCAACAACAGAAGAAGCTCACGAGTCGGCCAACTCAAATACTGACAAACATCAACACAAAAGATGTATAATTCTATTTTTCTTGTCATCTCCAATTTAATTTCTGAATTTTTTCATTGCAAATACACAAAATCGAAGCAGAGATATGATTACATGTTAGCTTTGGAGAAGAAACAATAATAATATAAACAATGGAATAAGGCACCAAGCAACTGTAACACCATGTGGTCCACCGTGAGGTACCACAACTAGTGGAACAATATCAGTTTCATTTGGAATATAGAGTAGGCCTTCATATGCACCTTGAACTGAAAAATGAAAAAATTATAATTTTCTTGAAATATGATGAATGAAAATAATGAAACTTTAATGATAGGAAAAAAAAGCAATTATCAGCTATATCATTATTTGTCCCCTCAATATATAGGTATATTGCTTATGCAAAATTATCTCCAATTACAAAATGCATTTTTGCAACCTTTTCACACTACCTCCTCTATCGAAATCCACTAGCTGCCATGAAAAACCAAGTAATTTCAAACGAACTTCAGCAGCTGAGCTATTATCAAGTTTGGTCCATATAATCTGTAAAATTATAGGTGATTCACACACAATCAGTTGATTTTTCACATGTAATTAAACGACAGCACGTTGTTCAGCAAAAGTATAACATTCAGCATCTCTATCATGCCTCATAACTTTGAAATTTTTAGTGAAACTGCAAAATTTTGGAATAATCGCATAATTTCTCGCGCAAATTAACAACATTTCTCTTTAAGGACACATTTTATTTACTTCAGCAAAAATCAAATACAAGTAAAAAAAAAACTACCATTTCTCCCGAATCAATTTTTGGAATATGACCAACAAGGATAGTTGGGGGACGATTTGGAGAGCTGCAAACCGCTACCACGCAATCCTCATTTACATCAAGCACTGTCCAACTTCCATGGAAGGTACCTAAAGTATACTAAGAAAAATATATACATCACATTAAAAAATGTCTTATAACGAAGACTAACACATTTTACAATCATTGTAACTCAACATGTTGATATTTTAAATGATATTTTAAATGTAATGATATTTTAAAACGATAATTATTAAAACTAGAGTATGAATGAATAAAACAAGCAACTGAAAGAGCATTTTGCTGTTGTTTTTAGCTATTCACTCATCTCTACGCTAAAGAATAACTGAAAAGAAATAAATTCTAAGTAAGCAAACTGTACATACCGTTATTCGTAACTTTCTCTAACTTTCTTGTTTCCGTATTTATAGTTATAATTTCCTGAAAGTCGACAAGAAAAATGAAGAATATGGAATTAATTCTACAATTTCATATTGATGGTTCTAGAAGAAAGCTTGATATACTTGAAAGCTTTCACATTTTATTAATTCTACAAAAAAGGGAACTCACTCTTTTAGAACCCCATACACTTGAAACAAATATTCGTTTACTATCACTGGACCACGGCCTCTCGGCTAACTGTACAGCGTAAAGTCCAGGAAACTGCTGACGATCTAATAAAAGACTCACAATAATGTATAAAATAGAAAAAAGTAAAAAAAAATTCATAATTTTAGTTTCTTTAATAATTTTGTCTCACTCATGACAAACAGTCAACTCGAAAAACGATTTAATGCACACTATTTGTCTGACACTTTTTTACAACAAAATACCAAAAACAGTACCGGTTACTGCACTGACGATGGGAACTAGTAATTGTTGTTCAGTTTTATTCCAATTTATCTAAAAAAATCTAAGTATCCGAAAAAATTTAATATCTTCTTGCAAAAACCTAATTGCAGAATAATATTAACACATCCTAAGTAGTTCAAAAAATGCAAGAACGTTTCATAATACTGGATCAAACAAAACACAGATATGATTGTAGTACATTACAATTAGCAATAATGAACACTAAACTGTTCTTTAAATTTTTTGAAACATAGAAACCGAGATTTCAGACCAAACTACTCAAACATTTTCAGAAAACTTGTGAATGTTTTCACTGGAATTTCTATACGTTTTCCGAGAACTCAAGACTAAAGTTATCGTTCTTCTGCCAATATAATTTCCCATGGAATGAGGGACAAACTCATAAGAAATCAGTTAATATGCAAAACAATTTTACAATAATTAGAACTCACCAACTGACAGGAAACTGAAGCATAATGAGGTCCTCCAGGTTGACGTTGAAAATAAATCAGCTTAGATTTATCTGGAGAAAATGATAATCCTTCGATTGAGACATTTTTATCACTTAATGGAGTTAATTTTGCTGAACTCAGCTCGTAATAGAATAATGTTCCTCTGAAAATTAATCAATATAAAATAAAGCTTGGAAGCTATTACCTGGAACTGAACAATTATATGAACAAACAAACCCTCTGTTGTTGCAATATATCTTTCCCAATTTGACAGGAACATTATGAATCCCAAAGAACACAATTCCTTCATCGTTTGGACTCCAGACACACTGCAATTTTGAAACATAAAAAGTGATCTATATAAACAGTAGAAATAATAATAGCTACTTCAAAGTGGAAAGTTTAAACTGAAATTTCAAAATTACTTAGAGAATTAAATCTGTGACTCAAAAACTAGTCTTTGTTGTTACAATCAGTCTTGAGTTATAATCTGAAACAAAACGCAGAACGTCACCATTGACGCTTCATTTTTCGAAAATATTGAAGCTATAACAGATGAATTTCTTCATTACAGTCATAATTTACTATGATCTCGCTACGATGTTGACAAATTGCAATAAATAATAAATTCGGAAAGATTTATTAAGCAGTGAAACTTAAAACTAACAAAAGTAGGAGTGATAATGTCAGGAATCTGATCCAGTACCGTGATACTGCCACTCATAATATCAAATATAGATAACACTGGCTGCCGAATTTTGTATCGCTGTTCACCCCAGTTTTCAATAAGCTCATATTTGTCGCCCTATTAAAATTGTTATTGTGTAATCAGTATGAAAAACAGTTTCATTATAGCTATAGTGACTTGTTACAATTAGCTTTTATTGATTATAAAGAAACTGTTTTTTAGAAACTCTGGATTATTAATTCTAAAACGCTTTCGATTTAAATCCTTAAATGTCTCCAGTACATTGTAACATCTAATTAACAATAGTAATGATATAAATCATCATTGGCTGAAAGCTGTCACTGATAAGATCAAGGAGTTACAGAAAAGATTAAAGATTAATCATTTCAACATTGATACTTGAGCCTTTATAAGAATTCCCTATATATCTGCTCTAAAGAATCACTAATGCCAATTAGTATGAAGCACATTGTCGAGAAATTGCATGCCGATAGATGTTGAGTTCACTCACAACATTGGAATCGAGAAAGTTCTCTTCGTTAGTCCAGTCTAATTCGGTATCATAGTATTCTTTTTTTTTAACTAACTTTTCAGCTGCATATAGTAAATGACCCTCACCATTAGACCATTTCAAGCCACCAAATTCATCTGAAAGAAATTTTTTTCACATTTCTAATAAGTATCGCCTTATTCAATGACAAATTGAACTTAAAAAATGAGAAAGAGAAAAAGAAAGTTTGGAAACACATGGTCCCAATTTTTTATTGCTTCAAAATGACATTAAAAGCAACGACAGCACGATAACTGCAATGCCAAAATCATACAAAGACGTAAATATAATAAATTTCACCAAAACGAATTATAAGGATTTCACTGATTTAGTACTTCATTCAGTTATCTTTTTTATTTTTCTTATTGACTAATGAAAAAGCATTTTCCTAACACCAGAAAATGTTCACTGTCATAATGAAATACAAAAAAAAAGTAAGATGGTTAAATAGTAATTCTAGGGAGTTAAAAAAGATCACTTACCATCACTATAAATTAAACCATGCTTTTTTGGTGATATTAAATCAGTACAGCAAATTTCAATATGCTCTTTCTGATCAAATACCTAAAAATTCAAAAATCTGATGTGACTTGTAGCTGTACCGAATCCAATAAAATTCTAAACTGGATTTCATCCTTGATGTCTACTTGTTTTCCTCAAACTGTTTAAAAGAAATGTCACAGAGCTCAAAAAGTGGCAAGAGTAAAGCTATTAAATGCTGTAAGCCAATCCTATGTTATTATAAGTTAAGGTTTGTTCAGCTTGCTTATGACAATAAAAGGAACTTTCAAAATTAACAAACCTTAATGTATTGCTTCTTTTCCTTACCATCATGCAAACTGATAAGTGTAGCACATCTTGAATCGCTGTATGAAAAAGCTATTAGTTCTTCCCTTAAAAAAAAAAATGCTTGAATAAAAGAATAAAAAATCTCTTTAGATTTAGGCAGAAAATAATGATAATGAAAATTTTTTTATCAAAAATTCTTTTATTTCTTACTACTTAAAAAATTTTACTGAAAGTAAAACTCTTAATATTCATCTCTCCTTTCTTATTAAAATAATAGTTGGGATGTAAAAAACACTCTATGCTAGTGAGAGGTAGCGATGTTGTCGAAATAAGTTCATATATGTTCGCTTCATCTGTTTTCGACATGATCAAACTTGAACGCTGCATTTTCACCGATTTTTTTAACTCCAGTGCACTATTGGTCCAAATTGAAGAAATCTAAACATATGAAAGAATATATGAAAATGTACAGACGAATAATCCGAAGAAATTGGCGCTCATTAATTTATTTACAAGTTCCATATACTATTTTCTCCATCGTTAACAGACACAAATTTTAAACAAACATGTTTATAGTGAGATTCTGACTCAATCTGATGATTTTCCCTAGATCCTAATAAAGGGACAAATAAAAAAGGCAACGAAAAATGATATCAAATAAGATCATAAAATGTTACATTCAGAAATGTAATAAAAACAAATATACGGAAATGATAAACACACTTCAAAATATTTTCCTTGACGTCGTAAGCGAGCACTTTGCGGTAACGGAACCTAAAACAAACAATATGCTGATACAGAAATAAGAATACCAATCGACATTTTCTAAATAACTGCGATGAATAGCTTGAAATAAGTTACGAATAATTACCTGAGCAATATCACAGTAAAGATCCTTGAGTTTCTCCAAAGCTCTTAAGGTCACTGAGGTTGTATCCATTTGCAGGCTAAAATAACATGAAACTCTTCCTCTCTGGTATATTTAACACTATAGAAATAGGATGGATGCAAACCGTTCTCCTCCACATACGATAAAAAAAAGAAAAGGGTGTCACCTGCCCACAAAAAACAATTGTTGACATCAAAACAAAAGTTTCCATGTTTCATCTTACATAAATAGCATTTCAAGATTTTAAGCATGAAAGTGATGGTGAATGGTAAAGTAATGACTATCCCTACTGGTATCAGCTACAGTCTCAGAGACATATGATTATAATCTAAAGCGATTTAACATCACAAAATAGATGATATACGAAGCATGTTCGATTGAAATCTAAACTGTCATTTCATTAATTACCTCTGGTCACTCATTGTAAACTGCTGACGAGTCGTGGCAAACTAGCACGTGTTTCTTCTCTCAACGTTCGACAGGGCAATCAATGCAACGGAAAGACGTAAAACAAAACAGACGTATAGGTAAACATGCACACACCTGTCGCCCCCGTTGAACGATTTTGGAAGTGCGTTGTATGGACAGAATGCAACAGTTTCGTCCATCGTCATACAATTCTTGCATGATTTCATCGGACGTCATAGTTAACTATCTGATCAACCGATTATCGGCATGGATGTGACATTGTGATTGTCAGCTAAGGTCTGCTTGTTTAGCTTAAACTTGAGTGACTAGGATGATACAATGCTCTTCGAACGGTTTATATATTTCTGAACTCGTATAAAATGAACTCAGAATTTTATATTACCAAAAAAACTTTTGCGTCCTGAATTAGTTTTTCAATCAAAAATCAAAAAGATCTGGAAATTAATTGTTGGCTTTTTTAGATGCCAATTCCATATGGTATTCATTCAGTCATCGATTTGCAAAATATAATTCATTTCGATTAATTCCTTTGTATGTCATTCTTTTTATTTGCAATGCTAACGGCAAGACCTTTCGGAATATTTCTTAATGTCACAGTACTTTCTGTTATTTCTTCAGAAAAAACTTATTGGAATGTTGACAACATCAAAAAATTCTCAAAAAATTTGAAAGATTTGTTACAAAGAATTAAAAAAAAACATATAAATGTATTTCAACTTCATTACTATACCATTATCACTGTTTCTCAGCTAACATTTAACTCCTTGTAATCGGTGTAACCAATCTCTGAGATAAATAATAAAACATTTTCACAGCAGATTTCGGTGAGTGTTTACTAATGCAAATATCTTTTAAAGTTTCACTTACAACGAATTCTCCATATGTCACAGATGGAATGCTTCCTTATTTTTAGTGTCAGTAGTGACATCAACTAAAATAAGCAAACATTCTTTATACTTATAAAAATACACAGCCTCAAGCCTTATTTTCCTCTATGCAAAATTTCATGAATACTTTTTGAATGGAATTATTCTTGACATATCTTTAATCACATTTCATTACATCTAGCTTATCTGAAATGATTTCTTGCTTTATCATTCAACAGAAAGGACTTATCTTACCTCAGGCAAACTTGACATCACTTTTAATTTGAATATAATCTTAGCATATCTTATTCGTAAATATTTTATGAAAAGATTCGAACGAGTTTACTCATTTTTATTCTTACAGTTTACTGGTATTTTTGACCCTTGTTTATTCATAGCTAATATCTATGTTTAACTAATTTTGTTATTCCCAAAATGGATTCATTTTGCTTCTGAATAATTTTCTTTCTTGGACTTCAGTGATAAAAATTCTGTTTTGTTTTGTAAAGGAAAGTTCAGAAATTGAATATCTTAGTTATACCAATTACACATTTCATTTACAGTTTATGTAAAGCATTGGCTATTTGAATAGCTTCCAAATCTTTATTAAACTAAAATTTTAAATCATCCCTAAAAATTCATTCACCGGTAATCGTTGAAGGCATGCATTAGCTGCACTAGTTCGTTTGCAAATGGTCTCCATGACAAGTTGCTTTTTTGCTTGGTTATAAGGTTTTACTTATTAAAGGCTTCTTAAAGAAATTCATTGTCTCATTTTGTTGCTATACTGTCTCTATGACAAATAATATTCATTCATTTCATGATTTCAATGCCTTTGTCATTAAATGTTTTAAAATTGCTCACAGAAAAATTCAAATTACAATTTTTTAACTTTTTGTTGAATATACCTGCAGATGGAATGATATTGACTCTACGACATCTTCTTTTTTCATGGGAAAAAACTTAACACTGATCAAAGGCTTAAGCTCTTTCATGATTTCTTGACACTTTTTGAAATGTCTTCTAAATATGGTATTGCTACTATTTAAATTTTCCACGAATACGTTCTCTTTTCTTTATATTTTAAATCCATATTTGTTTTAACTTAAAATTTAATAAATTTTTAGACTACTTTTTGAATGCATAAGTCATTGTTTGTTGGAAGGTTATGTTTAGGGAAAAATTATAGATAACAGAATATAGCAAGGAATAATAAATCTAATGTTGAATTTTTAATAAAGTTTTTATTTTCACTGTTTTCCGAGTTTATTAATATTTAATTATTAGGAGTACTTCATTCTTTTTATTCATTTTAATCAATTTGAAGATAAGAATAAAAACAAGAAATACCGGTTAATTTAATTCAACGACATGAGGCGTTCGGAAATTTTGATATTTAATTTCACTACCATTTGCTTAGGTTTACAAACAGAAATGATTTAGTCTTTTAAACATAGCAAGTCAAAATTTGAAATCCAGAGAATTTCTCGATACCCTTCGAGAAAAAAGCATACTTTAAAAAATTTTGAGGTCGTATAAGTAACTTATATTCTACATTGACCACAAAATTTCCTTTCAGCGTTGGTCAAGAAAACCAATTGAAGATGAGTATATTTCATGACTGTTTGAAAAGTAACTACTCTTCTAAGGATCCGAAGCAACGGACTATTAATAACCAAGCACTAAACTAAGTAGTTTAAGAGAAGCTGTCATGTCAATAACAAAGCATTTGATAAATTATCACTTAACACTTTTTGTTTTTGTGATTTACTGTAATTACTTCCTTTAGCCAAATTAACTTTACTGATAAGATAGTCATAGTATATTCGCATGTCACCGTAAAGTCTTTTGATATCGTTTAGTTTCATTTAAAATTTGAAGGATGGAATATGAGAGTTTTGTTTCACTTTCTAATTGTGAAGTCATGCAAGATGATCAGATGCGCTGAAGTTTTATTTTCAAGGTGAAAAAGATTTTGAAATGGAAATCTGTTCAACCTCCACATTGAAGCATCTAGAAGAAATGATTTGCTTTGTTCAAACGTTAAGCGCAATTCAAAATAGAAATTTGCTGATTCTGATTTGATTTAATTTTACTATTGACGTTAAATGAATTTCTTTGTATTGATAACCGTCATACATGCCTGAACCGAAGAAAGAAAAGAAAAAGCTTATCTTGTAGGGCATTTAAACAAATAATAGATAGTAATTTCGATTATTTATTACCTTCAAATACAATTAATTTCGAGAGTTTACCTGCAGTGTGCAACTGAGAAAAGTTTGACATATCCAAGGTCAAGGTGAAATGAAAAAGATAACAATGCTTGTTAATAGACAACAGGAATCAATAATGGAAAAAGTAGCATTGTTCTGGTTGAATCCTAAATCATTTATGTTTAGGTGTGCATTTTTTCGTTTGTTAATGAGAAAAATTCTACAGCATCAAATTAAATTCGTCGATTTGTCTTTTTGCAATGCAAAATAATTTCATTAAAAAAAACGCAGTTACGAAACTGAAAAGGAAAGGAAAAATGATGTGAAAGGATCAAAAAACTATCAATATTTGTGAAATTTGAAGCCAAACTTGGCTGAAAAAATTTATGCGAAATTAGCTGAGTCAAGCTTAATATCAATTTAGCCGTTATACTCGGTGATAATTAGTTTTACTTTTGTCATTGTTGTCAGCTATTAACAGCCAGAAGTGTTTCATTTAGTGCATCAAAATTTTTTATTCCCTAAAATACTTGAAATTTCCGAAAATTTCTTATATTGCTATCAATTAGCTATCAACGATGTAACCAAAGGTCCTGAAAACAGGAAAGAATGAAAAATTAGGTAACAACGGAACGAAAAAGAAAAATCTGAATTCCTTGTGGAACTGTTATTTAGAATAAATTTCAATTTATCACATATTGAATTTATCCATACACTTCTCAGTTTTCTATGAAAATTATACCATACCTTAATTTTCATTTTTTTCTACGCAGCAGCTCATATATGTGGCGCATATAATCTCGAACATTTTTCATGTAATTATTATGTTTTCTTTGTTAATAAAGATTTAGGTTTTATTTTAAGGTATCTTTTGTCTACTAATACTACTACTACTTTCGAAATTTGTCAAAAATTTAGTATGTACCAGAATTTGTGCTTCTTAATCATTTAATAGATTGATTTAGATTACATGTGTTATATCTTTTAGAACATTAGTGATAATTTTTAACAATGCAGATCTTATACTGTACAAAAAAATATATGCATTTTGATCAACCGTTGGAATAGCTATGAATTTGATATCTAACGACGAGAAACTGAGATAATAAGATAAGACAATCAAGGACCAGGATAATGATAACTTCAAGAAGATAAGAATCTGATAGACTGATTACTTGCACTCCTTGTTATTTTTTGAAAACAATGCTTACATCCTCGTAATTTATATTACGAAACTCTGAACGTATACTACTGGAAATCATTAACCCCTAAATTGCATACCGGGACTGTATCCGGAATGAAGGATTGGAGCTAACTTTTAAGTCGGCAAAAGTAGATGATTTGCTCGATAGTTACAGAATATTATTAGCATTTTCAATATATCGCATTAGTGATGAAAATTAAAGTAAAGACAATGTTTAAAAGTAACATTTTATGTTAAGCATTGATTCATATGAACAAATTCTAGGTCCAAATATTTCTCATCTCATAGAATCAAAAAATTAATGACATCAGTATGACAACATAATGCAAACTTAATTAACGAGGAGTAACTTCAAATAAAATCTTCACAATTGAAATCTTATATTGAACAAGTTGAAATTCATTTCATATGCTAATTACATTCAACTGATCATTCGTCGTTGCTGATAAAATATCTTCTGACCATGTTCGGAAATCCCTTTTTAGGATACATTAGATGGCTTCTGGTTTCAAGGTGTTTGTTATATTCATGTCACTGCTTCTCACTATCATTCCATGTCAAGAGGTATTACTTTTTTCTTGCTTCATTAATCAGAGACCGTAAACCGCGTTACATAATAGCACTCTCGATATATTCTTTTTTTTAACCCTAACAAAATTTGATATTTGACTAATCGCCTTAGGAAAAGAAAAGCATTAGTTAGAGCTATACGAAGTGAAAATATTCAAATTGCCAATTTATGTTTTTCATTTTGGTACTATTTACTTTCTGAAATATAGCAACTGTTAGCTTTGATGCAAATTTAATTAAGAAGAATATTATTTTCATTTTTTTCTAAAAATTGTTAACTAATGAATTTACTAATTTATCTAACTTTCATATTTCTTTTTCAAAATCATTTACAGATAACAGATGAAAGTTTAGACAGACATGATTCATCAGTATTTGGAAAACGAGCCAAATTTGCATTTGCAAAAAGACATCCTTCGAGATTTGCATTTGCTAAGCGATATGATGATGAGGTGAGCTCTAAGCAGGGCTACTTTTATTGAATTTATTTAAAGTTTATTATTGTCTAATTACTTTTTGTAAAACATTCTTATTCTGAATCTGCAACCAGTCCTTTTGCAAGTTGCAAATGAAATAATTTATACGCAACACTTTCGATACTTTTTAAGCTATCAGTAAACTAAGATTTATTACAGTTTTTTTGTGATAACACTTTAGAGAAAAACCAAGTAAAAAACTTTAATATAAAACCAAACACGCGTTGTAACAATCTGTCATCTAAATTTGTGTCAGTTGTCAACATTTCTGAAAAATAAACAATAAGCAGGATTATTGGAGGGTATCAACATTCAATTCCCGCTAACGTCGCTTTATGCTAAATTTTGGTGGAAAGTTCAGCACAAATTTACTCAGATAGATTTTCCGCTGGTATCCATTAGTAAAAATTGTCATCCATCCATCTATTTATGTTTCCAGTTCTGAATTATTGGTTTCGGATTGGAGCTATTAAATACAATTAATTCCATCATCAACTATTTTTGCAGGATGTGAACTACTATGACAAAAAGGCAATGCATTTCGAGTCTCCCATACATCCTACGCGTAATTTTGCATTCGCAAAACGTGGTCCTTACTTATCATTCGCTTGAAAATTCAGTTTTAAATTTTACTGCTGATTGTATTATTTTTTACTTTCGTGATGGCAGTCAATGTATCGTTATTGTTCTTAATGCCGTAATAAAAGGTTGATTATACTGTGAGATTTGTACTATTCTCCATTCTTTCTTCATCGCAATGTTCATTCTATTAGAGAATCTTCCGGAATTTACTAAAAGTGCAAATATTTTTAGTTGCAGATAAAATCAATTTTTTCTTATTTTGTTTAATTATTTAAAAAAAAAGAAATCAGAAATGGCATTTGCTAAATTTTAGTAAGAAAAAATTAAGTTATCTGAAGATTAAAAAATTTATGAACTTTGTTTCTTTGATAAATTTTCTTCTGATAACTTTTCATCATGTAAGTGGTATGTATATGATATGCGCAATTCGTCAACAAAAAAAAGAGTCAATTCATTTTTTTAATTATTACTTATCGTTGTTTCCAATAAAGAAAATTAATCATTGAAAAAAAGTAACTGAGTATTGAAAAAAAAAAAGTAACTGAGTACTGCTATTACAAAGCATTTATGTTTTCAGTAATAGTTATCATCATCATTATCACTTCTATTGTTATTGTTAGCTTCATTGTCTAGCTTCGTTTAAAAGCATTTATCAGTTTATACTGTAAAATTAGCATACAACGATAAAGCATTTAGGTGTTAACAGAGCTCTTTATTGAAAAATGTCAGCATACTGGGAATTCTGAAGTTTGTTGTGCTGTATAGCATTTCAGGTCGAAAATGTTAGAAGCACGTATTCTATTTAGTCGAGAATTTAAGATTGGGAATGAACGACGTGTTTTATTGTTTACATCTTCTCATATTATAGTATATTTATATGTTTCTTAGCAGAATAATAATTATTATGACCTACAATGCTAATATGCAATGCTAATTAACCACATTACACGCTGATTGGTTAATTACAAACATATCCAAGACAGTGCCGTACGTCTCCATTTCGAATAAATTGGAGAGAATGTCGCTTTTGTCATTTTGACCTTTTAGCTTTGATTGAACAACCTGCCATCTATTCGTCTGTTTATAGCACAATTTATCAAAAAGCTGTTTCTATTTCTCTTTGTCAATATAAGATAGGAAGAAATACCGTGAGATGATAGAGATTGCTACCTGGAAGACCGGTTTTATCATCAGAGATCCAATAACAGAATGAAGTTCCTTTTTGGTTGTTCAAAACTTCTGGTAAGCATTTAGCTTTTTGTGTTCTTCGTCCAGCATTTTCTTATCATATCTCTAGGCGTAATATTTTGAATAGAAGAGTCAGAAACTAAAGTAAAGTTATGATTGGCTTTCTAGGTACTATCGCGAGACCGACATGCATTCAATGCTTATCAGTAGTGATAATTCGACAACAGCAACATCAATAAAATCACCGACAGTATGTGGTGTTACTACTGCTAGTACCACTGATTTCAATAACCAATGTGATTTTGAATTTAGTCGGAAATTTGAAGAATGGTTCAAGGTTTGCTCTTTTATCGATTATATAAACATTTTTTTTCTACCATTTAATGCAAACTTATTATGTTATCAAGAAAAGATATATGTGCTACGCAGAATAATCAGCACTAATTCTTATAGACCATAGAAGAAAGTGAACGTATCAGTAGTGATCAAGCACTATGGAAGTGGTACGATCAGAATGACAATTCTGGTCTCTTACCTGGTCTCGATGATGACAACAAGCAACAATTAACAAGCTTAATTTTTACTTTCCTCTTAAACATTTCTTATTGCTAAATCTGTGCAGCATTCTTAAAGAAAATTTAAATTTTATTTTGAAACCTATTTTGAAGAGTTGGAAATTTGACAGACTAACATAGTTCGAAGTTTACATATCCAGAATGGAAGGAATATTTAGCACGTACGGGTACGAATCAGTTAGGTGGTATATATGCTAACGGACGTCCACTACCAGTACATCTTCGGGAACGTATTATCCAAATGGCTGCTTCAGGAACTAAACCTTGTCAGATATCACGACAATTGCGAATATCACACGGTTGTGTCTCAAAAATCTTGTCCAGGTGTCTTAAATTGCTTGGACACAACTCATCGCTTTTAACCCAACTTTCGAAATATGAAATTCTTTTATTCTGGTAGTTTTCTTTTTTACTAAATCTTAAAAAAATTTGTTTTGTACAGATATCGCGATACGGGCTCAATCCGACCTGGCAAAATTGGCGGTTCAAAACCTAAAAAATCGCTTCCCCAGGTCTTATTATTTTAAAAATTCGAATTTAAAGCGATATAGAAATTTATATCGTCATTTTAATCAATAACTTTTATGTTGATTAATATGTATGCAATAAGTTATGCGATGATCCCTTATTATAGTAAAAGAAAGCAAATGAATGTAAAGGAACATTTTCAAACCTTTCAAAGTTGTTCATTGCTAACTTAATTTAAGTTATTGCAAAATATGATCCATCGCGCCGCAGCACACTTTTTTTTCGTTATAAATCTCACTTTCTTGTAATCTATTTCATTTGCTGATTGCGATAGACAAGATGATAAGCTTAAAATGAGAAGTATCCCGCTGTACTCGATAATAATAAAATCAAAAAAGGTGGTGACAGCAATTGCGATTTACAAACATTGTCGACCGTCGATGTATTCGTGGGAGATTCGTAGTCGGCTTATCAGTGATGGCGTTTGCAGTGCATTCAATGTTCCAAGTATTTCTTCGATTAGCAGGCAAGCAGGATTGAAAGTATTAATTATTTAATCTAAAGGGAAAGGACGATGATAAGGAAAGCTGAACCACACGGTCTGTCATAAATACTTTCGCACCAAATTCTTGACTTTTGAAACTTCCAAGATTGTCAAGTTTCCATTCGGTAATCAAATTGGAAACTAATATTTTAAACAAAACTATTCATTTTTCCGTTTTTAAGATAATTTTAGGATAATTAGGACAAAACTTGGCATCAAGAAGCGAATTGATTCAATTGATACTAGACCATTAACAGTCACTGAAGCGAATACCTACTACCAGACGCCAATACTAGAACGAGAATATTTGTGAAACAGGATCAAAAGGATAGGAAAATGGACGATATGTATAAGAATATCGGATATGCTATGCAGATTGATAATAATAGTAATTTATCACTTATGAATTTTGCACCGAATTCCGGATAAGTTCAAATTTCATCATTTAATAGATTTAGTTGCTAAAAAAGAGGGAACGACGAGTTTGTTCATATCATCTAAACAGCGTTTATTCACTGGTTTTGAGTGTTATTAGCACTTCGAAATGACGAAGAAAATTCTGATTTAACCAGTTCTCATAGAAAAGAGTGTTCGGTCTGCAATCCATATTTTAGCATCGCATATTTTTGATTTTTGCAAAATTTCTCCCAATATTTTCATCCAATATTTTTATTATTCCACTTTTTGTTGAAGCTAATTGCCATTTGCTGACGAACAATTCTGATTTAACCAGTTTTCATAGAAAACAGTGTTCATGTGTTGCTGGTAATAGATTTGAAAAGAGAATAGTTCTGGCGCCATTGATAGAAATTTTCGATCTTTTTTCGAGATTTGATCGAAAAAGGCTGTGTAGTTTCCTGTAGATATCAGTTGATAATGACTGCATGTACTTGTTTATTGCTTATCATATTATCAGTCAAGTTAAGATCAACATTACTGTAAACTCCGATTACAGATATGCAAGCCCATTAGATTTCACTATTTCGTTCTTTTTTTTTTTTTTTTTTCTCAATAATTCGATAGTTAATGCATCTGTAGTCTTTCATGTAAGAATAATTATCTTTTTTCATTCTTTTTAATAACTAACTATTCAAAGTTCCAATGGTTTAGTAATTCTTTTTCTATTTCACAGAGAGAAAAGTTCAAATTCTGTATGAAATGGAAAGAAAAGAGCAAATCTCTTTTCATCTTTGTACATAACCATTGTTATATATGGCAATGAACTTAAAAATATTACTAATTTAATGCTTTTTAAATAAAGAAAATTTTTTTTATTATCAAATTTCTCCGTCACATCGTATTTCTTTCTTTGTTCATTTCCGCAGTTCTTTTTGAAGTGAAAGAAAATATTTTCTGAATTTGGACGGTGAATGAGGCGAATGTGTTAAGATAGAACGATTTGAGCTAAATGACTCATTCCTCAGATAATTAGAAGAGAAGAAACTGCACTGAGTCATACCGCAGCAGTGGCAATTTACTCTTCAGCGAAATATAATATATGGAATTAACAGAATAGAAAAGAGCATAGTAGTAAATGAAATGAAATTGAACCGAACAAACAATTTTACTTAAAATTTACGCCTGTAAAGAAGGAACTGGTTTTAAATTTAATTAGTTAATTAATTTAGCTTCTTTAATTGTTTGATTACTTTCAGAAAGGAACAACAAAACAAAAAATTTTAAATATTAGCGAAACTTAAGATAAATAGATTTCATAGAAATATTTCAGGCATTGGAATTTGAAATTTACTGAATAAATTGCTAATAGAATGATTCAAATTGTTCATGTTTCTAAGGAAGATAAATAACTTTTCAAGTTGGAAATAAAACACAAAACCTATTATAATATTTACTTAAGATGAGATATTATTTTTTTTTAAATTCACTTTAGGTAATTGGTGGAAGCAAGGAAGCAAAGAAAAAATTAATAAAACGGCGATCCTGGATATTCCATATTGACGGCTAGAGCTATTACCATCAGATCTCATGTTTATTTTTTTGTGTGTTTTCCCTAAAAAGTTTAGGTATTAAAAAAAGAAACAAAAAGGCATCACATGAAGTATGTCACTGCTGAAATTCCGGATCTAAATTAGAAAACAAAAATGAAAAGCAACTGCTGAAAAACAGTTTCCTACCCTTTTCCGGATCCATGAAATGCTGAAGATCCGTGTTGGGAAGTAAACTACGCATCACTTTATCGACAAAATCACCAGTTATTTCATTTCTGTTATCTAAAAAAAGTGTTCATAAAAACTGGATATCAAACAAATGACAAGATGAAAAGTTTAACAGGATAAAAGCAGTTCAATCAAATATGGAGTCTTACAACAAAATTAGTTAGGTTTTTTGCTACTTTCTGTCCTTTTAATTGGAAATTAAATTTGTACACTTATTGTGTCTTAGTTATTTGTTTACTAATATTGTTTATTAATTACTGAGGAATTCCAGTCCATTAATTACTATAAAATCCAACAATGAATGATATTAAAACTGACATGATGACATTTCGAATTTATTATGTAATTTTAAAATGCATGAAGATACGTAAGGCACTTGCAGTTTGAAATTTTACTTCTGATGATATCATACATCATAAAGTTAAGTTTAAATTTGTCATTACATTACTATTAGCATTTATTTTGCGCCAAAATAGCACTTCTAAAGATTCTTATCAAAAGTTATCTCTTTTTTGCGGTGCTCATCCAACCATCTCGGTTCCATTTATCTAAACTGAAGAAAACAAATACTACAATATGCTTCAAAATGACAATATGCTTCAAAATGTACCCTTATGGCTTTTATCACTGGCCGATTCAATCCCAATTATTGTAGAGTTATTGACCGTTGGGTAAGTTGTTGTCATCACAGATAGCGGATTGTCGATCCGTGCATTTTCTGTTGTCATTTCGATGCTGGAATCGAAGTCATCGTATACCTACCTGTGTCACGCATGTTGGAATTGTAGATTTAACGTTGAAGATTATTCTGAGCTATGTTCAGCAATAATTACATATAAGTATCATTGCAAGAAACGTTACGTATTAGGAAGAAACCAAGTAGTAAGCAGAAGCCAAGTAAGGATAGATTTCAGGCATCTGATTGGCAACATGCCCATGGGAAATTGTAAGTATGAAAAGATGAGTTAAGATTATGAAATATGAAATACGAAATTTTGCAGGAATTTCAAGACAAGAAACTTACATATTACTTCTTTCACCTTCTTCAGTTTGTTCTCTGAATAATAATTTTGTTTCGGATTTATTTTCTTTCAAAGTAATATTCAATTGAAATGGATTACAGTCCCTATCTGCTGAAATGCAAGTAATTTTAGCAAGCCTTAATTTGCTGAAATATGATTTAAATACAAAAGGAAAGTTTTAGTTAATGGAGACTGCAACTAAAGTTCTGAAAAGTGATGAGAGCACCCAACACTCCGCAAGTGCAGCGTACAAAATTTGATAACTACTAATTGTTTGCTTATTGGCATTGTTAAAATGAATATTCATAAAAGCTTCTGCAGTAGTCAGACGATTGACAATCACTATGCGACAGCTCAATCACTTGATCACTCGGCCATTATATGATTAAAATGAACGGGTGACATTTTTAGCCATCAATCACGCATTCCAAAAAAATCATACCGTAAATAAAAGGACAGAATAGATTTAATGATGACTGTAGACAGGAAACAAACCCTGCTTTGTCATAAATTGACAGTCTTCGAGAAAAGGTGAAGTAACGAAAGTAAACATAGAAAAGGGTGCCTGTGGACTGTTGCACCGATCTGAGTTGGTGCATCCACAGACTGTGTACCAATTTCTCTTATAACAATAAGCATGATCACGGAAAAATGTTTGCGTATCCATGTCAACATTCACACATCCCGATACCAGAGTTTCGTTATAGTAATTGTTGACTACTGAAAATAGACACAACAAACTCAAAACTTGTGAAACAACTGACTGGAAGAACTAAAAAATTCTAAATTTTGAATGCAATTCAAAATTAAATTTTAAAAACTCGAAAGAATGAAAATTAAAATATTTGCTGGTAGAAATAGATTACCAATAAAGCAAACATCGCCATAACAATTTTGTGGACAAGTTCTGATACCAGAAATAGATGTGTGAGCCAGAAAATCGCATTCTGCACACTTGACACTGACAGTTGTTTGTGTCATAGATGTTATTAACCAAATGATTATTGTCAACCATTCCTTCATCCTTGTGAAATAATCTTTAACCCTTGGACATTTATCAATTTCTCCTCGCTTTTACAAAACTACTGAATATGAATAATTACAGTAATGATTTAAATGCTAAAAACTTCCATTGCGTACAAGAAAGAAAATTGCAGCATTTTTCCGGAAATGAAATCCATAAAACATATAGCAGGCAGTACTAACCGAAAATTAGCACTGTAATCTCAAAATAACCTCCTAATAGTAGTCATTTCTTTTAAATTATATCGCTCAAAATTGAATTCAATGCAATGTAGTACACTGCTAGACTTGCAAAAAGTAATTCAGCTATCAAACAATGAGCAGAAATTTTGCTATTTTAAAGAATTTCCTTCACTTATCACTTGTTAGCAGTGACACCAAGAAGTTTCTTCACTCCTCTTGAACTACCATCAAAACAAATTGACGGTACTTTGAAAGTTGAAAAATGGATTTGTGCTTTTTTTCAATGATAAAAAGATTGTCAAAAAAAATTGAAGGAAAAATCAAGTTAGAAATATTAGAAAAATAAAATTAAAAAAACAAAGATTGCAATACTTCAAGAAAACACTAGAGTTTTATTACAAAAATTTATCATTAGTATTTTGGGTATCTAACTCAAAAATTAAAACTAACTTCAAGTAGTATAATTATTATTATTACATGTTTTAATTTTTTTGCTACACTTTTTGTTGAAATAGAACAATTTATTTTCCATTATTAAATCAATGTTCAAATTAGTCTAGAAAATATGAATTCCATAAGAAAACTTTCCAGAAATAACAATACAAATTACTTTCACAGCGGTGAAGAAGTGAACAAGTAAGTACTTGATCAACTTCAGGAAAATCAAAGAGCAAAACAGCTGGGTAAAACCACAATACAAATTTCAACGTCATTTTTTTATTCCTACTTCATTTGAATTGGGTATTAAAAAAAAAGTTTGGAAGTATTAAAGTACACAGAAGAAAAAGATTAAAATTTACAACAAAATTGCAGCATTAATTAAAGCGTTTTAGTAGAGTAATTCCTCTAACATTATGCTTTAGTGAGTAAGTAATTAAGTATGCCATAAATTTGAAATGAGTTTCAGGATGAATTAACTGCAGACTATGGAAATTAGTAACTCAAAATTTAATGAAGAATGAATAAATTGAAGAAAAGGAAAGAAAGAAATCCAAAACTGTTCCCCCATAACTCATCGATTTATACCTCTCATCATTAGTCCTGCTAAAACTGCTGGACTGAGCCAAATTAAAAACTGGTTTTCATATTTTCTGCCTTCGTCCAGTATTGGACGAATCATTCGGATCATTGCCTCTCGCAATTTCGATATGTCTATGAAAGTGCATTTTGATTGCCCCGCAAGATGGAAAGTGTGAAATCATTGCGGTGTAGCATGATGGATAGATATTTTAATTAATTGGCATAAATCAGAAATATGTAAAAAGTTTGTAAATATAAGACATCACGAGACACTATATTCAAATTTGGCTGATAATTTTGACCTCAAATTCAAGGAGATTATAATTTTTATGTATGATTGAGTAAAACATAAAGTATTTCACGTAATAGCCTTCACGCTTCCGCGGAAACTATCAATAGTTTCGCACATAAAACCTTCTGCTGCAGCTTTTCGTGAAGCGAACGATGAATTGTCATTGTTTTTCGTGAAAAAATTGCGGAAATGATCTTGTCCTAAGAACGTAGATAAGTTATTTATTAATAAATTATCTAAAATTACTCATTAACTATTAGTCAGTACAATTAACAGCGCCAGAAACTTCCATTGTACTAATAAAACTTTTGACGTTGTTACGTAATCTTACGTTATGGAAAGATACTTGCCTTGCGTTTCAGGCGTTACCGGGCAAAGCAATATGAAGCCAACTCTTAAATCTTTCTCCACTTGTAATATAGCACATTTATTATTCTGGCAATTTAATACTGAATTAGTTTAAAAATTCTATTTTTTTAAAAATTAAAAAGGAAGAAAATATGGTAAAACTCAAATAATGAGCAATTGGCTGTGTAAATTTCAAATTTAATAAACTATTTAAGAAGTGTACCTTTGATAAGAGATAACGTGGTGCTGAAAAGACTGAAACTAATCGTCTTTTGCAAAAGAAACCGTAACCATTCATTATCATCTGAAAATATGCGCAATTCATTTTAAAGTTAAAGCGTAAGAATAATTTATTCAATCAATTTTTTATTTCAATTTCTGCTCATTTAATTTTTAAAACAGTAGGAAAACAAAAAACTAATTTGCAAAATTTCATTGAAATAAACTTTCATTGAAATAATTGAAATTAAATCCAAATTTATCAAAAAAAAAAAAAGAAAAAAAAGGAACATATAAGTTGAGATAAGCGATTTCAGCTCAATGATATGTAATAGGTTTAAATGCAAACGGAAGATACCTGATGTGCTCGCACAATCAGATCGATATTTAGCTGTTCACAACAAGCAATTACAGTATCTTCACCAAAGAAATAACCAGCTCCGCGAATTGAATTTTTAATGAAACCTTTCAAATCAAGCATAGGATCAGACCATAAAAGACTACATGCCAGCGGTAATTCCGTTGGATCAAGAATTGGACGTTTGATCTGGAATTTCAGGAGAGATTGAACCTGAATATATGATTCATCGTCAGTCATTCGCTTGATAATCCGCTGAAGCGGTAAAATACATTAGATGCAGTTCAGCTAACCTTTCTAATGTCATTCAAGCATTTCAGTTCCGGTCCAATACCGCCGTGAATGCAAAGTATTTTATTGTGAATTATAGCCGCAAGTGGTAAGCAAGCGAATAGTTCATTAAAGGCATTCCATAAAGTAAGCCCTTCATTATTTGCTGGAAATCTGCGCTCAAGTTCCAGTTGGAAGCCATATGTTTGATTAATGTCCGATGATTCATGATTCCCACGTAACATGTTGAACTGGAATTGTCTCTATTATCTTAATTTTAAAAAATTCAATTCCCTCTACTACAAGTAGCGTAAGGTTATTAATCATTTACCATCTTTGGGAACATCAATTTGTGCGCCAGAAGGCAACAAATTGTTTCTAATGAGTTCATACCGCGATCGACGTAATCACCGAGAAATACAAAACGTCGTTTAACGGCCCCACTTTTGCGACCTGCTCCAAGAACAGAAAATATTCGATGCAAATCTTCGTACTAAAATAATCTCTGCCTAAGCAAACTATCATTAAAATGAAAAAATTTGATCATACGAAAAGAAAGAATGCAGTAGAGAATGGAAAACACACTTTTTTCTTGTTTCTCATCGATGGTCTCTTTCCTCTCTCTGAGATCTTTGAAGTTCATTTATCGCTCATTATATTATTTTTCTCAATTGCTAATTAAGTAATACTCATTTACTATGGACTTAAGGATAAGATAAGCGGAATAACTGACATACTTGGCCATGGATATCACCAATCACGACACATGGCACTTCAACATCTAGTAGAGTTGGTTCTGACAGAAATAATTTCTTTGCTTCGTTCAAAATAGGTAGTAACTCGTGCATAGTATAATCGATTGGTAAAAGGTAAAGATAAAAGTAAAGGCAATGAAATTAATTAGGCTTGTTTATAGATATAATTTTATCTAACACAGTGAAAATATCCTTAGATATATGCTTAGATTTAAATTTCATCTTTGGAAGACAATCTTTACGGGATAAATGCTTGGAAATAAAATACTTAAAGACTTTTTTCTTATTATTTGGCAAATAAATAAACACTTAGTTATATTTTCTAAATATAGTAATTTGGTAATACGTTCAAAAAAAAAGACTAACTTATAACTTTTAAACAAATAAATTCTGAAACTTATTAGAAATATAAGTGATGTGTTTCTTCAGGAAAGCTACGTGAGCTGGATTAACAGATTTGATGATTCTGTTACCATTTGGCATTTTGAATAAATTTGCGATGTATTTGAAATTCTTTACTTCTGAACAAAATTCTCTGGTTCCGTTAAAATTTACTGGAAAAGAAAATCAGTATGAAACTTGAGCAACAAATTCTTAATTGAACCATTTTTTCGGAATCTAAAATGACTAGCCACAATTTGAACGCAGTAGATCGAGACAGAACCACTCCCTCGAAGTTCAAATAGTTTAAATGAATTTGAATTCTTGAATGAGTCCAAAAGTTTAAATTAAATTTGCACTTCAATTTCTTATCTTTCGCAAGCCTCTTTGAAATTAAAGGTTATTTAAGTTAATAGAGAAAATTGCATTTTCAAAGCCACTTCTTTCTCATCAATAAAAGATATTTTTCTCACAATTGTTGTGCCTTCACTCGTTAAAAGAAGAAAACAAGATTTTATACAGTGTCATTCGATTCAGAAATAATCTTCTAAAACTTTTACCAGTAAACGATTTCAATCGAGCATTTTTGGATCGATCTATTAAATCATTTTGATCGAAAACATTTTTTTATGTAACATTCTATGTCATCAAAAATGATTAAAATTACAGGTAACAAGATTAATGCATGAATGATCCCCAATACAATTAATAATATTATTGTCTTCCAGAATACGGCAACTACATAAGCTTTCACCATAACCATGGGTAATATGCCTGAAAATTTTTTAAACACTGTTAGGTAGTTCAAAGGTTCATTATTATTAAAGTTAAGTTTTGAACATTCCAGTCCTTAATCTTATATATTGCTAGAATTGATTAAAAATTGTAAGAATTTGTTATTCGAAGGTTTTCCACAACAATTACCAACGAAAGTAAAGGTATCACTTACCTACTAAAGTACTGAGTCCCGATTGAATTACAGGCCATCCGACACTTTTAAATGTGACCAAGAATCTTGCTCGAGTATCAGTATTACTCGATTTATTGCAATGGATACTGTTATTAATTGATGGTAATATCGATAAATCTTTGACATTTGCATCTGAGCCGACAATGATCGAAATGGGTTGATGAGAGTGTTCTTCAGATTTCTTATTGTCCTGCGCATTTGTGAATATATATTTAAAATTGATTCAAAATTCTGAAGTCAACAGACTTTTCCATAAAAATTAACAAAAAGATTGATGCATAACTGACAGGAAATAGAAGTGATGGAACAGAATACTGAACTACCTTTTGTGTGAGGTAGTGATAACAGATATGAGCACTGTAATCTACTGAAAAGCCAATACTCATCAGTAAACTAATCAGAGAGATAGCATCCAGTCGTACATTCCATAAATGCAAGTATGCAAGTGCTCCGAAGCAAATGGACAGAATAGAAATAACAACGGCCACTACGGCACTTACGTCAGTGATAAAGAAGTAAACTACGGCTGACATTAAAACCACCGCAGAAACTGCAATGATTTCTAGATTTAATGCTGACAAATATAACATAACTGTAAACTTACTCACATCTAAATGACAATTAACTATAAGCAAAAATGTTTTCAAATTTGAATTCATGAAAACCATTTTTCCATACTTTCTATTATATTGAATGCATATGTTCTTGATGAATTTCAAGTCAAATCAAAGCTATACAGAGTGTTTCACTAATTAATTACAAAAGTTTGAGAAAAAAGTTAACAGACATGCAGTTTGGATAAAATTAGTTGCTGCACTGGCTGCTGACTCAGTAGGAACTTTTTCCAGTGGATGATGAGAGCTAACATTGAAGAATTTAGCATACTTTGATATTATGGATCGCCTGAATTAAAACTGATAAAAAGTTAACAGTCTGATACTGACGAAGAAGAACGATAAATACAGCAATCTTGCAAACCGTTGCACATTTTTATCATAAGAATTTATTTAAACTTGTTTGAGCTTTTCACTTCGTTGTAAATTACTACCATTACAGGGCTGATAATTTTCTAGAATGAAGAAAGAAGAAATGGAACCTTATTTTGTTGCACACATTTTAAAATAGTCTTAATTCCATGTTTGAAAGTGCTAAATAGTTGAAATGGAAATTCAACCAAAGTGGATGAAATAGCAGCAACGAACAAAATGAAAAATGAAGGAAACCTTTGCTGCATGAGTTCTTGTACATCCAAAAAGTTGTTCATATTGCGGTAAGTTATTGACCAAAAAAAACCGGAAATTACTTCCACACCATCCGCCCTCTTCCTGAAAAATGCTTATTCATTCATTAAATTAGGTACAATTTTCGTTGACACTTTTTCTGCTTAGCCTCACATCGTTGTCGTGTAATATTTTCCTGTTACTGGCTGCATTTTTATTTTTGATAGAAAATATTCATAATTAATCGTTCATTTCATAGACGGAAACAACAAGAGATAAGCGACAGCAAAACATTTGAATTTTTTTTTTTTGCAATGATAATAATGCGACAAATGTGTCACCACATGCAGTGGGCAATGGTGACACAGAAAAATTTTCTCATCTCTTCCCAGGCTAAGATTCACTTCTTGCAGCGATCAGAAATACAACTTTCTGGTCTAAACGCTTCCAAAAACTCAGCAAGTGCGACTTCCAGTAAAAAATGTACATTCCAAAAAAAAGTGAAGTTAAAATCTAACCTTTCCTGAAGAAAACTGCAGCCAATTAAAAGCATTTATCATTTCAGATTTTTATAGAAGCTATGTTTCAAATAAATTATTAACTAATCCGTAGTTGGAATCGAATGCGCACCAAATTTTGTATGTGATCAATTATAAACTAACTCAGTGGTGATGAACTTTTCTTCTATTTCGTATTCTCGAAATGTTGAAAGTAATTTGTCTTGTCTCCAGAAATTGCTTTCGTCATCCCAAAATGCTACTGCCTGCAGAATATGATCTATTGTAACATTTATTATGAGATTAGATATTGGAGCTAATTAAATTGTTCAGTTCCGGTTGGAATTTATTGGAACGGATTATTTATGAGATATTTTCTTTTGACTACTTGCTACTCAACCAGTTTTCGGGATATTTTGCAAGATAACAAAATGACAATAACCAATCACTTTGTCATCCAAATTTTAATGCTGTAGGAATAGAAGAAATCAGTATGCGTTCTACTAACATCAGCAAAATCCCTTGTCCACAACACAGTTCCATCTGGTCCCATACCAAATTTTGGTATTGTTTCTAACTCTTCAATTAAATGATCGAATTTGTTTCGGATAAAAACATCAGCAAAATTCGGCATCGGATAAAGAGCAAAATTAACGACGAATGCTTCACTGAGAGTAAAACGTTGTAGCTGTCGCGAAATGGCATTCATGCTTGAATTTTCCATGTATAAATTTTCCATATCAAAATCTGTATTCACTTTGGTGCAAAGATATGATACCACCTAAAGTTATAATTGAAGTTCTACTTAAATTTGGGAGTTCAGAGGAAATCAGCAATACACAAGCAAAGTGAATTCAAATTAAAGAGAACTCTCAACGTTAGCACTTCGCAACCTTCAAAATATTAACTTTAAGGCTTAGTATTTACAAGGATTCGATTGAAAGGATCTTAAAAGAATTTATATTTCCTTGCAATTAACTTTCTCTCATTTCGTAAAAAATATCGATTTAAGCACAAATATAAAAAAAAAGTATTTCTGCTTGACTTACAATAATATGAGTAATAAATGCAGCAACAACAATGAATTTCGTAAATGACAGATGAAGGATATTGATAAGCTTCTGTAGGATAATTTCACTTTTCTTCGATGTTTTCCTTATCATTTTTAGTGATAAAGAATTATCACCGGACAAGCAATATTTTGTAATACTAACGTCAACAGAGTATAATTTATGAGAATCTTTATGTTCAATTTTTGACCATAATCCATCTAGGATGTTTCTGGATTTAAGATTCTGCAAAAAAATTATGCAACAATCAGATATCAAAGATTTCGCTGATTACGATGTTACAGACGAAAGTGTTATTAAAATCCTTCAAATGGGTTAAAATTTCTGGACATAACTCCCCAGCTATATCACAGTTGGAGAGTTACGTCAAATCTCTAAGCGATTCCTTTGCTGTGAAACGTGTCTTTCTAATTAACAGTAGAATTTAATGCCTTACTTGCTTAGAATATAATGCTTTTTCGTTGGGATGATTTACTTTTTGTCTTCCACTGAAGGCAACAAAAGCAATAAAAAATGTAATCTGTAATAAAACCTTTTTTTAACATTTTAGAGAAATTAAATATAATTAATTCAAAAAATTTTGTTTAGAAAATTCCGGTACAAGCCACAGATTAAGTTAAGCTTAAAATTGTAAGTTAAAATTATAATTGAATATTTGCAAGTCTTTGTCACGGGAAAAATAAGAATACACTGTGATCATTTGTAGCATTTGATTTGACCAGCTAACACTAAAGAGTTATCTCTCAAATATTTCTTCATATGCTTTGTATGCCTTTTCATATTATTTAAATAGCTCTATTCCGTCTGTAATCACTTTGCACCAAACTAATCTCATTTCTTGTCTCTTTATTTAATGTTTGAGCATCTATTTGAGACTCTCTAAGCCAAATAAAATCAATCATAATTGCAACGGAAGTATAAATACTAAATTATAAATATTGATTTATACAGAATACCTGGTAAATGAAGTCAATCATAATTGCAGCGGAAGTGTAAATACAAAATAGTCGTACAACAGGTAGATTCGAAAACAGTCCAACCATGAAGCATAATACATCGGTAAGCGAAGTTACTGTCACGCTTGTACCGGAATGAGTCAGCGTTTCACCTATTCGTGTTTCGAGATTAGAAGCTGGACTGCAATATATTGCATTACAAGTCATTTACATATATATATTGGCTTGTAATTAAGGTCATATTCTTAAATATTAGATTTTCAATTCCAAACGCAATCGTTGTATCGAATTGTACTTAAGGAATATTTCAGGCAAACGCTTACTTTGAATGCCTCCAAGCAGCTAATATGAGAAAAGCATCATCAACACCAATTGTGATGACGAGAAAAGGTACAACAGTTAAAATGTTGGAAAAGGGTAAACCAACACCCCATAAAATACCCCAAGAAGTAACCAATGCCATCACTGGAGAAAGCACCGCAAAAATAGCCTGAAATGACGAAGATTGAATTTATGATCACCTCGAAATGAATATTATCCATGCATAATCATAATGCTAATTAATAGCGAATGTTATTCAGAGAATTCTTGGAATATTTCACCTCAATATGTTGGCTATTTCTGAATGGAAAATCGGTCAAGCTAATGACCATAAATGCAACCAACATCAAAGCAGTTACACCGAGAAATGGTAAAGCAGCAAGAGTTATTTGCTGCTGTTCTTCAATTTCCCGATCTCTGCTGAATAGAGCATATTCTAGATCCTAAAACTTCCGTTTTACATTTCTGAAATCTCTGAAAAGTCTCAGTATTCAAAATTTTCATTTTTTTTTTTTAGAGCAAAACGAAAGAATCCAAATAGTAAAAACCTTATTTATTTATGAGCTTACTTTCATTTGTAATAAAATTCTCAAAAAGATATTTCACAATTTTAACTCCATTTTCGTTTTTGTATTTAATTTTTAGATTTTCTATATGGGACAACAATTTTATTTTCCCTGGATTTTAAAACTTTTCTTGGAGACATTCAATATTTCTTTACCTCAGATTCATAGGTAGCCAACACAAGCAATGTTCGCAGCTGTGATTCAAAATTCTTCGCTATTCTTTTACCTTGTGGAAGATTCAGATCTACCTGTTCAGAAATTAAAAATTAATTCTTAAGTTATAAATTCATAAGTTTTCAGCATTAAATTTTGGTGCCATTTCTAACCATAAAATGCAATATGAAGAGTTTGAAGCCATCAACAACAGTTCTATCCTGCTTGGAATAATGCAGTTCACCAACGGAGTATCTGAATATGTAGAAATGCTCTTACAGAAAGTGAATTTTAAAACTGAAAATACATGCACGAATTTGGAAATTTTCATTAACTTTTTTTCAGTACTGTAGAAAACATTCAATACACATAGCATTCGTTTTCCTAATTTAACAAAATAAAAACGCTTCACATTTTCAATCAAATTTTAAAATTAGTTGGAAGTGAGAAATAGTCCATACCCCATAAAGATATATTTCTCAAATATTCGAGCCTTTGGAAATGTGAAAGCTAATGATGATGAAGATCGACCATCCATATTGATTGCTATCTGGAATTTGACATTGATACCTTCATTAGAGGACAGAAATGTAACTATTTTAACTGAATATATAAAATGTATCAGAAGAACTTCTCAATTTTAATTTTGACTTTTAAATCAAAATAAATTACGTTGAAAATTTCTAATCCATCGACTATTTCGTACCTCTGACCCATTTCTAGGGGTTCATTTACGTGGGATGCTGTAAAATAATAGATAATAAACCTTCATTACCTTTATGAAAGTGAGAACGATCTCATTACTGTCATTGCAATAGACACCACAAATGTTACGGTAGGTAAACGAATTATAGCCATCATTGATGGTTATATTGTTGGCTATGAATCTTTCCATTTTTAATATCTTATCCGTATTGTTATCGTTCATCAGATTACCACTATCTTTACGATTTACCAAAATTTGCAACTGAAAACTTCCAGTAATATTTGCATTTAAATCAAAGAATTAAAAATTCAATAATACAAGTAAAAATGCATAGAAATTTAATGATAGATAACAGTTCACTGAATGTAGTGGTAATTAATAGCCATCTAAACTAATGTGTCGTTTTAGTGCAAGTAGAAGTAATTTCTGCTACAAATCATCCCTTTCTTCGCGGAAGCTTTCTAAGTACTTTCATACTTTCTGTTCTTAAAACCAATTGAAGCAATTCATAACTTGCATTCAGATTGCTGGTGAATTACGAACCATTCGATTGCACTCTACTATAATTCAGTTCATCATTACTTCAGACTTGTTTTGCATTTCTGTCTTAAAAAATAGCCATCTAATTATGCATTGCATAAAATTCCTGATGAGTGATCCCGAAATTTCAAGTCTAGGTATTAGTACGATGTTAATTAAGACGACATCTGACCAACTGATAAAATTTATGTCAAATATTATAGATTCCCACAGATTTAGGTAGCTAAAAGTAGTCTCATCACAATATCACAATAAATAGCGCACGAGAAAAACAAATTTCTATGGGAATCTTCGATGTTTGTTTTTAACACTTTCAACAGTTTCTTTTCAATTGTAATTGACTTCCCGAAGAATTCTCATACTAAAAAAAGAAAGAAACAAAAGACAGTCTTCAATAAGGTATGTGGCTCTATGCAAATTTCCACCATAATCTTTTCACAAAGAAAATCACAAATTCATTTTTTTATTGCAAGATAAATTTAAGATTCTCGAAATACTTTAAAATGGTCATCTTATTATTTCTCTATTCGTCGTTAATCAACTGAACAACATTTTGCGATGATTGCAGACGTCTCAGTTAACCGAGTGAAAGCCAATTAATTTTCAACAAAAGAGAACTTTCTTTACAGGATCATAAATTTCGTTATTTTTACTGCACAGTGTTAGTAGACTAAATAACTTAGATCTCTTTAGCTTGGCACAAATTTTATTCAAAAGATTCTTTCTATTAATTTTCAAAGTGGTTCGCGAGGACTACTTTCGAAAAGGTTGTAAATCTCGAAATTCTATGTCTTAATTTTGTCTGGCACAGAGTTATGATACAGTTTCTTACTAAAATAATAGAAAAGGGTATAAATTACAACTGAAACAGAAAAAATTTACGTAAGGAAAGTAAGAAATCAACTTTTCCACTTAATTTTCTTAATTCACATTTTAAATTTAAATAGTTACTCTGTAATGATGAACACCGCTAGCATATTCAAAACGTTCCAATGCCTTTTCCTCTGCCCGAGATAATCCATTTATCGGCGAATAAATATTCCAGATATCATTATCAATATGAAAGCGAAACAATCCAACAGTCGAAAAAAACGTTGTGAGAACAGGCAATAGCTAAATTTTAATTAAAATCAATTATCTATTTTGCATGTTAATCTTAACTTTGAAGATTTGCAATTTTTTTTTCTCATTACTATAAAAAAATTCTTGACAAACTAGAGATCTTATCCATTATCACCCTTATCAGGAAAAAAGAAGCTTCCGGCAAATTAAAAGTTAAAACAAATTCTTCTATTGATAGAATTATCTATTATAAATTCCTACTAGTCAGAAGAGTGAAGCAAATTAAGTAACATGTGTAAAGCGATAGCTCTTACTAAAAAAGGAATAGGATGTATGGCTACAAAATGTCCATAACGGCGATAAATGCCTTCCAAAAATCGCATTTTATCTAAAATGAAAAAAGAAATTGAAAAAGATTTGACAATTCAAAGTTTAATGAAATATTGCATGAAAAGTTTGAAAGTTTAGCGCAATTATAATATTGGAAAGAAAATACTGCAACAATATTATGATCAATAATTCTTTTAGATTCTCAAAAATAAAAATGAATGATCTGTATAAATCTCTTATAAATTTTATTTATTGCATTCAATTTCAAGATTGAATTTAAATTTTTAACGAACACAAATCATTAGTTAAATCTTCTGTGTCGATAATTTTAATGTAGCACATCAAATCCACCAAAAAAAAAAAAAAAAAAAATGAATTTGGAGACTTATTTCAATAAGTAGAATGTTTTACATGGTGTATAGTATTGAATATTAAAAAACATCTGACTTACTTTAATTTAGATATGATTGAGCAAAATAATTGAAAAATTCTAATTACGATAGCGACTCAATGAAATTAAAAACAGGCCAATAAAATGGAATTTATTATTTGCATCTGTGACTCATATAATTAAATCACACCTCTGAAAAAAGTGAAGCAATTCTATTATGATAATAGTCTAAAAATTATCAAAGCTGTGTCCTTGGAAAATTCAAAAAAAGTAATTGACTTAAGTGCTGAAAATGTTAAATGAAATTTTCGAAAACAACTTCAGAGATAATTCAACCGAAAAGAAAAATTACCATTGGATAAAAATTTTGAAATTGCTGAAATCACTCCGCAGAAATTGATAAATTGTTCAGTTAAATTAACAGTGTGTCACTACGGTTTCAATTACAATCTTATAAGAAATAATAGTTTCAAATATGTGTTCACCTTGTTTGAGCTTATAGGTTAACAGACGGTTGTGCAAATCTCAAGACAATGAATGTTTAGCTATCAACTAATACACGGAGCGCAAAAGCGCTATATTATAATGCAAGTCAATTTGCGCAGTAGTAAAATAACATATTTATATGAATAACGCATACTAAAAGGTAATATGGAGAAATACGCTGTGTTAAATAGGAAAAGTCAAGGTAATAGTCTAATAGAGCAAAGCAGTTAATTGTTGAGAAATAAAGTACAGAGGTAAAATACGTTGTAAAAAATTTAAAATCAAAAAGTGCAATTTTAAAAAGGTAGTAGATGCTGAATGGAGTTCTCACAAATTTTATTGAGTAAAATTAAAGGCCAACAATGCGTTGAGTTAGTATGAAAGATTCAAATTAAGCGATATAAATAACGCTGTAAATCAATTTAGATATTAATTATAGAACTTACAATTATTCCACTTTTTGCTTTTTTTTTTCTTTTTTCTTTCATGCAATTAAAATATAGAAAATTACAGTTTATTTAATTGCAATTGCAATTAGCGTCACAAAGGAGCAAATTCAATTTGTATTTCAAATTAAAACAAATTAGAATCCAATCGAATTCAGTGCCCAATTACCTTATTCACTATTCTAATCAAGACTCTATCAACAATTAGATTGGAAAAAACGCATAAATAAAATGATGAAAATAAGTGGCTACCTGGCGCAGATTGTGCAAGCTAAATATTTGCGCAAAATTCTTGACAAAGGAATCTGGGGCATTTATAGAGAATTTTATGCAATTTAAAACTCATGCATAAGAATGAAATTGAGCTGTCAGAGCAATGGGAAAATCTTTAGCAAATATAACAACAATTTCTTATGTAAATCGAAGTTTCTTTGATGTAAGACATACTTTCAACATTGTTAATTAAGCAGCTGTTAATGGAGCGCAATGGAGCACAATAGCACTCACATAAATAGAGCTCAATGAGATGCAACAGCATCCCAATGAGGCGCAAAGGAACGACATGTCATTTTGTTTTCTCGGTTAGCTATTTTGCATTCCTCTTCGATTCAGATTTATATTTCTTATTTCACCCCAGTTATTATAAATTTCGGCAAATGTTTTCGATTCAAATTTTTGATGTTCAGTTCATCTGGTCCTTATCATTGATTGCAATGGAAGTTAAGGAACCGCTTTTTATCATTGTTTTACAATTTCGATTTTCATTCCCCAAGCTTTTGAATTATTTTACTAGTTTAGTTTAATTTAAATGTTTTGAAATCCAAGGATTTGATATATAAAGTTCTAGCTTAGAGGAAATTTCAGTTTGATGACTTTTGGGTTATATATATATATACGAGGACATTTAGGTATACCTGATACGAACATTGATTGAGTTTAAAGGTCAATGGCCACAGGCTAGCAGAGAAATTGGCATCGCACATAAAGATAAAAAATAATATATGAGACGAAACAACGATAATTGTTATTGCAACCCTGTTCGTACATTATGTATCAGATGAATAAAAATATTTGAGAAAGAAAAGCTGACAGAGAAATTTTTAAAATTAAAAATTAATACTTAGCTGTTCCTATTACTAAACTATTATCAAGAAGTTTCTTGAATTTTATCCCAGGTTTTTCTGAAATTTAGAAGATGAGTTGAAGAAAAAGGAATGAAAACACTATAAAACCAATCTTATTTTTGTATGAAAGAAAAAAAAAAACTTGAAATTCCCACTACTATTTTTATAAATTGTCATTGCAGGACAAAAGCCTGATTTTCAGCATGACGTATTTGAAGTTATTCCGTTCATCATTCTGCTTCAGCAGGTAGCATCGATAGATATCGCAAGCAATACATGCAAAAATTTATGTTTATGCTTTTCTATTTACGTGTGGGTGGGATCCTGATGCACTTAAAATGCCTTCCGGCGGTATCGGCGGCAAATTTGCTTATTTTCAGTTATTATGCTTTTGCTTGTCTGTGAGTACATTGCACATATTGTTATCTCTGAATGCATAGTATAAGTATAAGAGAGAAATATACTTTCAGGAAGAGAAAAAAATAGTATTTTCATCGAGAAATGTTTTTTAAAAAAAAAGCAAATTTAATATTTTCCTTTTTTGTATGCAACAGAATCCATTCAGTTGGTGAAGATTTTTATTTTATATTAGAATATTTGCCGAAAATGTTGAAATATTTGAAGGAGAAATTGCATAGCACAAGAAGAAATGAATTCTCAGCTCAGCAATGGCTCATATTGTCGAATTGCGATTAGAGAAAAACGAAAAAAGGAAAGAATGACTGATTTATATGAAAATATGTTGAAGACAGCACAGAAATTTTAGAATGAAAATTTTCGCTTTAACGATTTTTTGAAGAAACGGATCTGACCGTTGATTAATAGTAACAAAGGAACACTCAAAAAAGAACAGACTTTCTAGTTTTTTTTTTTTTTTTTCTTTTTGCAGCAAAGTCCGAAAAAAGCAAACAAAAACAAAAATAATTAAATCCTTTTTCAAAAAGATAACTAGTTATCATCAAATTCGAACCACTATTTTCAAGCATACAATGGCTGATTTCAAAATAATTAATTAGGGGTGTGTGCTTTATTAAAATTAAAATCAAATTTTATTTTTCTAAGTTTTCCATAAAAATTAAAATTTAAAAACAATGCTAAAAACTAAAGTAAACTTCAGAAGGTTGTCTTGAAGTGCAAAATATTGCAATGAAGTTGTAATGCTTAGCGCCATTTTAAGCAAAACCGAACAATTGGAAGTAATTGTTCCTTTCTACTCCAAAATAGCAGACAAGATATTTATTAGAAAAATTCGAAACTTAAATTTAATGAGAGAAGAAAGATGACTGGAAAAGATAAATAAAGTACTGAGGGAATGAAATGACAGTCGCAGTGCTTCTCCTATCTCCTCTGAACGGAGGACATCAGAGATTTATAATATTATTTCGTATTCTTTCTTCTTCTCCTTTCCCTTCCACTACACTTTCTCTGATCGCAACATCAATTCGGTCCGATCGCATTCGATAATCTCCTGAAATATGAATGCAAATTTTTATGCAGCACTGCTATTAAAGAAAGAAAAAAACTTTGAAATCAAAGTAATAACCTTTGCTGAAACTTTGCTAAAAATTCACTCTTCCACGTGTGACCTGACGTAATCTCATTTGGTGATAATAATCACTGATTTAATTGATAGTGGTGCATTTCAGATTACCATTCGTAGTGGAGTAAGCATAAAAACTATTTTAGCCATGTTGAAATTTCGAAACCAATCAATTTGTGAAGTATTCAGTTAAGACCAGAAAAAGTGATTTCAGTGATAAGTGAATGATTTCATTTAACAAACATTGAGAGTGTAGCATTCAAAGGATAGAATATCTATGGTTTGTTCTAAAAAACTTTAACTACATTAAATTTCAAAGTTAGGATATAGAAATTTCATAAGATTAATGTTTGAATTACCAGTCTTTGCAATTCTTCATTCTTGCCAAAAATTTATCAAGATAGAATTTTCATGGATTTAAACTTGAGAAAACTTCAAAATTTTTTCCAGTTTAATTTTATCTTCTATACAAAGTTAAAATGAACACATAAAAACTTTGTAAAATTGCAAAAACTAAGCATTTCTGTGTGATTACATTATGAATCTAAATTGAGAAATATTTAAGTTTACAAAATTTTATATAATTCAAAAATTTGGCAAAAACGAATTCTCTGAAACAAAGAAAAAAAACAAACAAAAACAAAAAACAGATTTTGTCAAAGACAAATTTTTAACAAATTTATCAAAAACGCAGAAAGATTAATAAAATGAGAAAAATTATTGCTTATAGGTTTTACCTTTCTATCCAATTAGATTTTAACTTTAATTTTCTTTTTACATTAATTACCGGATAGCAAATAAAATTGAGCATTGTAATAAAAAATGCAATAAGTCTTTTGTTCTCAGTTCAGTCCTTTTAATTTTTTCGTTGCATATTTCTTTTTAAAAACTGAGGAAGCAATGAAGTTTAAATCGGATGTAAACTCTAACTGAGTAACTTAAATTGATTTTTCTGAAAATCAAAAATCATTTTTTTTTACTTTTCTCATTTACAAATACGAAATTATCCTGCAATACATTCTTAAAGTGTAATTAGGTAACGAAAATGAACTGTGAGTAACCAGAATTGTTCTCTTATAAGAAAGAAATATTCCCATTAAAATCAATAAGAAAATATTGTTTATTGATTGATCATTATAAATACTTCAGAGTATCGATAATGATTTTAAAATATTCCCGAACAGCTATGATCAAAGAATACATTATGCATATCATTTGAACTAACTATGGAGACAGTACTCGATAACCGCCCAGCTTCGCTAGTGCTGAAAGAGCGCAAAGATTTGCATTGCAATTCGCTCTTATCTTTAAACAAAAAAAAGATGAAATTTACTTCCGTATTTTTTATCAATCTAAATTTTAGGTGAAAACGAGACATTTTATCAATTAGCATTTATATGATAATAAAAATAAGAAATCCACCGAATAATTATGAATGAAAAATGGAGAAAAGGAAAAACAAATCTGTTATCATTTTCTTCTGCGAATAGACTATCTTCCTCTGAAAATGATTTATTTAAAAAGAAATATAGAAATCTATTATAAAAAAGCAATAATTGCAATCTTCTTGCAAATGGTATGTCAAAATTATATGTTGTAGTCATTCTCTCAAAGTGAGCTGGTGCTTATCAGTTCATTTCCAACATTTATCATTAATAGGAAGTCACTAATTTTTCAAATTTAACGAGAAGATAACAAGACAAATTTATTATGTACAAATAAACTATTAGTAAAAGAGAGAAAATATTTGGTGTGTGGGAAAATGATAAGAGTGGTGTCAGTACTGTAATACTTTTTTCTCTGCTTCAATTCAATATAAGTAATAGTTTTTTTGGAGAAAGGAATTTCAAAATTCGTTGAATAAATTCATTTCGCTCTTTTCATTCGTTTAATCCAATGTTCAAATTTTGCTTTATTTAGAATTTAAAGAGATAATTGAATGATTAATACTTTTTCAGTACCTTCCATTGGTTTCAGTCGTTTTTTTAAATTTTTGTGCAAAAATTCATTCAATTGAATCCATCACAGTAATAAAAATTTTGTTTTCATTTTTGACTGAATCAAATAGATTACCGAAAACCACTGAGAGCAACAAAGTCAGTATGAAGGCGTATAAGACCAGTATTTGAAGGACAAAGGTTAAGGGTTATTAGCTAGATTGAGCAACAGCTGTGTTTCTTGCGATATTTGCTCTTTTATTTCTGATCAGCAACAGGTGTTGAAGGGTCGACAGACTCTATATTGCTTCTCATTGTTTAGTAGGGCATCATGTTGCACGCGGCGGTGCTTATACTTCTAGCTCACGTTGTTAACACGGAAGAAATAACAGAGCTTCCGGGAACACAGCATATGGAGATAAACTTTAAACATTATTCGGGATATTTTCAAGTTTCAGATACCCATCATTTGCATTACTGGTAGGTTCTGTTGAATTTACATCATGAAAATTTTAAAATATATGATTAAAAAAAAAATTAATCAGTTAATTTTTTTCCAGATATTTTTCACGTGGTAAGAGCTGAATTATTCTAGAAATCTTTGAAGCAAAATGACTTTGAGAAATGTCAATGCGTTGTTCAATTTTGAATAAAAAGTTCTGGTCAGGTACTTAATTAAACGGACTCTAATAAAAGGATGTCATATTAGGTTTGTGGAATCACAAAATGATGCAATGAAAGATCCGTTGATATTTTGGTTTAATGGTGGACCGGGCTGTTCATCGTTGGATGGTCTGTTGAATGAAATGGGTCCGTATGTTATCGGTGACGATGGAAAAACGCTTCATCACAATCCTCATGCATGGAATCAGGTATCCAGAGCCAGTTAGAATGATTCAATTATAAAATAATTTTTCAAAAACTATTTTTTCTTTAGTTGCATTGGAAAAATGAAAAATTGATTCAGTAACTTTCATTATCTTAATTAAATTAATTTTAGATGGCTTCTATAGTTTATATAGAATCACCTGCTGGAGTCGGTTATTCATATTCTACCAATGGGATTATTAAAACCGATGATAACCAGGTGCAATTTGGAAATAACTTTTTTATTCTGTGTTTAAAATTGTCAGCAATTCAATTCCCTGAAACTCCACCGATCATTACTGCAGAATCATATATCACTTAAATTAAGTGATATATGAATCATATATCATATATCACTTAATATATTACTTACTTGGACCATATTTTCTCTTCAAATCTTCTCAGCTTTTATTACCACATTGATTACGATATTATTTTGCTCTTATTTACCATCAACTGTACTGTTTTTCTGTTTTTGACTGATGAAAATCTACATTCGAAAGAAATCCAGGAGAGTTGGGACAAATCAATAATCAGCGGTGGTCTCTTTGAGATAACTCTTATTTACTGCTATATTAATTAGGGAAGAGTGAAGGGAGGACGATAAAAATTTCTGCACGGATCCGAAGAGTAAATCACTTTTATTATTTCCCTCTTTGTTTGCTTTATATTATTTATTTGTGCTTAATTCGAAATACTAATTAGTTATGAGATTCTAATGGAATTAAAATGCATTCTTGGAGAGGCGTTTTTGTAAATCAGCTGATGTCACTACTTGTTTGCTTTCTTCTTATGACTAATGCGAGTACGTGACTCAATAAGCTAACCAGATACTCGAATAAGTATTCATTTGATTTAAAACAAAGGCGCAAAAAAATATAACGCTGTACAAATCATTCTCTTGACTGCTTTGTCGTGAAATAGCTTATAGTAAAGAGTGAAGTAAAGGATATATCTCAAAATTTTATTTCGAACTTTATTTTTTATTTTAACTTTCAGTGAGCTTTTTTAGACAGCGCAGGAGAATTATGTGGCAATCAAAGAATTTTTCAAAGCTTTCCCAAACTTCCGTAATAATTCTGTCTATATCATGGGAGAAAGTTATGGTGGCGTTTACGTACCGACATTAACTGTTCTTGTTATTCGTGGTCTCGCAGAATTCCCGATGAATCTAAAGGTTTCTTCTTGACATTTTTCCTTCTTTTCTAGTTTAATGACTTCCGTTATTAATTTATAGTATATTCTGAGTTGTGAACTGCTTGCTATTTAAGATTAAGTCATTATTCACTATGGTACTTATAAAAAAGGTCACGTTTAACACATCAGTGATTGGAATATGAAGCGGAATTATCAGAACAAATGAATATTGAGGCGACTGAGTGATAAATGATCATTGGAAGAAGAATATCAACGTGAATGAATATTCTAAATTTAAAGTTTCTTTTCCAGATGTAAACTGCAAAACAATTTATAGTTCGTTATATGTACAGAATTTTAGGGCATCGCACTTGGAAATGGATACGTCAGTGAGGTGCTAAATATAGATACATCAATACAGTTCGCTTACAGCCACGGATTGGTTGATGAAAAAACGTGGAATGAGCTCCAAAACCGGTGTTGTCATGGCTGTATTAATACATGTGAACTGACAAATGTCACCAAAAAGGAATGTATAAGCAAGGGGAGTGCTTGTCATTTTTTAGGAAGTGTTTTCAAAATTTTTCATTGGTTTAATGACTCATTACAACTTTACTATTATACCGTAAAGTGAGGTAGGAACTGATCCAGTAGGAACCAATTAATAATATCTTGAAATGCCATCAGAACGATCTTCAAAAGATGTAATTTTGTTTGCTTCTTTTATTATTGCACTAATTTTTTTACCAATTTCGAACAGAGTTTTTGAAGGTCCAAAAAATTTTCCAATTTATATGGTCTGGTAATCTAAATCCGTATGATCTGTATCGTGACTGTATTTCAAATCCTGAGCTAAACAAAGCCCGAATACGTGTCATGAAATTTGGTCTTACTGAGCCAGCGAAGAAAAAGAAATCACTGAAATCTGTTTTGACCTATTTAAAAGTGAGTTTATTTCCACTATTTTATTTCTAACGTATCAAACAAAATCATATTTTTTTGCAGACTTTACTAATATATTTTAGTTGTTATTTTTTTAATTGTAAAATGCAATTTACTTTAAAATTTAAAAACCACAAAGTGTGTCTTTTCATAACTAAAATATGTTCCAACGCATAATTCTTAAATGACAAAATTCCTTTTCATTTTTACAAAATTTTGCAAATATTGTACCAATCAAATGTCATTTTAGCCTATCAATTCCTTCTCTGCAGATGCACCATGCATGAACGACTCAGCAATGATCCGATATATGAACAATGCGGAAGTGCGCCGTGCGCTTCACATTCCGGAGAATTTGCCTAAGTGGGATGTGTGTAGTGACGAGGTAGACATAATGCAATCCATAAGTTTTCAAATGACCATGTTTATAAGCAGTTGCTACCCATTTAAGGTTTAATTTTCATCAGAAACAAATCTTTTTACAGATCTCAACAACATATGAGAAAATATACGGCGATATGGCTCCTTTCGTAAAGGAAATAATTAAAGCAGGCGTTCGAGTGTTGTTGTATTATGGTGACACTGACATGGCATGCAATTTCATCATGGGACAACAGTTTTCTGCTTCGCTCAATTTGCCGGTATTCCTTTTAAATCTTTCTTACATTAATGAGTAATAATATTCAGTTATAAGTATCACTGTAAATTCGTGAATGACAAGCTGATAGTAGAGCTGCTTCGAGACATTCATTTTGTTGACACAACATCAGTCTAATGTTTGCAGAGGAAACGAAGAAAAGAACCATGGATGTTCGATTCTCAGATAGCTGGCTTCAAGACAGAGTATAAAGGTCTAACATTCCTAACTGTTCGTGGTGCTGGACATATGGCACCGCAATGGCGTGCACCGCAAATGCATTATGTCATCCAGCAGTTCATCAAATCCTTTTAAAAGAAAAAAGAAATGTCAAGAAGAACCTGTTGAACTTTATCACTGATTCCAACTATTAATATCGCATATTCATAGAATTCTGTCGTCAAATTTGTTCCATCGAATTTTCATGAAAATTCGCATTATCCTAATGCATTTTTCTCTATTTTATTTGTTTTCTGCGAAAGAAAATAAATTTTTAATTTGAATATTTACTGTCGGCCATAGGTCTTTTCTCCTATGATTTTCTTCCATTTCTTTGCTTCAAGCTAAAAAAAGAAGCATACAAAAAAAAAAAAAAAAAACCAATTATATTTGAGAAGATTTAATATTTGATATGATAATTGCTTCTCACTTAAATACTGCGAAACTAAAATACACAAACTCTAGGCTATATGAAATTATAGAATGAAAATTTTGGAAGTATTGTACATAAATTAATTTGAGTTTTACTGAACCAGTGGTCGTATTTATTCTACTGATGAATTTTAATTTTTTACTGGCGAGTGTTATGTTGGTCATTAGCAAAATATTTATAACTGTAGAGTGACAACAAATCTTACGTCAATTTTTTGACAAATTAATATGTAATTTGTTTTTTATTGAAAAGTAGATGCTAATAAGGTAACTGTGTTCTCAAACACAAATTGTAAATTAGCGCCTTAAAATGCTTCTAAGGTAATCATCTCCTTATAATGCTAATCCTATTGATGACTTTTCGTCTTACTTTCAATAATTTGTCCTTCAATAATGAACACTTTTAAGCTGTCCTTGGCAGAAATTTTTCAGTCTTTTTGATTTGATGGTGGAATATGGCTTATGTCTAGTCTGATGTAAAGGAGGAAGGAGTAAAAGTAAAATATGCATTGTAAAAGGTAGCTTTTTTCTACTTTGAATTTAAGTCCATTTTTGAAATCTTAGGAACTTCATCTTTATTTTTAGATTCATAGATTCAACCAAAAATAAAATGAGGGTCGGTTATTATGATGAAAATGATAAAGAACTGCTTCTATTATTCCATTTTCTCTCTGAGTAGGTCATTGAGCTAATTGAAAGTAGTGAATTTTCACGACACATTATCAGAATTTTAGAAAAAAAAATCCTTTCAACAATTTATTAAATTCCTTCCAACAGAAAGAGAAAAAAGAAACAGGAAAAAAGAATAAATAATGCAAAAAGAGCACTTTTTACATTTGTAAGTAAATAATATTCAAAAGCTGAATTCGTCCCTTACACTACATAAAGCTTTCAATCTGATTGGAATATTCCATTCCACTCATTTTATAATCTGTGTGAATCCGTTTCATAATTCTGCAATAGAATATACCTAACTTCTAAGTAAGACATCACAATTCCGAATTTAATTTATCACTTTTAGTCATTTTGTAGTTACAAACAGCAGCTAATCAATTAGTGGAAATGGAAATATTTATATGTATTTTCCGTTGTAATTTAATACTCTCTAGATTATTTTAACCTTATCATTACATTTAATCTGTTGGGTTATGATCATGTAGAACTGATTCTTCGATTTTCCAATAACAACTGCTATCTCATGTTAAATTCAAAGTCCACTTCTGTAGCCAAAGACCTTTAAATGCAGTATACTGTGAAAGCACCAATTAACATACATTCAGAGTTTATACTAAGCACTGAGTTTATTTGTCTACAGTTACATGCAGCAGTCGATTATTTCTGGATAGAAAAGATCAGATTGTGAATAATGTTGAATTGAAAGTTATCTTGAAAGACAGACAGATGGCATCAATGTCTCTCTCACCTTACTTTAAGTCAAGAATCATCAGACGATTTGAAGTGAAGGGTACATCTCTGAACTTCCTGTCACATTATTTTATTGTTATCCATGGTACTATCGAAATTCTAAAGTATCGAGGAAACATTGAACGGTTCCAGACACACCCCACCACCATATTCCATTGCACGTAACAGGAAATCCCTCCAGAAAACATGTTCCGGAAAAGAAACTAACATAAACGGCGGTACGATATGAAAATAAGGTTGGAAAGTTTCAGACAAAGAGAAATATGCGAGATTGTAGGGAACAGAGAATACGATCAGTCGCGAAAAGAAAAGTGGAAAGAGTAATTTTCATAAATTGCCAGAGTTGACGGGCAGGAAAGAGGGAATTATGGTGCACAGGTTGTCATGTGTTATTCGTTCTTCTCTGCTTGGGTTTTTAGTTGCTATTAAAGTAAGTATTAAGTGGATTAAGCATTAAACATTGACATTATCGAGGAGAAATGAATTGGTAACGAACTTTCATAACCAGTTCAATTCATAAAGGACACAAGGAATCACACATGATCTCCAGCAAGGTATGATTTCTTTATACTATATCGAAGAATTGAATTCTATGAGCAAAGTTAAGCCGAATTAGTTGTAGGTTGCTTCATTGGATATTTTGGCTGCTTTTTTGATATATTTTTGGTCACTACAGTGAACGAAATGAGATCTGACAACTCTCACTTGAAAGAGATATTTGACTAAAATTCGGAATTTCAGCATCGTCGGAAGAAACACTTGCCACGAATGCTTTCAACTCCATTTGATCTCAAGACTCATAATAGTGTCATTGCGCAAAATGGCAAAATTTCATTACGACATAACGGTTCACATTGAAATTTGCATAACTTTGGTGATTTGATAATGCAAAAAAAAAAAAAGTGTATCATTGTCTATCATTTCTGTGAACAAAAGGTGGTTTAATGTTAGATTTGAACTGATTCTGGGCCTTACTATTAATGTGATTTAGAAAACATTCCCGGTTCAAGTCTTTCGCCACGTTATTTCTTATGGCACAATGTAATGGGTAAAAGTGCTCGACCAGGTTTACTTAGATGCGACCTTCAACGACACGTAATTGAAAAAAGAATGAAATACTTGAGGTAATTGTGTACCTAATGTTTTTATGGTCTATAATTTGCTTTGAGTTGCTGGAGCACAGCTTAGAGCATACTTCAAACGTAATTGATATTTAGGATCAGCTGGCGACAACAAATACCGTTTACTTCATCGTTAGCATCAGGAGTGCATAGCATGGATATGGATCCCGTTGATAATCGATAGTAAGCTTTTGAATTTTTTTTTGACTCAAAAAGTCTACTTTATTAGATTAAATATAAAAATTGTTTAGCTTAATCTTTATCTGCTTAAGCTATGGCATTAAGTTGTTTCGTTTATTTCTCAAATTATGTGCTGGCCAGTTTTTTAGGTCAGCCAAAATTTAGTTGGATTTTTAGAGGAAATTTAAATTATACTATATAATGAATTTTTCATTCAAGTGTTTGTTTGAGAATTTGTTGATATTATAGTGATAAATATGGAAAAATTGAATTTATAGCTTGTTATGTGGTGCAGCTCGTGGTGAAATATCAATCGTGGATTTGGAAAGGCCGTTCCCAACCGATAGTCGGAGTCCGGTAGAACATACGGTTACTCCGTGCCGCGCAGCATGGTCCGTTCGTTCATTTATGGATTTGGCCTTAAAAAGTTATTTTGACGATTTTTTTTTCCTTTTTGTTCATTTCTTTTTTGCACTGATTTTTAATTCCATTTTATAGTTGGTATTAATTTGGAACTCTTTCCAGTTTGCATGGATCTTTGATAACGTGCTGTCAGTGGTATCCGCAGGACACGAGCACATTTATATCTTCGGATAGAGTTGGGAAAGTGAAGGCTCGTTTTCATTTTTCTTTTTTTTTTTTTCATTTAAATTAATAAATTATAGCTGGTTGAGTATAATTTGTATTCAGTTCATTGCGAAATTTGAAGTTGATTCATAGCTGGTTGTTCTATTTCTACATATATATATATTCTCATAAGCTTGTTACGCAGTTAAACAGGCCATATTAGCAGAAACCGGAATATCAGCGAAAGAACTACAAATAGTGGTCTTAATTGACTTTGAATAAAGAACTATTGGAAGTTATATCAAATTCATTAATCACTGAATACTTGATTTTTTTACATAAAAATGATTGCTACTTCATGCTCCTTTATTCTTTTAAATTTCAATAACATCAATAAAACTCTTTTGTTTCAGCTGTGGGACGCTAATAAAGCTGAAGTCATAGATGAATATTTCTTCGATAATGAAATAACAGAAATGCACTGGTGTAATGCTTTCATACGAAATCCACTTATAGCTGTGGCAAATCTAACCTCGAATATTATTCTTATAGACCCCAGGTGAATTTAACTTGTGTTGTTAGTTGCGTTAATGAAGAGTGTTGCTTCAGTTATTGCAACGGTCAATTATACTAAAAACATAAAGCAATTCTCTTAAACTATATGATTTCATAATTATTTGAAACTTTCTTGTAATTTTGCATAGCCATAACTTTTGGTTGTAATTTGACCAGCACAGTAATTTTGCATTTTTGACATATTTCATAACTCGTTTTGAAAATTGGTTCAGTCATGATGTCTTTTTTTTTCAGAGTTGGTGATTCTTCACATAATTTGAGATGGCCAGAGGAGCGGGTTTCATCGGTGAGATGGTCTTTAGAGAATGGAAATATTTTAACTAGCGGTTCTGTTCGTGGAAACATTACGGTTTGGGATGTCAGGTGAAAAATTCGGAATTGAGACATTTTTTTCATGTGATTGGTACTTACTAAATTTAAGAGTTTTTTCTACTTTTCAGCATAAAACGCACTTGGAAATTTTAATTTCTATGTAGTTTCTTCTTAACATATTCAGAGGTGATTTCCTGATATTTATTTTGGGAAATAGTATTTCTTGAATCTTCTCTTATTCAGTTTTTAAAATGTCTTATAACTGATCATATTGGTGTAATCTACAATCTTATTACGTTTCCCATAATGCTAGCATTTTTTATATTTTTAGCCTTAGACGTTGTCATAGTTTTAAATGCTTTCACATACGTTCTAACTGGTTTAGTGTAATTTGGACACCTAAAGCAGGAAAAATAGTACTATCAGTCAAAATCCTTTCAAAATTGCATCAGTCTGGAAGTTTTTTTTCTCTGGTCCACCTTCATACAACTGCACACACATTTCATCTGTTTGAAGTCAGTTACAGAAGTGCGAGGAGCCAATTAATGACTGTGACACCTTCTAATCGATTTTCGTGTCATTGTAAAGATTCTGGTGCTGAATGTATTAGTGGTTTGAGATTTTCAAACGATGGCTTATACCTTGTTTCATTGTCACTGAATCACACTTTCACCGTCTGGAGAGCTCATACAATGGAAATAATCAACCATGTTTGGGTATTTTTGATTTTTCAAAAATAGGAACATATCTCGGATCATTTTTTCAATCTCATTGTATAGTATACTTATTAAGAAAAAATGTGATCCGGAATTTCATAGGTTTTTCTTTTAAAAACCGTAGCTTCCTTTGTATTGACAACAGATGGTGTTGTAACAAATTTTCAACTTTTCTAGTGAACAGAGATTCATTGCCTTACTACAGCTCGAATTTTTTTTTCTAGTTACCTCAAGAATATACTACCAAAATCGCTCCATCTATTCGTTTCGATATATGTTCGGATGATGGAGTCTTACGTACTTGCACGCCTGTGGGTAACGAAGTACTCATTTTAACTCTAGACAAGAGGGATCAAGAAAACTTTCGCGTCCTTCTTGTGGGTCATTTTCAACAAGTCAACGCATGCGTATATCGCCAAAAGTATAATCAGGTTAGAGGGTAGTGTTTGCAGACATTAGATGTTTTTTTTTTTTTTTTTAAACTAAGAGAATATTGAGCTTTGGCGAAGGCGCTTGATTATTTTTTTAAAAAATAGGTTTTTTTCAAAGCTATTTTGGAAATACATAACTGTTTATGGTCCAGGTTATCAGTTCGGGAAATGATCGTATGATACATATCTGGAGTCCAGACATGGACGAACAGCTCCCAGACCAACAGTCAGAAAAAATCTCGAGATTGCAAGAAGATCGCTGGAGCGATGAAGAAGGAACACCAGGATCCAGTCATATGTAACGAACGGTCACTGTTATTGTTTCAGTTCTTTTTTTTTTCATTTTCTTCAGTGGTTTTTCACTTAAAAAAATCCATAACAGGTTACATATCTAAGATTCAGCATGTTTAAAAGATAGTGTTATTTACTATTTTCTTGATGTTTTTAATTTTTATTGTATTATCTCACCACTATTTCTTAAGTTTTATTTCTAATCTGGCATTTCCTAATTCATTTTTATTTGTATATGTATTCAGCAAATGAGTCATTTGTAATAATGGTTTTTTAGTCATCAAAAGTCGATGCTGATTATCGTATTTTTATCCTGAAAAATATTTTTTTCAAGTAAAAAAGGGATGTTTCAGAAGAAATCAAATCGTAATTGTACTTCGAATTGGCTGGTTTAAATAGAAATAAAAAAATTTTTTCATAATTAGTCATTGAAGTTTAGATCATTTTTTTTCTATACTGAAATATTACATCGGAATATATAGATTTTTTTCTTCGCTTTCTGTACTTACTATAATACGTGGCACTTTTTATTGTTATGAAGGAATTGATAAATTTTGATTCTTAACACATATACAAGGATTTGTTCTGGTATTTGAAATTAGAGATAGAAAAGAGGAAAAAGTCGATGAGAAAAGGTGATCGCCATAGCTTTTAATTAAGAGATCTTTAAATAGTAAGCTTTGATATGTGATTGCTTTTTTTTGCCATCATTTTTCTATCAAATTTTTTATATATTCTAATACTGAAAAAGGTGTAGGACTCACTAAAGAACTCAACAGTCATTGTGAATTCTCAGGAATGTGTGGAGACAGCTTCTCATATACATCTCTTTTCCCTATCTTTTAAAATCTTTTAATCAGAAGATTTACGATAATACTGACTGGAGGTGGCTCTGCTCCTTTCATGATATCATAATCATCGCTAGAAATGCTATTTATATCACTGATGTTTTGTCATTTCTAACGAATATTGTCGATTTTATGGACGTCGAATTCATCATTTTTAATGCTGTCGACGTCACTGTCGATGAATTTTCTTTCAAAACGGATAATTGAGAATCGTTGGAATTCATCGAAGCTATCGGCGTGGTTGGTATAGCTGTGCTAAAAAAAATCAAACATGCAAACACCACTTCAAGAAGTGACATACAGTTTCACAGATTCCATATTCTATTAATATATGGACAACAATAAGGTTGAGATAAAGATGAGTGGTTAGTGATTATCCACTAGCTAAGTCATAATTTCAGTTTTATGCAAAAAAGAACTAATGGGACAATGTGAATAATTTGTACTCGATACTTTGGACTAACAGTGTGAGTGTAACAATAGAAGTGTTTGTTGAAATTGTTGATATGGACGGAGAGACTGTTATCGAAGATGAAGTTGCTGATGTTGTTGTTGTGTACGTAGCTGTTGAAGTTCTACAATCATTTCCCAGTATCAAGAAATTAATTCATTAGGATAGGAAAATATTTTCTTTACCTAAAACTAGTCTACGTATCTTCGAAGAATTACGAAAAACCAAACCACTTGCAAACTTTCTAGCGAGATCAGGAGAGCTTTTTTATCAGGTGCTTACAATAATTTTCAATAAAATCAAAATTAAAAAGTTGAAAAAATTTAGACTTAAAATTAAAGACTTTAGCGGTTTTAAACTTTATATACTTACTGATATGAATCATCGGGTGTACGTTGCATGAATATAGTTATAATAACAATTGTAAATAATATAACAAAGATCAACAATGAACTAATGTAAAACTGTCGTTGTTTTTTTGTTAAATTCCACCACCAAATTTTTAACTTTAGAGTTAACGAATCATTATAAGTTTCTGCGAATCTGCAAGAATGTTCAAAAATTTTGTGAATGAAGTGAAAATTTCATTGTGATAAAGTGCAGTCGAAAATTTAGCGAATGAGAAAGTTAACAACTAAAACAGAAAGTAATCTCCAGAAGGGAAGCTCACTGATTTAATTATCAGTGTTGGGAAGCAGTTCCATCTGCTCACCTGCTTGAAGCATCGGTGACATTGCTATAGTTTGACATTTCAATTGCTTCATTTTCATGCATCGCTGGAATCATCGTTTCTTGCTAAATGAACATTAAGCGTGAAATATTCGTATCCGTAGCATAGCTCTAACAACTATTACAATATTAACTAAAATTGAAGTAAATGTTACTTATCCTTGGATTTCCCAAACAGTCAATTGTACTTTTATATTGTCTTTTATGAAGGCAATATAAATTAGTGTTAGCAATGACTAAACTTGAAAAAATCAAAGACTCGTACAGGTGAAATCATACCAAAACCACACTGAACAAAATTAAAATGAATTTAAATGAGCTGAACTGCATTTTTATACTGCCAGATATAACTTGCTAACAATTTTGCATACTTTTAAAAGACTTATTTTTGCATAATTTTCAGGACAAAAATTTTTAAATAAAAAATTCAGTGTTATTAAACAGAACATTGATAATTATATGACATAACAATTTATTAATTGCCAGCTTTCTCCTTTACTTTAGTTAAAGAAATTTGAATTCGGTGTTAACATACTTGATAACTAATGTTGAAAAATGTAAAATTTCAGGGTGAAAAATGGTTCTCACATCATCCCTTCTTTATAACAAAGTTTCATTTCGAAATTTGCACAAAGAACAAAGACGAATTCATAAATGAAGAATTTATTTAAAAGAACATGACAATGAATTTGACATGGAATGAAAAACAGTGTACAAAGATAGGAGTGTTCTTCCTGCCTTACTGATAACAGTGATAAATTTAGGCGCCACCCACAAAGACGATTGTCAGACGATCATACAGTTTGTATTAATGATAAGCTAATGAGTGAATATTACCACTCAAATTTAAATCGTCAGTGAAAAACTCGAAGCAAATGAAAAAAAAAAAAAATTCTACTTGTTCTCCTTGCTATTATCCTTTCATTCTCAGACTTCTCCTTCCTTTTCCTCAATTCAATGTTTGGAAAATGTATTTTCAAAGAGTAATACTCCACCGCTATTAAAATTTCAGGTCACACTTCAACCCAAAACTTTTGAAGGTAGTAACTGAATTCCATTGAACAGATCTGAAAAATGCTTATCATTAAAGCGCCAAATGTTGTGGTTCTTGAAAATTATTGAATGATGAAGTATCAGCAGATTAATCTTAAATAAAACATAAATCGGAATTGATAAACTTTAGAACAAACGGAAAAGAAAAAAAAAACAACTGGTGATGAATAATTGTTCAAGTACTAGATGATATCACTTCCTCGGCTATCGAAATTTTCAAGAAAATATGTCCAAGACAGTAAGAAATTTATAAAAGAATGATTTACGAAATATCATAGGAAACGATCACTAATTCACTAACCTTTTTTTCCGATGATTTAACCCAGCATTTGAATTATTTAAGAAAATGAAATATATTCAGCAATGCGACATTGCGCTTTTTTGCTACTACTTTGCATTTCTGAAATTTTACAACTATTATGTAGTTGCATTTACTGAAAAGCTTCAGTTTTTTGAAAATTTAAATTTTGGAAATCGTAACAAAACAAAGAAAAAGATTGAATTAAACGTCTCCAATTACATGCTGTACTGATGATCTTAACTTTATTCCTTGCAAGCGGCATTGCAAAATTCATTTCATACATTTTCCTTGTCTTCTCATTTTGTTTGGAAAAGTTCATTGATTTCAAGCATCTAATTACGATGAAAAGGATTAAATTCCATTCTACTTATATTTGTTTTAAAAGATGCAATTATATAAATAGTTCTACACTATCAGTTCTTTGCTTTCAAATAGCAAAACATAGTAAGTAAATCTCTCAAAAATTCCATTTATTTTCATCAAAACAGGAGGTTTTGCGGATGGAACAAACAGTTTTAATATTACAAATAATTTATGGCAAAGGAAAAATCCGAGAGATATTGCTAGAAAAAATGTTTTCATACTTCATACATCAAGCTCGAGTCAGAAATTCAAATTTATTTGTAAAAAGAAAACTTAAGAACTCAAAGTAGCTCTTAAGAAATTTAATTCCAAACTGCTTAAACATATCAGCTACCCAGCATTCCCCTGCAAATTTTACTTTTCTCTCTTCAACTTTGCACTTTAAATATTGCTAACATTTGTCTTATTACCATCATATAAATTTGATCACAAATTAGACTCCTCTAAAATCTAGAAATTTATAACCGAACTGGTAAAAATGTAGTCGTTCATTCCTACAAACAAAAACTGACCAATCAAAATATAGCCGTTCTCAATATGTGGGACCCAATCTCCAATAAATTATACAAACTTTATTATTTAATAACAAATAGTATCTGCAGAAAAGAGTGAAAAGAAAAAAAAACGCCAGCCAAATAAGCCCACACCACTAATTAGACCCGTTATTCCATCCTTCAGGTTTCTAATTGCTACTTCCAGTGCTGAAAGCTGTGATAAAAGGGAAACATAAGAGTTGAAAGTACAGTATAGGCTTCTTTTTATTACAAAATATAAATGCTACTTAAAAGTACTATATAAAAAGAAGCACAAAACAATGGATAGTATCACTGACATAGTTAGAGTGGAGGGAATGAAAGTTAGGATAAATTTTACAGGTTTTAAGAGAAATCAAAATATATATTTCGTTGTAAGCAAATGAAATAAGAAAAAAAGTGAGATATTCATATCTGACATGTAATTAATACAGTTAGACTATCACCAATATCACGCATAAAGAACATTACATTCAACTTCTCCCAATAAGAAAGAAAAAAAAAATCTATCGAAATGCTAAGAAAAAATCCCCAATATCCATGACTGTAATTCTTCTCTAAGAGAACTCAATTCACCTATGTCACTGGAATTCACCATTGATTCAGAGCTTAACACAACTTATAATAAAGAGTTCAAGAAAGCAGCAAGGACGAACTATAAAATACAAAGATTACGCAAAGATAAAAGGTACAAAAGCAATACGAACCAAAAAGTGGACTGACACATACAACAAATCAATAAATCTAAACAAATGTACTTTCTTAATGCCTTTAAACAAATATACTTTCTTAAACTTTCTTAATTGCCTAATTCCCTATGTTTTTTATTTTCCTCTTCTTTCAAAGAATATACTTCCTATGTGCATAGGAAGTATTAAGTGGAAAAATTTTCACAGAAGCTAACACCCCAGCTAAAAGTTGCAAATGATAAACAAACTCCAAATTCCGCTGTCAGATCTGGTCACCCATCGCAACCTTATTTGTCTGCAAATAAAAAAGATAAAATCCAAATTATGAATTGTGAATTTTTGTTATACATTATTTTAGGAGAATTAGAAGTTCAATTTAAAGCGTAGATGTTCTATACTTAATTTTGTTTGGCTCCCAACCCTGTTCTCATCAAGAAATACCGAAGCTACTAGAAATAGCTTTTATATATTTTCATACATTTTGATAAAGCAGTAATTGTTAAAATCAAAAAGAACGAGAAATGGTTTCCACGACAAAGAAGAAACATTATTAAACGCTACTTACTACCACATTTTTTCAATTTAAATGAGGCTGTAAAAACATTAAAATTGCCTTCCTATCTATATGGAAAAAAAAAGTGGTAGTAAATTCACATTTACCTGCACTATGCCAGTAATCATACCAAAAAGGCCAATTGCAGACGCAAATATTTCAATAATTAAAATTTTTACAAACAAAGCCGGATTTGAAGCATCTGCCAAAGCTGCACCGCTGCCCACAATGCCTGCAATGTAATTAAAGCTGAAAAATTGCACACCAAAAACTATGAGATTTCTACAGATCATGTTAAAAAATAGATATTGTGTAATGAATTTCATATAATCCACGATTATAAGCGCGTCTGTTTAATCCTCCTACCATTACTAAAGTATAACTACATGCAAAATATGAAAAATCTTTTTTTCATATGCATTAATATGAAAATTTAATCATATAGCAGTAAAACTAGCCTATGGACAAGCCACACACGAAATTGCTGAAACCAACAGTAAGCCCACCACCAAAAATCATATACCCACTAGCAATGTTTTTGGACAGGACCACATCTGATGCGATAGCTCGATTGAATCCCTGCAAATATGATATTTATAGTTGAGAATTCTTTTCTCAATCATCAAAATTAACATAAGGAATATGAAAAGCAACGTAATATGTTGGTTTTCAGTTTCCCATGCAAAAAATACGACTCATTACAAGTCATGCATTGCTAGTCTCCTTCAAAAATGCATGGCTATGCTCATTATTATTTATTTATAGCTGCAAAACTGCTTTAAATTCTCAAACTTCAGCTATAGTTGCCAAAAGTTAGCGGTATTCTTAACGCAAAAAATCCTGTCAGTCTATAATTAAAATCAGACGATATTACTAACTACAGTTAAATTTGATTTTTGGTTTCTTGAAGCTTTCAGAAAGACAATTAACAAGGGAACAGAAAAAAAAAGGAAAGAAGCGAGAACAATAGATCTTTTGCACACCAACTGGAAATAATTCTCTTATATAATTTGACTGTTTACTCATCTAACTTTGAAATGAAAGACTTACATGAATTTTACCAAGGAATACAAATGCCATTATAATACCAAAAATAGCAACGGCTTCACAAAATATAATTGAAATTAAATTCTTCGTTCGAATTCGAGGTGCTTTCACGCCACCGCCTAAAATCGATACTCCTGTCGTAAATATTCCCCTGAAAAGTTTCTTAAAAGAGCACAAAAGTGAGCCCAGTGCAAATTTGATTAGGGATATCAGGTTAATTAGAATAAATTAACATCCAAAGTCATTAAAAAATATTAAAAGTTAACATACCATCCAGCTCCCAAAACAGATAAAGACAAGGAGCAAGCAATACCCAAAGCAGCCCACATATGCGGTGATGTGGCTGTCAGGAACCAAGCGATATCAAAGCGATATCCTTGCTCGGTAAACATAAAAAAAAGTGCTGAAAGAACACAGAACGTAAATCCGTTATTTCAGATAGGTTGAAAAATCAGCACAAAGTATAATTTAGCTTCAGTTACTCATGCTCATTGATTTTAAACTGAGTCGTCACCGAAAAATCCTCCATTTTGCATAATGTCCGTATTGATATTTCCTAGTTTGGTCTTTTCAGTTTGATTTTTAATTTCATTTTCTTTCTTTATATGCAATATAATTTCCTCACTCGCCGTATTCTTATTAATGTTTGCCGCAATACAACAGATACTTAAAGTTCAGCATGAATTAGATTCCAAACTTTTATCTGTTTGCTTCTGGGAAGGACTCTTCAATTCTTTTTTAAGAACAAGAGACAAAATAATTTGATATACTTCACATACAATGAACCTAACAGTTTATATCACACCAGTGAAAAGGTTTTAATTTTAACTATATAAACAACAAAAATGGAGTAAATGCAACAGTGCAGTAAAACTTACCGGTGCCAATGAAGATGAAAGATGCTAATATCAAAACGACATAAAACGTCTTCAGCATGGTCGACATTGTTGCTCCTATTTCAGTAGACAGAGCTATTCAATACACGTGCAATTTACCCGAAAAAATTGGTTGCTTTTCACTTGGATCAACAGTAAAACTAACAGAGGATTGGGATGGAATGCAGTAGGACACAACAGTTACATTTTAATTACGTCAATATATCCTAATATAATCCGTGTTAGACATGCTACTTAACATGTTAAGCATAAAGTTTATGAAATTCAACAGTTTTGTTCATCGGTCTGTCTTTTATTTATTCACGTCTGTCTCTTATTATCCAACGTAACACTACTTATTTCATTACTCAACCAACTACCCACCCTCACAGTCCCCAAACACACCATCACGATATTTACCATCGTTTAGTACCGTTTGAGATGAAAGATCAGACCTGGGATCCGTTAAATTTCGTCCCTGCAACCGAATGAAACATACATTTTTTTGAGTAAAGATGATCGGTTTGCACGTAACACGTGATTAACCAACTTGAATCTTTGCTTTGTATTCGTAACCCTTTGTTCCTTAATCTTATCTTGTTGAGAAGTGAACCGAGTAACGCAGTGATTAGTAAGTCAAATTCCCAAATTAATAACTGTCGGGGAAATAGCATTACTGTTCGGAATAGTTAGTTATCGAGAAATCGCAACAGGATCTTCCTGCTTGGATATTTTCTGTCGAACACCTTCCTGTCTCAAATATTTCCTGTAGTCTCCCTTCTGACCCGATCCGTTGCACTGCGATCACCTGCACATGCTGTAGCATGCAGTTGCAGAATGGAATTAATTATAAGGGTGTGAGGGAGTGAGTGCTTGAAGATAACGACGCAGTGATTAGGATTGGTCAAGTAAAACAATCATGAGATATTTGATGAGGGATTGTGAAGAATAATGTTTTTGTTTGCAATTACTATCATTGTAGTTCAGTTGTAAGTTCTGAATTTTCCTCAGATTAGGGATAAAGGAGAACTGAATGTTCCAAAGAGTTTTTTGGTAAAATGTTCAGTTGAGTGATTGTAGAAAAAGATTCATTCGATTCACAAAAATGAAGTGAATGACAACTGAAATAAGTGATGTATTAGTTCTGAACATGATTTCAGGAGTGTGATAAGACTGAAACGTTGTCTCTAATTTCGCTATTAGTATGGCCGACGAAATAGCTCGCGTGCAACAGTACGAGTATCGACAGGTAACTCTCATATAGGAGTTCTTCATAATTTTTAAGAAATAAAATGTAATTGTTTTAATGTAATGGTAAGGCCTGCTAAATATAGTTTGTTAACGAGTTACATGATTATGTTTTTATCTGTTCATACCAATAATTTTCAAATTCATGAACATAATGCATCAGATGTTTATCATTTTAGAATAGTAACCTTGTGCTGCAAGTCGATTTCAATTTCACAGATCGTCGTGGTCGCGATGAACCTACCGGTGAAGTTATGCCACTCACTAAGGAGGTTTTGGCTGGTGTTAAAATGGGCGACAAGTATCAGCGAGCCAAAGCACCTGCAATTGATACTAAAAAAGCAAGAAAGTAATTTGCAAAAAAATCATAACAAGCAAAAAATTGGGGGGAATATTATTGTTTATTTTAATCAACTATTTTCTAAAAATAAATGGATTAACTTATGAAAGGAAAAAGGTTTACCAGTGATATTTCGAACCGTTTTCGTATGATATGATTTGTTCTTGGAATTCGAAATCTTAATCCCATAGCTTGCTCCTTATTAATATCTTCAAAATTGTTATAATTTGATTCTTCCTCACTTTTCATTTGCAGAAAAAAGCGAACTGATGCAAGTGTCACAGGGAATAGTACGACTTCGCACACTTTGTTGGGAGATTCAAATACGGAACTGATGGGCTTGTACAAGCCAAGAACGCAAGAAACAAGGCAAACCTATGAAGCAATATTGGCTTATATACAAGATGCCATCGGAGATCAGGTAGTTTTATTTGGAAATGTTAAGATGTTACAGCGAGTATTTTCAAAACTTTCGAAAACAGTTCAGTTGTCTTTATTTTTATGCAGTTGCACCTACAGCAAGTTCAATTAATCTACCGAAAAATTATTTCTCTCGGCTACTTTGCTCCAGTATACATCATTTGAAAGATTTTCGACTTGAAAAATTTTGTTTCTGAACGCTTTTTTCAGCTACTGGTGTTTATTTTATTTTCATAGTAGCATGAAGTTTTACTTGTAGCCACGCGATATTCTGTGTGGTGCAGCTGATGAAGTCTTAGCAGTATTGAAGTCAGACAAAATTCGTGAGAAAGATCGTAAGAAGGAAGTAGAACTTCTTCTTGGATTGTTGACGGATGAAAGAATAGCTGTATTGATTAATCTTGCCAAGAAAATAACAGATTTTTCAGTCGATGACGAAAAAGGGAAATTTGACAATGCAAGTCTTTTTTCATGTAATTATGTAGTTGAAATCATTTTGTCAAGAATTTACTTGTAAAAACTTTCTTTACTAGATAGATTTTCATTACAGAAATTTCACAATCTCTATGAGGAGTTTTTTAATGTTTTTTCTTCTTTTTTTCAGCAAGATGAAATAGATGAAACAATCGGTGTAAATGTACAGTTCGATGATTCTGATGAGGAAGCTGAGGGCGACGAAGGTATGGAGGAAGAAGTAAAAGAAGAAGGTTCAGCTGGGGAAGATGAAGGTGGTGTTGAAGCTGTTTTTGAAGAAACACTTAAGGCTCGATATGTTGATGAGGACGATGAGGTTTTTTTTTTTTTTTTAATTTTTGGGTGTTTAATGTGCTACAAAATCTCTCAAATATTTCAGGTTGAGATTTTCACTTACTCAAAAAATCTTTTAACATGTTATTCTTAAAGTTGGTATGTACAATTAAACACTAGGTGTACCTAAAAGCCACAATCAACCGATGCTTGCATTTGTAGTTATGTAAGTGTTGGTGACTGTGAATTGGTAATTCTAGTAATTCTGCTTATATGTTTATTCTCAAACACTTCGTCTAATGCTGCACATAATCAAACATTTGTTAAAATTAAAGTGATCAGATGAGAAAGAGATAATGATTAGTTTACAAAAGTTATACGAATACTTGATGCGCTTTGTTACAGAATGCGGGTGGTGAACGAAAAGGAAATCTGCATGCTCGCGATATAGATGCGCATTGGATTCAGCGGTCACTCTCAAAATTTTACAAAGATCCAATTGTGGCACAGCAGAAAGTTAATGAAGTGCTGCAAGTTTTGAAGGTAAAGAAAGCATTTTATTTCTGTGGAATAGTTTTTTGTCTAAGGGAATTTAATGCATTATGGTCTTTCATCGTATTCAAATTCATAAACCCTATTTTTAGGAGGCATCCGATGACCGTGATTGTGAGAATCAGCTGGTATTATTGCTTGGTTTTGATCAGTTTGAATTTATCAAAGTGCTTCGCCAGCATCGCCAGATGATTCTGTACTGTACTCTCTTGAAACAGGCACAAGAAGGTAAAGAAAGGGAAAATATCGAGAAAGAAATGCTGAGCCGGCCGGAATTACATCATATTCTTGCTGAACTTCACGAGACAGAAAGTGCAGATACAGTTGAGGTAAATAAACAAATACTGGATTAAATTTGAATGAAGTTGGTTTTCAACGAGCGATTATTTAAAGATTTTTTAAATTATTTTTATTACAGGCCGAACGGGAAAAGCGTGCACGAGTACAGCAGCAGCGAAGAATAGCTGAAGCTGAAGGGGGTAATGATGAGGGAACAGCAGTGGGTAACTGGTTACAATCACGTAAAGTGCTTGATTTGGATGACCTTGCCTTCTCACAAGGCTCACATTTAATGAGCAATAAGGCACTTTATCATTGTTTTATTTCTTTCTTTATTCTGTTTTTTTTTACAAAAGTACAGCTCATCTCCTTGTCTTTTTAATAAATCTGACATATGCTGTTTTGTTATTTTTCGAGAAGTTAATTTTTTTTGTTTGGATTGAAGATAGTTTATTAGCTGAAAAGATGCGCAAACAATTCACAATATATAATGTTTCTTAAAGTGATCCAAAGTCATGATTTGCCAAGATTTATCTATATTATTTGGTAATGATAACCGTTTTTGTATGAATGATGCATGTTTTCGAGCCCCAATTTTTCTGTTCGGAATTATTAAATCTAAAATGTGTAGTATATTAATTTGTTCATCATTCAATGGACACTTCAAAAATGTTCGAATTCATATTTATTTATAAAATTTATTCGTTTGTATTACAGCGTTGTCATTTGCCAGATGGCTCGTACCGTAAGCAGAAAAAAAGTTATGAAGAAGTTCATGTACCGGCGCTTAAACCAAAGCCATTCGAGGAAAATGAGGTGAGTTCTTCTAAAATATTAAATTTTGATTTTAGTGAGGACAAAATCTTCGTGTTCAAATATTGAGTTTACATTTCAGAAACTGGTTGCAATAACGGACTTGCCAAAATATGCACAGCCAGCTTTCGAAGGATTCAAGACACTTAATCGAGTCCAGTCGAGACTATGCGATTCTGCTTTAAAATCTGATGAACACTTGCTTTTATGTGCACCTACGGTAAGTAATATTCAAGGAGAGTAACTATACATATAATAAATATTGTATACTCGTATATTAGTCTTCTTTTATATATTCGTTTGCTCGCTTCATGAATCAGCTATCATCTATTTGCAAAGCATTCCATCATTAAGATCGAAACATATGTGTGATGTGTATCTTAAATCAAATTTTTAAAAAATAAGTAAATATTTTCAGGGCGCTGGTAAAACAAATGTTGCTTTACTGTGCATTTTGCGCGAGATATCAAAACATATGAATGCTGATGGGAGCATACGAATAGATGAATTTAAATGCATCTACATTGCTCCAATGAAATCATTAGTACAGGAAATGGTCGGAACTTTCACAAAACGCTTAGCACCTTACAAAATTGCTGTAAGTCGGAATTGCTTTTTTGGTCGAATTTGAAATTATTCAATAATTCAAATCATAAATGAAATATAAATCTGCTTTTTATTGATTATCTATAATTAGAGATACAAAAAAGCGTATGATTACATTTGTTTCGTGGGGTACTTATTCTGTCATTTTGTAATCGTTTGTAAAATTCATATTTTAGGTTGGTGAAATGACTGGTGATCAGCAGATGAACAAGGAACAATTCATGCAAACTCAAGTGATTGTTTGCACGCCTGAGAAATACGATATTGTGACTCGTAAAGGTAAATTGAGAAACTTTGAGTTTATAAAAAAAATCTGTTAAAATTAAAACACTAGCAAGTACAATACCTTATTCACAATCAACTAATTATACTGATGTATATTTCAGGTGGCGAACGTGCATACAGTCAGTTAGTTGCACTGTTAATTATTGATGAAATTCATCTTTTGCACGACAACCGCGGACCAGTGCTAGAAGCCATTGTCGTAAGGTGACTTTATTTCAAAAGAAAATTTTAGTATGCATAACTTTATCAGATTTCGTTGTTTTTCCAAACTTTTTTTTGGAATTCTTAAACTATATCAAAACCATGTTGATATTTTTCAGAACTCTACGACAAATGGAACAAAACCATGAAGAATGTCGTTTAGTCGGACTTTCAGCAACTTTACCAAACTATCAAGATGTTGGAACATTCCTGCGAGTGAAGCCGCAAAATTTGTTTTTCTTTGATAACAGCTTTAGACCTGTTCCGCTTGAACAGCAGTATATCGGTATTACGGAGAAGAAAGCGTTAAAACGATATCAAGCAATGAATGAAGTCGTTTATGACAAAGTAATGGAGTATGCGGGAAAGAGCCAGGTTTCTTGATATTTTTGTCTGAATTAGTTTCTTTTTCAGTGACCTATTAGTGAGCTAGAGATCATGTAACAAACTCAAATTCTTCTGATAGCCATTTGTTTCACTTTTTCTGTCTAGATATTTGAACATTTCAGGTTCTAATTTTTGTACACTCACGGAAGGAAACAGCGAAAACAGCAAAGGCTATACGTGATGCCTGTCTTGAAAAGGATACTTTAAGTGCATTCATGCGAGAGGGTAGTGCAAGTACTGAAATTCTCCGGAGTGAAGCATCGCAGGTTATTTCCAACTTCTTGTCTGCCTTTATGTCTTTAAAAGATCAGCTTTCATGCATTTAAAAAGCACGAATATAAGAAAATGCTTAATTATTTCAATTATAGTTCGTCGATCTGTTTTTGGCTGATTCAATCCTACAAAGCCAGTAGCTCAAAAAAATAGAGTTTTATAATGCATTGTTGAAGGGGAGGAGGAAAAAACAAAAAGTATTGGCTGCATTGGTACATTTGCCTTTGATTCCTTGTATATCATTTTTTTAGGTGGCAAATGCGGATTTGAGGGACTTGATTCCTTATGGTTTTGCAATTCATCATGCAGGTATGACTCGCGTTGACCGTACCCTTGTTGAGGACTTGTTCGCCGATCGCCACTTGCAGGTACAGCGTTATTTGCATTACTGTGTTATTGCATATCTTTTTATGAGCTGTGTTAAATTGCTATTGTATTCTTTCGTTTTATTCCTGTTTCATTTTCTCCGTGAGGGAATTTAAGAATTCTCAAGATGATTTATTTTATAGGTACTTGTTTCAACAGCTACTCTGGCCTGGGGTGTTAACTTACCAGCTCATACCGTGATCATCAAAGGAACACAAATTTACAGTCCAGAAATTGGACGTTGGACTGAATTGGGAGCTTTAGATGTTATGCAGGTACGGTATAAATTTTTTTTTAAAAAACCGGTGTAAATTTTTTTTTAAGAAAATGAAGTGTCTTCTAATCTTTCGAATGTAGAACTTATTTTTTATCATTTTGTGTGCAAAATAAAGGTATTTCTATCGTGAACAAAAAAGCTACGTTATGATTGTTGAAATTTTGTATCTTTTCTTGAGCTATTCGAAGATTTTATTTTTTTATTATTTATATCTGTTTCGTTTTTTTACCGTCTAAATTTTTGCAGATGCTTGGACGTGCTGGTCGACCTCAGTATGATTCGAAAGGCAAGGGTATTATGATAACGCATCACTCCGAGTTGCAATACTATTTATCACTCATGAATCAACAGGTTTGCTGAATTTAACCATTTTTTTGTGTCGATTTGCTTCAATTACCTCAATTACCTAAAGCTTATGTATAGTTGCCGATCGAAAGTCAGTTAATCTCAAAATTAGCTGATACGCTAAACGCCGAAATAGTATTGGGAACTATCAACAATGTCAGTGATGCTATGAATTGGTTGGGCTATACATATTTGTATGTTCGCATGGTTAAGTCACCAACACTGTATGGGATTTCACATGAACAAACGGTATTCAAGTTTATAAATTTGAAAATAAATAATTCTTCATTGTTGGGGAAGTCTTTTTGGGGTATGGTAAACTGTCTGAAAAATGTTGAAAAAAATGAAAAATATTTAAATGAAGCCTAAATATGGCATTTTATAGAAACTGGATCCTTTACTGGAACAGCGTCGTGCAGATCTGATTCATACAGCTGCAGCACAATTGGATAAAGCTAGTCTTATCAAATATGATCGTAGAAGTGGACTTATCCAAGTATGTTTTCTTTCTCTTACTTAAGCTATAAATTTTTAAATGACTTAGGGTAGAAATTTTTAAATTCCTCAAATTTGAGGAACTAATTACATTGTAATGAGTTTTATTGAACCTGTCTTACTGCACAGCATGATAAGTTTTTTACCGTCTACACCGCAATATATCATATATTGGGAACAGAAATACAGCAAGAAATCTACACTGCAATTTCTATTAATTCCAGGCAACCGAATTGGGTCGCATTGCTTCTCACTTTTATTGCACTCATGATACGATGCAAACATATAATCAGCTGTTGAAGGCAACAGCAACTGAAATTGACTTGTTTCGTATATTTTCAATGTCATCAGAATTCCGGAATATCATGGTCCGTGAAGAGGAGAAGCTAGAGTTACAGAAACTGGCTGAACATGTTCCAGTTCCAATCAAAGAAAGTTTAGAAGAGAGCAGTGCGAAAGTTAATGTACTTCTACAGGTATTGATTAATCACATAGACAACTGATTGTATTATCAATTACGTTTTCTTTTCCATTCTGCATTACAAATTTGAATGGATAGTCATTGTATTAAATAGTCACTATTACTGTTTGTCCTAATGTTTTTGTTATCGTAAAAAATCAAGTACAGAATTTTAAGTGACTGGTTTATAAAATTTAAAAAATGATTTCTGTATCAGTTTATTTGTATTTTACAGGCTTACATCTCACAACTGAAGTTGGAAGGGTTCGCGCTTCAAAGTGATATGGTATTTATTAGTCAGTCGGCAGGACGACTGTTTCGAGCACTGTTTGAAATCGTATTATGGAGAGGTTGGGCTCATCTCGCACAGGCACGTTTGTTTTCTTTTGAAACTTTCTACATTTTAATATTTTTTTACAAAAAATTTCGTCGCTTTTTACTTATTTCTTATTTATTTAATCTTGATATTCGTAACTGACATGCTTTTTTTAGAAAGTTCTTGGCGTTTGCAAAATGATAAGTGCTCGACAGTGGCAGTCACTTAATCCTCTTCACCAATTCAAAAAAATACCCTCAGAAGTCGATAATTCTATTTAATTTTATAAATTCAAAAAAGATTTAGAGTACTATTTTGGTATTATTTTAAAATAAAATACTGAAATATTACTATTTTATAATATTATAAATTTTTTTTCTATTATTTTTGTTTACACTATTAAAAATGTTCAACAGTATAAATTCTAATGATTTAATAAATTTTAAGGTTGTACGAAGCATCGATAAGAAGAACCTTTCATTTGAACGCTTATATGATCTTGACCAACATCAGCTGGGCGAGCTGGTGAAAATGCCAAAAATGGGGAAGCCCTTGTACAAATTCATCCGCCAGGTAGAAATAATAACATATTTTAAAACCATGTATTTTACTAATTACATATTTTACTCCATTCTCAAAATTTGCAGATTTATTATGTAATATTGTGATTAAATGAGTTTTTTAGTTACCGAAATTAGATATGACAGCATTAATCCAACCGATAACGCGATCGACTTTAAGAATTGAACTGACAATTACTCCCGATTTTCTGTGGGATGCTCGTGTACATGGTTTGTTTTCTTGCGAATTCTAATTGTTTTTTAATGCTGTAGTAATTTAAAATGAGTTCTTGGAATTTAAATATTAGTGGCTTCAGGAACGGCTGAAGGATTTTGGATATTTGTTGAAGATGTTGATGGAGAGCTGATTCTACATCATGAATATTTCCTTTTGAAGCAGAAGTTTTGCGAAGATGAACATTTGGTAAAGATGTTCGTACCGGTCTTCGATCCGCTGCCGCCATTATATTTTATACGCATAGGTCTAGTTTAATTTTTTTTGTTTAATTAGAAAATTTGTTTTCATTAATTTGGTAACATCTTGACAATATATCTGAAAAAATCAAGTTAATTGAGAAACCACGCACTCAAAATTGAAGATAGAATTCAGTGCTTTTAGTTTCCGATCGTTGGCTTGGTAGTGAAACTGTTTTGCCGATATCTTTTCGACACTTGATTTTGCCCGAGAAATATCCACCGCCAACCGAATTACTGGATTTGCAACCATTACCTTTATCAGCCTTGAACAGCAAGCTTTTCCAGTCAGTATTCGAACAAAAAAACATCTCAGTATTCAATCCCATTCAAACACAAGGTATTTCCAATTATGAAATGCTACCAATTGCATATAATTATTTGTAGAATCTGTCAAATATTCTGGATGGGCTTTTTGAAATTCATTGTTTAAACCTTTGTTTAGAGTGTCAGTGCACTTATTAAATACAAAATTTCTGATGTAGAGGAAGGGAAAGATACTAATTTTTAGAACGAAATAAAACTAGAGCGGATTTTCGAAATACGATTTATGCAGGCACAAATTGTGGCTTCACTTCCTTATTGATCAAATCAGGAAATTTGATTTATTTTTTGTTTCAGTTTTTCGAACGGTTTATGAAGGTAACGATAATGTATTTATTGGTGCACCACATGGAAGTGGTAAAACTGTTTGTGCCGAGTTCGCTATTCTTAGACACTTTGATAATAGGCCTGACGCGAAAGCTGTTTATGTGACGCCAATGGAAGATTTAGCTGAAAAAGTTCGTTGTTTTTTCTATTTTTGACTTTTTTTTGGAAACCATTGCAAAAAAAAATGGTTACAAAAAAGTTTACATATACATATATATATATATATATATATATATATATATACTATATATATAATGAGAGACAATATTACACTAAGAAGCCTTAAGTTCGACAACTAAATATGTTTCGTATAATGACAGCGATTTCCTTCCAAAGTTTTTTTTTTTTAGAAGTTCACCGACTGGCAGGACCGAATTGGAACTGCACTAGAAAAAACAGTTGTTATGTTAACGGGTGAGCCATCGACTGATCTGAAGTTACTACAGCGAGGACAGTTGATCATAGCAACACCAGAAAAGTGGGACAATGTTAGTAGACGTTGGAAACAGCGAAAGAATGTTCAAGCTGTGCGGTTATTTATTGTTGACGATCTTCATATGATTGGAGGCAGTAATGGGGTTAGTTGATCATACAATATGTAGTAAGACGTAAACGATTTTAAAGCTAAATTATATCTTCTTGTTTTGTCCTTCTCATCTCATCATTTCTCTCGAGATGGGATTTTTTTTTGTCATCAGGATATAGTGATTAACCATTCCAATGCCTTATAATCTTGATTTTTCTCTTATTTATGCTTTCGTTAGGTATTTTTAAGAGAACAAATTATCTCCGTTTGCTGTTAATTAGTGTATTCCACTGATAAATAGTGTAGAAGAAAGAAAGATGATCACTGATAGAGAAGCGCAAGTGTTCCATAGAGAAATACTGCGTAGGAATTTGCCATTCTTTATCGAGAACGCGTCTCTTGAAACCTTTGTTCAAGATGGATTCTCCCTAATTTACATTTCTTTGCCATCTGTTTTTTATTACCTCACCAAATAGTTTATTCATGCTGATAAATTGATTTTTTAGCCGGTACTGGAAGTAATTTGCTCACGCATGCGTTACATGTCGTCACAGCTGGATTCAACAGTTCGAATTGTTGCTCTTTCATCATCACTAGCTAATGCCAGAGACGTTGGACAGTGGCTTGGTTGTTCTTCACAGGCTACTTTTAATTTTGCACCAAATTGTCGACCTCTTTCTCTAGAACTTTTTATACAAGTCAGTTCAATTTTTTGTTTTTTTCTTTCAAGAATAATAACAACTTTCATTTTTTGCGTAATCAAAAGTCTTCTGAAGAAAAGTGCTGTCGTTGAAAAAAATCCGAGATTTTCTCTTGTATTAACATTGCAGATTTAAGTGCCAAACTGTTTTTAGGGTTTTAACTTATCTCACACTGCTTCTCGGCTGGCTGCAATGGCACGACCGGTTTATGCAGCAGTCGTCCGACATGGTGGCAAGTTGCGTCCACGCCCTGCACTCGTTTTTGTGCCTAGTAGACGGCAGTCGAGATCAACTGCTGTCGATATGCTTACAATGGCACATGCTGATGGACAGTCGAAGCGGTTTTTGCATATTAATCCACAAGAACCAAGTTTTATTCGATTGCTCGATAATGTTCAGGTATGTTCTCAGTCTTTTTTGACCAGTCCTTTTTTATGAAACTTTTTTCTTACTCTATCAATACAGGTTAACGTTTCTTGCATTTGTCATATTTTGTAGGATAAAACTCTAAAAGAAACATTATCTTGTGGAGTAGGTTTTCTACATGAAGGTACAGGTGTTAGAGATATGGCCGTTGTGGAACAGCTTTTTCAAAGTGGCGCAATTCAGGTTTGTCTGTATATGCGTTTTTGTTTATATATTTGGATATATTTATTTAAAAAAAACATTGTCTTGTGTTGGCAGCACTTTAAAGCTCTATTTTTAATGAGCAGAGCTTAATACTTTTATAGTTCCGTATATAGCTCTATTTTGTTATCGTGATTGATTTTTACGTGCAGACTTTAAGTAGCACCAAGAAAATTGAAATTATGGTAATTACGTGTTTTATGAGTCAGTGGTTCGCTAAAATTTGCTCTCTTTGCTCAGCTATACGTTTATGATGTGAAGACTGTAATAATAGACAAAGCATTAAGACCAATAAGTCGTGCATTAAATTTGATATAAACCGAGATTTTCTAATTTTACAGAAATTTGGTCTTTATAATCCACCAAAAGGCCAAAAGATATGTAGTATTTAGTTCCTCTACGTTAAAGGCACAGCCATTTATTTTGCGTTATCTCTGGAGATGCTTATGATAACATCCATGTTACCTTACTCCAATTATTTGTTAAACATTTAACGCATTACTCATTCTGTGCTGATATTCAAGGTATGCATCGTTCCGCGCACGATGTGCTATCAAATTTCCATGAGTGCGTATGTCGTAATCATTATGGACACACAATTTTATAATGGAAAGTACCATGTCTATGAAGATTATCCAATAGGCGACGTTTTGCACATGGTTGGACTAGCGAATAGACCCGGGATTGATGACGATGGTAGTGATTTATATTTTTGCAGCCAAAATTATATCAGATATTAATGCTATATCATCAGTTAATTAGATGTTAGTGTACATTAGCATATTTAGCTAGATGGAATTAGAAAGTTTCCGAAACATATTACGTTAGTTTTAAAATTTCTAAACAAAATGTTGGTTTCAAAGGTGGCTTTTTATTTTTACAAAATGTTTTACAAGTTGTTCTTATATTTACAAATATATATTCAATATTGTTATGATGTGAGTTTGCTGTCGGGGAGTTTTTTCGAAGAGAACAAATATGCTTTCAAGTCATATTTTGATAAGTGCGCGGACAATTTATCATTTCAGCAAAATGTGTCCTCATGTGTCAGTCTTCTAAAAAGGATTTTTTCAAAAAGTTCCTTTATGAACCACTTCCTGTTGAGTCACATTTGGATCATTGTCTTCATGATCACTTTAATGCCGAAATTGTGACTAAAACAATCGAAAATAAACAGGACGCAATCGACGTGAGTTTGCTGCTGGAGAACTTTTCTGGAAAGAACAAATATGCTGCTTTAAAATAAACTTTGGAAATTTATCTTTCAAAATAGATGTTAAAATATATTCATACCTCTCTGTAAAGCAATGCTTTGTTGATGATTGCTCATTGACATTTCTTGTTTTCATTAATTGTCGATATTCTCTTGTGTAAGTGATCCTATTTTAGTACCTTACATGGACTCTGTTATATCGACGTATGACACAGAATCCAAATTATTACAATTTGCAAGGTGTGACGCATCGTCATTTATCAGACAGTCTTTCCGAACTAGTAGAAAATACGCTGAAAGATCTGGAAAATTCGAAATGCATTACAATCAAGAACGATATGGACACACAGCCACTTAATTTAGGAATGATTGCAGCCTACTACTACATAAGTTATACAACAATCGGTGAGTTTTGTACCTATTTCATTTTTTTAAAAAATGAAATTTCATAACTTTGCATGAGTATGTGACACAATTGACTTAGATTATCTTTAAAAAAGTTTTAAAAAAAAAAAACAGTTCTTGTTTAGTAAAGGTTAGTTCTGTCACTAAATTACTGTTAAGAATATGAATTTCTGATTTTCAAAGAATTAAGGTTTAATAATTGCTGATCAGTAAGAAGTCATATAATGTTGGTACTAAGTCTCATTTTATGTTGTGTTACATTTTCTTGAGTAAATTTTATAGAATTCAAGTTTTTTATGCTCACGGTGAGTAGGTGATAGTAGAGAAATCATCATTAAAAAGTATAAAAATGATTTGTTCAGTAATTCATGGCATTTATTTTGTGAAAGATTTTTTTTCTAGAAGTATTCAGCATGTCTTTGAGTGCGAAAACTAAGCTGCGAGCTCTTATTGAAATTATCAGTAATGCAAGTGAATTTGCAAATATGCCTATACGTTACAAAGAAGATATTTTGTTGAAACAACTGGCTGACCGATTATCAAGCCAGCAGAAACACCAGAAATTTACAGATCCACATGTTAAGGTATGTTGCAAATATCACATTTAATCATACATGGGAGTTCTTTCTTTTCTTTTTTTTTTTTTTTTTTTTTGGAAGTTTTATTAAGTTTGACTTTAGATGAACATTTTGACTGTTTTTACTAAAAAGCAGATTCACGAATTGAACGTCGAAATTCTTGTTGACATATTATAAGCTAACTAAGTGAGTGCACTAATATATTTTGGTCCATTGGATTTTTTCAGGTCAATTTATTAATGAATGCTCACTTGGCTCGAATACAATTGTCAGCTGAACTGAATAAAGATACAGAAGTTATCATTCTTAGAGCAATCCGTCTAGTGCAAGCATGTGTTGATGTTTTAAGCAGGTATTTTGCGTTAATTGAGAGAAAATCCTAGAAATATATTATATTACACTCATAGAAAATTTGTTCTGAACTTGAAAATTTTTATTTTTAAGTTTCTACCAATTATATATATATATATGTTTACTTTTCGTTCAGCAATGGTTGGTTAATGCCTGCAATTCATGCAATGGAACTGTCACAAATGTTAACACAAGCGATGTTCACCAGTGAATCATATTTGAAACAACTACCCCATTGCTCAACTTCATTACTTGAACGATGCAAAGAAAAAGTCAGTATTAATATTATGCTATTTTTAAGGATTGTTCAATTCACTGAAATTTTCATAAGAAGTCGAGTTTGATTATCAGAAAAATGAGAGAGAGAGAGAGAGAGAAAGTGCATCATTTTTTCTCTCTGTTTGTAGGGTGAAAGTATACATATCTTTTGTCACTCCGAGATGACATGATACCAAATCTGAACGTTTATTTTTCAGTTCCAAAATTTTCATTCATTTCCCATTTAGCATGAGTATTGATTCTGTAGTTAATTTGTTACTCTAATCACATCAGTTTTAAATTGTAATACGAATTTTTTAATGGGATTTTTTGCATGTTTTGTAGAAAATATCATCAATATTTGATTTACTGGATTTGGAAGATGACGTCCGACAGACACTTTTACAAATGACTCCAGCAGAAATGTCGGATGTTGCTCGTTTTTGCAATCATTATCCTAGCATTGAAGTTGAACACAAAATTGAAAATAATGGAACCATTACTGTGTAAATGCTTTACATTTCATATTCACTGAAATCAGTTTCTTATGATAATTCCCATTCTTTCTCCGTACTTATCAAAATAACAATTCTGTTTCCTTTCACATTCATACGGCATGTGATATGGCCGAAATCTCCGACATTGATACCTTTTTTGAAAGTTCACGAGTTTTTTGACTTCAATTTTTAAATTTGATGTTGATCTGAACGTCGTCGGCTTCCATTTGATTCTGTTCCAGGGGTGATACAGTGAATGTTACCGTAGAAATGGAACGTGAAAATGATTTGAATGGAATGGCTCCACCTGTAGTAGCACCCCTTTTTCCGCAGAAGCGGAAGGAAGAAGGGTGGTGGTTGGTTATTGGGGATCATTCTTCTAATGCATTGTTTTCCATAAAAAGGTTTGTTTTGAAAATCCCTTAATTTTTTTTTCTTTTGAATTTGTTCTTTTTTTGAGTTGCTTTCAATATCCGAAGATGTTAAGTCTTGATAAAAATATAAAAGCATAAGGAGAATAGGAAAGAGTTGGAATAGGTTTTTTTGTTGTGAATTGAATTTATCTGATATCGCTAAGTTTCCCTCTCTGTGTTTGAGAAAGAAGGAAAACTTATATTCTGCATTTTTAGGTTAACAGTCCATCAGAAAGCAAAAATGACGCTTGATTTTACTGCATTGGCAGTAGGGAAGATGCATTATAAGCTATACTTCATTTGTGATTCATACCTAGGAGCTGACCAAGAATTCGATCTCAAATTTCGTGTCGAAGGTATTTTAGTAATCTTTCTAGGTTTTGTCATTCCAAATAGTAATTTGCTGAGTTCTAAAGTTCTTTTCTAAAACCATTCTACGCGCATTTGAGAAATTTTATGCAAAATATATAAAGATGAATGGTTTTGTACTAGTTTCAGACTTCCTCACTTTATATTTAATTTGCCCCAGACTTTTAGCCAAAATTTTTTAAATGGCTAAAATGCTTGCTTATCGTTTTTGAAGCATGTAGAGCTTTTCTTATGAACATTTCCATAAATTTTTAAAATTCTTTTAGCAATTTAACTTTTTTAGAAACTGGACGTAGTCGAAAGCGAGTTCGTGACGATGAGTGATTCGACTTATCCTTTTCTTATCATTATATTTTTACTGTTATAGCGTTTTCCACGTATTGAACATTTTCTGCTTCAAGAATTTACAGTTTAATTACTGATAGTTTCTGAATAAGCTGAAAAGCTTTGAAAAATAATTTTGTAGAGTGCTGGCATAATATTTTTTATGGTAATATCAGATATGGACATAATTTACCGAAAAAAAGGATATAAAATAACTATCTTATGACTAGAATAGTCTCTTTAAATCTATCAATTGTTATGGAAGTTTTTTTATTTCAAGAAATATAGAAATTATTGTGGAAAATCAAATTGTTTTTGTCTTAAATTTTTTTTTTTTTGCTCCATAATTGATTGTTCATATATGTTGTTTTTATCATTTGAAATTTTGTTTTGCATTTCAGTGAAAGTTTTTTTGTTGTAAAGTCTACTATATGACAGTAGTATTAAAGATGAAGCATCTTTTGATTCCTTGAATTAGAATAAAATAAAACTTTATAATAGTTCAAACTCAACTCATACGTCTTTTGGTCTTTTGAACTTAATTGTTGAGATGAAAAAAATTCTCAAGAAAATGTTCAACGACCTTTCTTCTATCTCGAAGGTATTAAAAGATTTTTGACAGTATCAAATTATTGATGAGTCTTTTTACGTCCGTAACGCCGGTATGTGCGGTAATTTTTTGAGTTTCCTAAGACTATTAAGAAAGATTTAGATGTCCAATGCAAGAGATAATATTCGTAAAGATGCCCTTTTTTCCGTTTAAATTTGACTTCAGTGATTCACCATTTTGTATGTTTGAAAAAGGAATTGTGACTACCTGTGAAACTTTGCAGTCGTAACCACTAGAAGTCAACCTAACTATCACTTTTCTTCATTGCAATGCAATTTTTATTGTCTTCAATAAATGAATTGAATGTTGTGGTATTGGCAAAAGAGTTCAACAAAGAAAGTAACTTAGATTATGCAGAATTCAAAATTCAAATTTCTACAAATCATTAAGAAGATCTACTTTTAATAACTAGTGAACTTTTGTTAAATTGTGAACAAATTATAATAACTTTTGAAATCCTGAACTACAAATTTAATGAAGCAGTGCCATTTCATTGCTAATAATTATTAACTAACTGACAATTCTTTGAATTACAAACTCATTATTGCAACTGTTTGATATTTGAAGATGCAAAGAGATCTGAAAATGTTTTGGTTCTAACTTTTCTCTTACTTTTATCATATCTTCAAGGACTTTTCCGCGTATCACTCAATTCTCCAGCTTTTTTTAATCGATTCATTTATTTGTGCAGGTAACCTTCTGCAAATTTTAGTCTTCAATATTCTGTGTTAAATATTTTATAATGTGTCGCTAATTGCATTTTACATATCGTATTTTCTTGAGTCGAACAAATAAGTAGTTGAAACAAGTGGTTATTGAAAGGGAATTTTAATGAAACAATTATAAATTTTAAGTTAATTTTAAATATATCCACATAATCCCATTTAAATTCCGGAATAAATGGTTATTGCAGGAAAAATTGTTCATTTTTAGTTAACACAGTTTACTTGCGCAATGAATGGATGTCTATTTCCCGGAATTGAAGAATAAGCACTGATTGGGTTGTCACTCCTCTCTTCTTTCTCTTTTATTCCCTTCCATATAATTCAGTAATCCATTTATCTGATCAAATTGCCACCGTTTTCCATCCCTCACTTCATGCTAATTTGTACTGTCAATGGAATGATACATTAGTACAACTACAGCAGTTCAGTACATCTGCTTTCACTTACCCAAATTATTGGGTGTCACATTTTCTTCCCTTATAAAGAATATTTTCTTATATACTAACCAAAAAAAGATTGTAGCAAAATTTCTGAATGGAAATGAATGTGTATTTAAGCAATATCAATAAAGCATTAAATTATGAATATTAAATTGGTCCCTTTTAAGTACATAAGAAAAGGATTTATTGAACTTATATTGGCATAACAGGAAAAGTCCAATTGAATCCGAAACTCTTTTGGACTAACACTTAAAATTTTCTAGAATTTGGTCACAAGTCGGAATTTTATTTAACACTATAGATAGCATGTAATATGATTGCATCGAAAATATAGAAAGCACAGCTGTATTTCACATTTTTTAAATAAAAATTTAAAGCAAAAGCAGGAATAGTTTTGATTGCTTCGTTTTATTTCCTTCTCTTTCAAAATTTTGTCGACCCTATTTCTCTTTTTTTTATTTTCATATTTCACTTTCGTTTACCTGTTATTTCGATCTGTTTAAAATAAAACTAATTTAAAACGATAGAAGTAAAATATATCCAAGAATCAATCAATACACTTACTTTTAATTGCAAATAAGTTTTGTTGGAAACAGTTTCCTTGCATGCATTTGAGCAGATTAAAACAGCTTTAGCTTCTTTTTCTACTTTTCTTTCTTGGATACTGTAAATTAATGAACGATAGATGAAAGTGTCGAGCCGTTACCACGCCTTCCATATTAATTACTCTACCAATAGTAAAGGGAATTACAATTGAGACTGTTTTGTTTTCATGCATGGAAAAGTCACTGATTACGAAGTATCTCAGTCAGAAATCCTCCACTTCCACGTATAAACGTGGACATCAGATTCAGGTTGTTTCATTGTGACGCTACGCTGTTTTTTCTTTTATCAAATTTACAATGAATTATTCATAATTCAGTACATTTTGTTATAGGCAGCTTTTTTTTTTTTCTATTTGCAATCACTAATAAGGTAAGTTAAATCATATTAATTTTTGTTAATCATTCACTTTTCTAACATAAAGTATTTGATGAATAGTCCATTCATTACTACCTGCTTATTATTTACCTGCTTTCTTATCCTTGCAATATTTGTGCAGTAAATTATAAGTATTCTATTAGTTCAATAACTATGTAGAAAGCATTAATGTTGATTCACTCTGCAGTTTGTTGCACAAACTTTGTCGTTAATTTTAACTTTACTAGGCTTATAGTTCTAATAATTTTTATTTAAATTTAGCACATTTTGAAAATCAGCAAAATTTTCAGAAAAAGTTCAAAACATCATTACATGAAATATATTAATTTCTTGAATTCTTTTTTTAAACAAAAATTTCTAAAAGTTGACGAGAATATTCAGTCAAAACAAACACGAGAGAATAAAACTACTGGAGAAAACATAGTGAAACGAACAAAACGAAAATATCGTTGTCGAGTTCGAAGTCCAGAAACCATCCGACGAACGAAACAAATTCGTCGAAGTAAAGCTAATGCTCGAGAACGTCGCCGGATGCATAATTTGAACGAAGCATTGGAAAAATTACGACGAATACTACCACAACTTCCAGATGAACCGAAGCTTACTAAAATCGGTGAATACGTTTTTTTTTTCTTGTTCAAATAGTTTGTTTTGAGTTCTGATTTTAGGGTTTTTTATAGAGTACAATCTGTTTCTAACAAGTAAATAAATACTTCATTCCTTTAGAAACTCTTCGAATGGCCAACAATTATATTTATGCCCTGAGGCAGATCCTCAGCAGTAGTCAAGAAGAAGAGACAATTAGTACAACTCATCACTTCATATCTCGGTAGACAGAAAGTTGAGTGCTCTGGAACATTGAGTCCGTCATTTAGAGACATTTTTTGCATTTTTCATAAGATTTTAAATTAAGAAAAGCAATTTAATTGAATGAATTGTATATTACATATTTATCATCTGCAATCCAATAAATATTTACTTGAAGGTCACATTTTTGAAATATGGATGAAGTGATTAGCTCTACTATTTTTTTTGTCCTCAAACTAAGTCACATAAAAAGAGTTCTGTTTAATGAAAAATTGTTACCGATATAATAAGAGCTATTTGTAATTCGATAGTGAATTAATTGTCCGTAGCATATTTTGTCGGCGAACTTATTCATGCATGTGCGCCCGCTATTATTACTGCTTTCTTTTTTCATGTTTTGTTTACCTCTCAGATAATTATAAATGTCTTTGATCGGTAACGGTCTTCGCACTCCAACAACAAAGTTCAATGCACAGCAGGATGTCATCCATTACTGACACTTTTAACTCATCCGTCTTTTGCTATCAGAAAGTGTAAAACCTTATCTTTTTGCAGAAGTAAGGTTTTACAGTTTTAACTGGATTGTTAAAATTTTTTATATGCAATTTTAGATGTTCGATCTTACAGAAAGCAATAAAATAAACTTATCTTAGCCTAATCAGGCCATATTTTTGTTTGTAAAACTGAGAGCGACACTGGAAATATAATAGTAATGCGATAATTAGAATGAACAGAAGCATATATATATATATGGAAAGCAGAATAATTTTGGAGATATGACAATCTAACCTTAATTTCTAGTTGATATTTTGCGAAAGTGTCAACATTAAGGGTCACATTAGTAACGGCCAATTAAGTACTGTGCTAAAGTGACTCCCACACTACTTTATTTACAGCTTATCTTAAGGGCATGGAGATATATGATACCGGCTGCAACTGAATCAGTAATTCTGAAAGCACTGAACCAGAATGACTTTCTTTGTCTTCACTCTCATCTGTTGTCTCAAAACATCCGGAAATAATCATTTTAATTGATGGAATGATTTGTATTGGATAGAAACTAATTAAAGTGATTTGTTATCTTATACTTCTCTCATAAAAACAAAATTGGAAGTTAACTGTGTCATCTGAGCTCAAATTGGATGATCAAAGTAAAATTGGAATTCTTCCTTTTGCTATCGTTACAGTAATACTGTAGCATGACGATGATTTTAACAGAGATTTGCAATAATTTAGGGTACTCAAGAAATCTTGAATATATGAATTATTCAGGAATATAAACGGAAACATCCAACAGTAAAGAACAGAAAAATTGTAGAAATGGTGGTAACATAACATAAGCTAAAGCTTTCATCCTGTCAACATTTTCTTCTTGTTTAGTCCGCACCGTGAAAACTTCAACAAGGATAATGATGGCTTATGATGCAACGATGCAATAATGTTCAGCAGGGGGTTAGAGGTCAATCGGCACATAGTAGTGTTAGATCCTCAACCTTACACAGAGCTTAAATAATTATCGAATGTTAAGAAATTGCATATAAAGTATAAAACATCAAAGAACTATTCTGTTCATTTTGCATATCTCATAAATTTTTGTAAAAAAACTTAAAATAGATCAAATATTAAATGCTAGTTTTTTTTTGAGAGATGAAGAAAAAGGCTTAATAAGATTGAAAGGAAATTGTATCGGAAAATTAAAATTATTTGGAGTGAATTTGAGAGAGAATTTTTCTTTTCTTCAAATTCTAATTTGTAATATTATAAACTTTTAGTTTTAAATAATACAATACAATCTTTTTAGTATGCTAAAAGGTTATGTTATAGTAATAGACTTATTGATCGAAAATTTATTTATGTGACAGACAGTACAGATCGAAAATGAAGGAACATGTTTTGAATAATTTGGGTGTTTTATTTCCCAACTAAAAAAATAAGATCATAATCATTTCAGTTGATATGAAGAAGAGAAAAGAAATCTTAACCATTCATTTTTAATAAGTAAGTGATAAAAGTAAGTGGTACAAATAGTTTTCAGTTAGCTTTACTGAAATTACTATTGTTAGAAGCAAATATTCCATCTCTGTTCAAAATAAACTAGCTTTATCGCCAGATCATACCTGTAGTAAAGCTAATCTCTTTTCGTATTTTTAATTGCAGAAAATTTATTAAGTTCTTTTTCATAAATGACAAACAAAAATTTAAATGAAACTAAAAATAATTAATCTTTTATTTTTTATTCGAAATTCTTTTTAGTCTTATATATGTGTAGTAATCTTGTTAGAAAAAGTAGAGGTCAAGTTGATGGTAGCTTATCATATAACAGGAATGACCTATAGGATATGGAAAAAGCCATAATCTTGCATTTACATAAAATTCAATAACTGATTTATACTTTAAGTGTTAGAAACAAATGCAACCTTCGCATACTTTCTTCTCTCACAATTTGTAAATTTCGAGTGACAGTATTGTGAAAGAAATTCGGCGACTACTGAATGAGTGAAAAGAGAACGGATATTCCGGAAGAAAGGATCCAGTATCAATTACAATTGTTAATCTACATTAAGAGAATAAGTGTTTTATATTTATCGAATCGTTGGTAATATCAGAAAAACACAACTGCATTAGTTACATAAACATACTCGAAGGATTAAAAAGCAGTAAAAGTTTTCTATTTCTCAGAATTTCTCTCTTCTTTTACTTTTTTTTTTTTTCAGACAGGCAATTCCTTAATGGTACCATTGCTGAGAACTTGACAAGCTCCTTTTTTTCTTTCTAAACAGTACGACAAATTTGTTTTGATTCTCCAAAAGACTGAAGTTTTTGCATGAATAAAGTTAATTTAATCCAATACTTTAACAACAATCCGTTCAACGTCTCAAATTTCATTCCAGAAATAAAATTTTTTCTAGTTTAAAGTTTTTTTTTTTTAATGTAAGAAGAAATTAATGGAAGCAGCTGGTGGTAAAAGTGTTGATGAGATTATTTGAAGTGTTGTGCGAGAATTGCCACTTTAACTGGAAACCATTCGTCGATCATTTTTCGCTCTGTCTGTATAACAATGACATATTGCTTCAGATATTGTAGAAATAACTGTACATATACCGGATAATTCTAACCGGATGACCTTCACTACTTATATATTATCTAGATAAACGTTCGAAAGTAAAGAAATACATTTAATTGATTCTAATTGATTATCTAAAGGTCAATTGTATCTTGATCCTGACTTCTTAACTATTTATCGAACAATACAACATTCTTTCTTATCCTGAAAACGTTAGAATCGATTAAGGAAAAGTTAGAAACCTGCCATAACTTCCTAAGTATTGTCAAATTTTCAAAAGCTTTAAATTAAATAAGGAAAGTTTTTTTAGGGGAAAGAAAGATGATGTTATATTATTCGAAATACCATTCATATTTCATTTAGATTGAACAACTTACTCCATATTCTGCATCTTCCTTACTGTTTTCTAAAAATTTGTGACATATTCAGCACATTATATAATTCTCTACCAGTAAGGACTACTAGTCTTTTTGGTATAGTCAGTTTTTGCTCATAATAAATTCAACTGGCAACTAGAAAACATTGTCTTTTTCTAAAATTCATAAACTATTTGGTGGTATCTTAATCTTTAGAAAAAAACTTCTGCATAAATCTATAAATGTAAAGGAGCTAGAATGTAAATAAAAGACATAAACCATGCATTTTCTTTTTTGTTATTTAGCAAAACTGCTGAAGCAAAACAACAGAGCTGAGATGTCTCTAAGTAGTCAAAGTCAAATGAAATTTGTCACTAATTAATTGAATTCGTGCTAAGTAATTCTACCCAATGTCAAAAGCGGTTGAAATAAAAAATTCATTTTCAAGCAGTTTTTTTGAATTTGTAATTTTTAATATATAGGAATTTTATTTCTCATAACAATATTCAATGTCTGCGATTAAAAGATTGCAATGCATATTGTTTAAAGGAATTTTTTCATAAAATAGTAACCCAAACAACAATAACAATGATCAGTTCTGAACGTGGACATAATTACAGCGACGTTTGACCCCTTTTGACCCTTCGGATATAAGCATACATTACCGTCGCCGTCCTGTGATTCATAATATAGCAATAGCAATAACTTCAATTAGCTCACTATCAGTTACGAATACATTTAAATTTTAATCCTTTGCAAAATTTCTTGAATGTTGCGAACAAACGCTTGCACAAATTGTTTACGTAAAGGTCTTTAAGCACACGCACGTTGTGTACACGTTTTTAAGTGAAACTGCAAGATAGACAAACAAGACAATTGTAGCATGTGCACAATAATTCATGCATGCAGAAGAGAAACCACTGCATTCTGCATGCATCAGCTTAGCATGATGAATGTGTCATTACTTTCAAACTATTCTTGAAACTATTTCGTATTTTTCTTTACTCTGTAATTTCCGGATAGCTATAAATCGGATTTACTGCTTTTTTGTTTTTTGTTTTTTGTACTTTCGTTCGTGGATTCGTCCTTTAATGGCTTGTCATCTTCATCATCAACTGGTTTGTTTGGCTTCAGCTTTGGACCTTTCTTCATTTCGGGAACCTGAAATGTTAATTAAACTACAGTCCAGAAACTTTAGCAATAAAAAGATTACGATTAAAAGAGGTTTTTAAAGATTTTATAGAATCTAATCATAAAACTTTGACTGTTGCAATACTGAAATTGAACAATTGTTGTTCTAGAGATTTGTTCGTAGTGCAAATTCAGACACTTTTTAAAATGCAGTGAAGTGAAAATAATATGCTAAATATCGTTGAAAAAATTACTTGGAAGAACAAATAATTCTGCAATTGAATTCCTCACAAATCAGCTCTAAGAGACAGATTCTTTTGCGCTGATTTTATTACACTATTACTACTTTAGAGCTATTAATCGTGTTAGCTAAACACAATCGCTTCATTTCTTAAGCATTCTTAGCTAATCACTAGGATTCATTAACTTAATTTAATTATTCAACCAACTCAAAAACCAATTCGACCAGTTCAAT